AACCCCACGTTGCAGTCAGACAGATATGTTTTATCCTTAAACTTCTGTTTGTTTCGGAATAACACTAAATCCGCCATCAAATTGATTTCACTTAGCAGAAATGAAATGATCCGAGCATATTCGGGCGCTCTGGGGGCTATTAGTTTTTTGTTGTTGCTTATGGTTGTGCCATTTCTCTCTCGTTTCTTTGAGATTTCTTCTGTTTTTGAGCCGTGTGAAGTAAGGACGGCTGGCAGTCGGTAACACAACTTATTTTCCCTGTCTCTCCTTTTGCTGCAGCCAAAAACGGCAAACATTTAGAACATGTGTATGCGGTCCCGGGTGCACGCAACAATCATACAGCGTTTGCTTGTCCTCCAGTATGGCGGATGCCCCGCGAGTTCGAGGCATCGTGACGTCACGTGAGATATCTCTATTGTTATTCACCGGTTTCATATTATTCTTTTTTTTCCGCATCTTCAATTCGATTTTTGACCCTGAAGACATGCACGAAAGTCTGCACATGGGGGGTCTAAAACGACCGGTCCGGCGAAAAATTTAATAAAATGAACGTTTCCAGATTGTCCGACGCTCGCCGACTCTATAACGCCCCCTAGAAATTTCATTTTTTTTGACCCTCTGGGGATTTTTTTTCAAATATTGGAGTAGGTACACGAAATTCGGATGAGTGATAGATCTCTATGAGACGAGCATAAAAGCCGTTCTAAGCACATGTCTGGGACCGACAGGAAGTCGGCCATGAGGGGCCGAAGTTTCGCCACTAATTTGACTTTTCATTTATAAATTCGAACTAGTCCCTGGTTTTTCATCACACAGAGTTCTACCACGTCATTTCCCGCTCTGGACGGATTGAAGTTATATAATCATCGAAAAAAAGTTAGAAAATCTTCACCGTTTTCGTCCCTCGCCATGGCAAATAAGGCCTTCGTTTTGGCCATTTTCGCTGAGCCCTGAGGGCCACAGGCTCAGACCTACAGAGCTGAGACTCACATCAGTAATATTAGGTTATGGCCTGAACGCAATGACACTAAAATCATTCGCCCAATTTGAGCTCTTTAGCGCCACCTGTCGGAAAGTAATAGGGCACTAGTGCTCGGATCGGCCCGAAAATCGCTGAGTGTATTCTCTGGACCGAGACGAGCAAAACATTACATTACGCAAAAGTTGTAAGTCCTACACCTGACCACTGGGGGCGCTGGAAAGTGAATAAATGAGCTTTTTAGGGCAAAATGTTTGTCCGATGAGGCTAAAAATGAATTCAGAAATACAACGTATGACCCTGAACACAACGATATGCAACACACAACTGTGAGTGCAACAGCGCCACCTACAGGCAGTTCAATGTGTTGCATTTTTGGCTTCGTACTAGTCCCTGGATTTTCATCGCACAGACTTCTACCATGTCATTTCTATATCTGGACGGATTGAAGTTATGTAATCATCGCATAAAAGTTAGAATTTTGTTATCGTTTTCATGCAAGGTAGTGGGGAATTTCTCCATGTTTGATGCTCTCCTGACCACAGGCTCAGACCTACAGAGCTGAAACTCACATCACTAACAGTTGGTAATGGCCTGAGAGTAATGGTGTGAAAACACACACCTAATATGACTCTACAGCGCCACCTATGTAAGGCTTCTGACCTAAACTTTTCCGATCTTCACCAAAGTTGCAAAATCAAATCTTTACATCTGTACGAGCAAAATACTACTCTACGTAGAGGGTGCATGTCCCGGAGGTGACCACTAGGGACGCACTTTATCATATAAATGAGCTTTTATATATGTAATCCTGGTCAGATCGGGCTGCCAATTCGTCTGCGTGACGCTTGTGGGACTGGCGCCCAGGAGGCGGTCGCAAGAGGGGCGAGGCCTTTCATCGCCGCTTGCGGCTTTAATTAGGCCGAGCCAATACGAAGTATTGGGGAGGCCTATTGTTATTCACCGGTTTCATATTATTCTTTTTTTTCACGAAATTCGGATGAGTGATAGATCTTTATGAGACGAGCATAAAAGCCGTCCCTAAGCACATTAGCTGGACCGACAGGAAGATCGGCCATGAGGGCCGAAGTTTCGCCACTAATTTGACTTTTCATTTACAAATTCGAACCTAGTCCCTGGTTTTTCATCACACAGAAAGGTTCTACCACGTCATTTCCCGCTCTGGATGGATTGAAGTTATATAATCATCGAAAAAAAGTTAGAAAATCTTCACCGTTTTCGTCCCTCGCCATGGCGAATAAGGCCTTCGTTTTGCCATTTTCGCTGAGCCCTGAGGGCCACAGGCTCAGACCTACAGAGCTGAGACTCACCATCAGTAATATTAGGTTATGGCCTGAACGCAATGGTACACTAAAATCATTCGCCCAATATGAGCTCTTTAGCGCCACCTGTCAGAAAGTAATAGGGCCTTTTATAACTAGTGCTCGGATCGCCCGAAAATCGAGTGTATTCTCTGGACTAGGCGAGCAAAACATTACATTACGCAAAAAGTTGTAAGTCCCATCACCTGACCACTGGGGCGCCGGAAAAGTGAAAAATGAGCTTTTTAGGGCAAAATGTTTTTCCGATGAGGCTAAAAATGAATTCAGGAATACAACGTATGACCCTGAACACAACGATATGCAACACACAACTGTGAGTGCAACAGCGCCACCTACAGGCATTCAATGTGATTGCATTTTTTGCTTCGTACTAGTCCCTGGATTTTCATCGCACAGACGTCTACCATGTCATTTATCCATCTGGGACAGATTGAAGTTATGCAATCATCGCATAAAAGTTAGAATTTTGTTATCGTTTTCATGCGAGGTAGTGGGAATTTCTCCATGTTTGATGCTCTCCTGACCACAGCTCAGACCTACAGGAGCTGAAACTCACATCGCTAACAGTTGGTAATGGCCTGAGAGTAATGGTGTGAAAACACACACCTAATATGACTCTACAGCGCCACCTATGGAAGGCTTTCTGACCTAAACTTTTCCAGATCTATCACCAAAGTTTGCAAAATCAAATCTTTACCATCTGCACGAGCAAAATACTACTCTACGTAGAGGTGCATGTCCCGGAGGTGACCACTAGGACGCACTTTATCATATAAATGAGCTTTTATGTACGTAATCCTGATCAGATCGGCTGCCATTCGGTCGGCGTGACGCTTGTGGGACCGGCGCCCGGGAGGCGGTCGCAAGAGGGCGAGGCCTTTCTTCGCCGCTTGCGGCTTTAATGAAAATTGTTATTCGGTGTTTCATATTATTCTTTTTCCGCCGAAACAATTTGATTTTTGACCCTGAAGACATGCACAAAGTCTGCAACATGGGGGGTCTAAAACGACCGGTCCGGCGAAAAATTTGATAAAACGGACGTTCGAGATGTCCCGACAAAAGGCGAATCAATAGCGCCCCCTTGAAATTTCAAAATTGCCAATTTCTATTGGAGCAGATTGCATATTTTGGTAGTAGGTACACGAAATTCGGATGAGTGATAGATCTCTATGAGACGAGCATAAAAGCCGGTCTAAGCACATGTCTGGGACCAACAGGAAGTCGGCCATGATGGGCCAAAGTTTCGCCACTAATTTGACTTTTCATTTTATAAATTCGAACTAGTCCCCTGGTTTTCCATCACACAGACTTCTACCACTCATTTCCTAATCTGGACGGATTGAAGTTATATAATCCATCAACAAAAAGTTAGAAATCTTCACCGTTTTCTTCCCTCCGCCATGGCGAATAAGGCCTTCGTTTTGGCCATTTTCGCTGAGCCCTGAGGGCCACAAGCTCAGATCCTACAGAGCGGAGTACTCACAGCAGTAATATTAGGTTAGGGACTGAACGCAATGACACTAAAATCATTTGCCAAATTTGAGCTCTTTAGCGCCACCTGTCGGAAAGTAATAGGGCACTAGTGCTCGGATCGGCCCGAAAATCGCTGAGTGTATTCTCTGGACCAAGACGAGCAAAACATTACATTACGCAAAAGTTGTACGTCCCACACCTGACCACTGGGGGCGCCGGAAAGTGAATAAATGAGCTTTTTAGGGCAAAATGTTTGTCCGATGAGGCTAACAATGAATTCAGAAATACAGCGTATGACCCTGAACACAACGATATACAACACACAACTGTGAGTGCAACAGCGCCACCTACAGGCAGTTCAATGTGTCTCATTTTTGGCTTTGTACTAGTCCCTGGATTTTCATCGCACAGACTTCTACCATGTCATTTCTCCATCTGGACGGATTGAAGTTATGCAATCATCGCATAAAAGTTAGTCGCAAGAGGGGCGAGGCCTTTCATCGCCGCTTGCGGCTTTTAATTATTATTATTATTTGTTTTTTTCTCCCGGCAGGGGTGGGGCGGGAGGGGGGCTGTTCTTCTTTCCACTTCTGTAGAAATAAGTTTTTGATCATGGATTAGAGGTCAAGACCTAGGAAGCTAATGTTAGAAATATTGTCTTGACTTTATTTACTGTCCTTGAAATCTGTATGTGCAAAAAGAAGAAAAACCAATAAAAAAGATTTAAGTATAAAAATTTAGTGTGTCCAGAATCCGAGAGTTTCGATAATGGAGGGCGCCGGTCTGTGGAGACAAACTGGCTTTGTGCAATATAGGTGTTGAATTCTAAATTAGTTTCGTTTGGTATGGGTTCGGGTGTGTGTGATGTATGGTTTAAGCGGGTGAATGGTATAAGTGTGACAGTGTGATTTTTACCCATGGATCTATTATTTTCTCCAGATGGGTGGCCCAACGGAGTTTCCGGGGTACGAACACCTGCAGTTATGGTTCCGGCCGGATTTAGCACTGTTTTAATCATAGTTTGTAGATATATCTTTATAGGTGGGTGTTTTAGGAATATATTTGTGTAGGGGGGGGAGGTTGTTTTCTTAGTATAGTTGGTTGTGGGTATTTTAATGGAGGGTTTTAACGTAGTTTTTATGTTAACTAATTATTTTGGCAGTTTTGGTCCTCCATAAGCGCTGTCCTCTGACGCCCACCATCATATGACACAGAAGAAGTTAAGTGACGTCACTTCCGTGGCACGAGGACCCAGGAAACAGAAACTAAACAGAAATAAAACTAAAGACGTAAAAAGAACCGAGTCTGAAGCCTGGGACCATACCGGGACCGGACTGGATAGGACTGGGACTACACCGGGACTCAGTGCGGGGACCGGGACCGAGACTAGACCTATTCGCACGCGCAGGTAAACCAATGTTTTCATCTTCAACTGCGAACCTGGACCTATCCCTGTTAAAGCTGGGGTACCTGACTTTAAAGCTGGGGTACCTGACTTTAAAGCTGGGGTACGTGACTTTAAAGCTGGGGTACGTGACTTTAAAGCTGGGGCACGTGACTTTAAAGCTGGGGTCTATAAGTTTCAGACTCCAATATAACTATTAAAGCCAAGAACTATAGACTAGTTCCTGGCTCAAAAACAATTTACTTGGTCTTGGTCTTGGTCCCCATTCCGGTTCAGAGCCAATCAGCTCTCAACTCAAAGAGTGAAATAGTGACTCACAGGGCTTGTTCACAATATTTAATGAAACTAAAGTTACAGACCCCAGATTTAAACATGTGTGTGCCATGTTCTTTTTCAAAAAGACCAGAAATAAAACCAGAGTCCTGGATCTACAGCCTCATACTTCATTAAACATATTTTGCTGCAGATGGCGCTGGTTGTGAACTTTGGAGGCTGGAGGGCGTGTCCCTCAGAGGTGATTCGCTCTCGGCGATCGATGGGTGGACAGACGGAGCTGCTGATTCGCTGGCGTCTCATCTCCATGGGCGACACTGACTCGGGGGGCGGAGCCTCAAAGAACAGCGTCTTAATGTGGATGTGTGAAGAAGACGCCAGATACTGCGACGTTAGCCCGCGATGTGTGCTTGGAGCTAACGAAGAGCAGCTAACAGGAGCAGAGGTGAGAAAACAGGAGCATAGGTGAGGTGAGCTAATGGGAGCAGAGGGAGCTGCTCTATCCTGGTGGTTGTGGATGGAGGTTTTTCCCATTCTTCTTGTTATAAAGCATGGATCTAATATAATATCTGGATAGGGTATTACTAGCTTATAGCTGAAGGACCCATGTCTCCGAATTCCTGCGGTACTGCAGACTAAATAAGACTAAATTCCTGTGGGCCAGTCACCAGAGAATGCCTAAATATGGGCGAGTTCCGCTAATCTTTTCGTGCCCAATTTTGCGCCACAATTTTGGATTTCCGGGGCTTGGTGGAAAGCTTCCAATTCCTGTATACTCATGTATTGTCTTATATAATGAGACCCCTGACCTCTGAAATCTCTGAGGTCCTGTTTAGACAAATATGCTGCGGACTCGAGGCAAAGCAATTAGCAAAAACAACCAGGCTCCTGCACAGCGTTCAGGCGTCAACAGAAAACAATGTTGTTCTAGCGCCTGGCCAGTAGGGGGCAGTGGAACTTCACAACACGCCACACATGACCCCCAGCATTATAATCACTTCCTCAACAACATTCTCCAAGGGCCACTGCAAATACGTGAAAGAATAGTAGGGTCTTTGTTTAGATCCGCATGCGCCACTCGCTGGTTGGGAAGAAGACAGAGCGGCACATACAGTGGCTTGGATGTGACAAGTACTTTTAAAAGAGTTAGTGGGCGAAATGCATTGTATTTGGGCACTTTAATGCATCAGCTAAAAATAATTATATGAGACCGAACTGAACAAAATCTAAGCCCATATGAGAGCTGGGATGACAACAAACATTGATCAGACTCGCCTCTGTATTGGCAACAATCTGCTTGGAGACATTTATTCTTACTTTTGTATTCATGGACTGTCTTGATGTGGACAATTGTCTGTCTTAGTAGTCACTGTGTTCTGATTCTGGATCAGGTGGCTCCTTTTAAATCAAACTTATCACTACGGAGCAAAACATGCTCTTGGATAAATGAAAACCTTTTGAGTCTGAAGAGACTATGTCTAAGGACAGAGAATCTGTGGAAATCCACTGACCTGGAGGTGCACAGACTTTACCTTAGAGATCTTGTGTCCTCTTATAATCAGATGGTTGAAAATGCTAGATCTGACTATATTCGCCAACTGCTGACAGTGAACAAGAGAACTCCTAAAGTTTTGTTCGATACTATATATATTATAATATATTCTCTTGTATGTCCTGCTGCTCCAGTTGCCCATGTGTTGTGTGAAGCTGACTGCAATGCCAAATGCCATGCTGAGATTCTTCACTGACAAAATTAAGAGAATAAAAGAGAAAATTCATTGCCTTCCAAGTGGTACGCCTGCTCTCACTGAGCCCGTCTCCAGTTTGTGGTCCACTTTTCAGTCTGTGACGCTCGTGGATGTCTTTGCACTGATGACCAAGATATAACCTTCCTCTTGCTCATCTGACATACTCCCATGTAGGCTTTTTGTGAAAGTGTTTGATGTAAATGGCCCCTGGGTTACCCAAATAGTGAACCTCTCTCTTTCTACAGGGGGTTTTCCCAATGCATTTAAACACACCATTGTGGAGCCTTTACTAAAAAAGGCTGGGTTAGACCCGACTGACCTCAGTAACTTCAGACCTATTTCCAAACTCCTCCTTGTCCAAAGTCCTAGAGAAGGTGGTTTCTGAACAGCTGTCATTATTCCTTGATCAAAACGGCATCCATGAGACGTTTCAGTCTGGTTTCTGCAAGCACCACTCTACGGAGACGGCCTTACTGAAAGTGTCCAGTGACCTCATAATGTCTGCTGACTCTGGAAAGTGCGCTGTTCTTGTTCTCTTGGATCTGTCCTCAGCCTTTGACACAGTTGACCACCAAATCCTGCTGAGAAGACTGAGGGATGAAGTAGGTCTGTCAGGGTCAGTTCTTCAGTGGTTCTCTTCCTACTTATCTGGGCGGAGCTTCAGTGTTACAGCAAACCAAATCAGGTCTGAGTCAGCAGATCTGTTGTGTTGAGTCCCTCAAGGCTCAGTCTTAGGCCCTGTGTTATTTGTGTTGTATGTGCTCCCTTTTGGAAAGATTTTTCAAAGTTGTTGTGATGTTTCTTGCACTTGTTTATTGCACTTTTAAGCCAACTGAACTCCATAGGCTCGATTCCTTAGTTCGTTGCCTAGTGGAAATTAAGCAGTGGCTAAGTGACAACACTTTGCAGCTGAATACGGACAAGACCGAAACACTAGTTATTGCCCCTGATGATTTAATCCAGCGATTATACAATACTTGGGTGATGTAGGCAAGTCTGTTAAACCGAGCCTTAGAAATCTATGTTGCTAGTTCAACACTGCAAACAGCTGACCAAAAATTGCTTTTTTCAGCTGAGAAACATCAAATTTAAGAAAATGGTGTCACAGAACGACTTGGATCTTATAATTTATGCCTTTGTGTCTTCTCGTTTAGATTATCTTAACAGTTCTTAACCTGTCCTCAAAGCTCTCCACTGGTTTCCCGTGTCCTACAGGATACATTTTAAAATATTGGTGCTGACGTTCAGAGCTCTGCATGGTCAGGCTCCTCCTTATATCAGCGATCTGAGTCAGCCTTATACCCCCACTCGGGCCCTGAGGTCTGTGGATCAGAACCTGTTGATGGTACCACGCACGCGCTTTCGGACCAGGGGAGACCGGTCTTTCCTGGCTGTTGCGCCTAGGCTCTGGAACAATCTTCCGCTCTCTCTGCGGCTGATGGAATCTGTTGATTTAATTCAAAGGTCAGCTGAAAATTTAGGCAAGCTTTTACATAATTTTCTTGCAGCTGTTTCAAACCTGTCACTGAGTTGCCTTGGCCATTATATTTTACATTTTTGTGAGCACATTTTGAATTTGTATTTGAACTTGTATTTTGTCTGTTTTTACCTGTTTTTACTGTGAGGCGCTCTGTGGCCTGTGTTGGTCTGTGTTGGTCTGTGAAAGGCGCTGTATAAGTAAAGCTTACTTACTTACTTTATAGAAAACCTGACCCGGGTTTTCTATAAAGTAAGTAAATAAGTAAGAAAAAATTGGGAAAAAATATCTCCTGCGTTTTTCACCGCGGTAAAATAGCCCAGCTTTTTGCCGTCCCTGGTAAAGTGGTCCACACATTAAAAGCGGGTGGCCCCTTAATGCTGTTACTTATGGTAAACGTTGAAAAGGAAGGCGAGTGGATGAGCAACCAAAGAGTTCGTTTTACAACTACTTTCACTGCACTTGTTCACGGTTGTACGGCCGTACAAGCGACCACACAACAATAGTGGGCCATTTGATTGGCCAACTCTCTAGCATCCAGGTAGCTTTCTCTGCTGTTTTGCCACCCAGTCACGTGACCAGTGCGGAAAAACTATAAACAACAACGTCATTCAAAGATCCTCCTATTCAACATAATTCTGCATTCAAAAGTAGCTGCGAAAATGGAATCTGAAACAAAAGCTTTGCGTTGGTTTTGTTTGGACAAAGGAATAGAATTCTCCTCTCTGTAGCGCTTGAAACACATGTAGCTAGTTAGTGTACCCACCGCCATTGTTGTACCCAATACCCAACTCCACCGTTTTACTGTTGCAGTGTCTCCGTCTAAACTGGGCCTGAGACCCCTGAATTCTGCCTCTGACCCCTGACCTCTGATCTCTGACCCCTGCCTTAGGACCAGGAGCTGTTGGAGCTGCAGGAGGATGTGCGCTCCCTGGTGTGTCGTGCTGTGAGACAGATGCGTCCTCCACGCAGTTCCGCTCTCAGCCACACAGTGTCTGTGCTAAGCTCATACGCTGCTATCGCTACCCTGGCTCCTGTGTTCAGAGAAGCTGGAGCTCTGGATCTGATCCTGGAACTGTTGTGTGACCGCGATCGAGGCACACAGCGTAGCGCGGGGGTCATCCTGAGGAACATGGCGGCACACGACGCTGGTGAGAGACACACACACATAAATACAGAGACAGACAGACATACACACACTATTATGCCGCTTTCCAACAGTAACGGTATGGTGCGGCACGGTGCGGCACGGCACCACAGAGTTCGGGTGCTTTTCCATCAAAACATTGGTGCGGTACATGGATTTATTATAATATCGGTGATAGCTGGTTATTACCCAAGTATTTAATAGAAAATTCAGCACAGCGCGAGTGGTTGTTGAAAATGCTTTTGGCTTAAAGGAATAACTCTGACACTGAACATGTGAAGTCAATGGTGCTGACCTGCTCTGTACAATCTGCGAAAACCACGAAGAGACCTGTGACAGAATGGGACATACCTGTAGCAACAGCAGCTGTATAGCAGTGGTTGTAGAAGAGGGCTATCTGATGCGTCGCTTGTCATATGCCTAAACGTGCGTTTTGACCAAAAATAAAACCTTTTTGTATTTACCAAATGTCTCCATCCACTTTCATAAATTTACCAAGGTTATACGGATTTACTGACAAATATAATGTATGTACTTTTGAACCCCTTTCATCTTGATACAATCACAGATTTATTAAAAACAAAAGTAAAGTGAAAAACCAACAATTTACAAGTCCAAAGTATGTTTGAGACCAGATCCAGATGAGGAGAATGTCTCCGGTCACTCGTTGCTTGTTGGTAATCTCCTCACTTGTGGGAAGGGATCAAACAAATATACACACGACTACTTAAGTACAAGCACAAAACAGAATGGCTACATGTGAATACAGCAGATAATACGAGATATAGCACACTAGCACAGGAAGAAAGTTAGCTTATTAGCTTGCTATCAATAGCTAAATGTAGCTAAATGCTTGCACACTGTGTACAACAGACAATCAAACTTTTACATGAGTAAATACATTTCAGTGAGAGCTTTGGGTCAACAGGATACGTAGCTAACCAGTTTTTTCCAGGATTACCACAGACTAGTCACAAATCAAGAGCGATTTCCCTGAAAATCTCGTTAAACCTTGGTTTTGTGCGTTCGAGCTTCCTTTGAATTCTTTCTTCGCCCTAAAGAGAGTAACGTGTGGACCAGGACGCTGACTTTTGGGGCTTTCTGTGCGATTCCATTTCTCTGGAGTGAGGAGGACGTGTTGTAGCCGTAGCAGAGCAGCCGGTTTTAAAGATGGCGGGTTAAGTTGTTTTTACCAAAGGGTCGGACGTCGCGTCCAGTGACTACATTCGTTGACCAATCAGTGTAATGGGGCTTTCAGACCGCCAACCCTGAAACGCGGAAGCCCCGCTCACCAGACGCGAATTCTCTAGTTTTCAGACGCAGATGACTTCACAGCAGAACGTCCTGACGTGAGCCGGAAGTACCGGAAGTAGCCGGCCGGCTCTAATGCTAACAGAGCTATGCTAGCGGCTTCTTGTGTACAGATCTTCTCCAATATGCAGCTTTGCAGCGTGTCTTTGTTCAGAGACCTTCCACGGGCTTTATATAACAGCAGTATGTGTTCACGGAGGTGCGCCATAAGTTTTTTATATTATTAAACGGAATTTCCGCATCGTTGAACACACTCGAAGCCGTTGCATAAGGTCACGGGAGCATGACAACGCATATTTTCACAAGCACACAGTCCCCCATTGTCAACCCAGGTTTGAGTTCTGGTGAAGTCTGGTTTGGGTCCTGTTTTGGCTGTTTACGAGTATTTTCCATCTCCTGTGGGCGTTGATTTTTCTCTCCTGCTCCTCCATTTTCGCTTTCCCGCCAAGTCCGTGCGTCATTATTGAACAGTTCGTTTGTGCGTGCCGAGAAGTCCGTGCGTTGTGACGGTCGAACGCGCGCCACCATAGACTTTGCATTTAAACCCGACGCAACGCATGATCCGGTCTGAAAGCCCCATTAGGCAGTCGGCTGACGTCACATCATGGTGTAGCTTCGGCCCGGCTGGAACCACTGTCGAGGTAGTACAAAGAAAGCACCCAAAACCTGGCCCCAACCCTGGTGGAAATGCAAAAGTACCACGCCGTACTGTACCATACCGTTACTGTGGAAAAGCGGCATAAGGAATATGGCAGCAGACGACACTGGTGAGAGATGTACATATATTAACAGACAAAACAGAAACGCACACAACCTGATTTTCAGTCGACTCTGCACTAGGGATGCACCGATACCAATACTGGTATCTTGTATTGGGTCGCTACCATAGGCTTTTACTCATTCTCATACCATAGGACGTGATGCAGAGCAACCCATACCCAAATGTTTAATTAACATTAGCATCACAACAGCAGACAGCTATGCGGTACATGTTGCAGTAGTACAAAATAGCATTTGTATGAGTGGAATATGACAGTGGCTTTCATTGTTTTCTTATTGTTGAAATGAGAAATAATTTATTTTTGAATTTGTTATTATTATTATTAATTCCCAGGGATACAATGCAGTACTCGAATCGGTATTCAGTTACGGCAAGTACTCAAATTTAAGGTTCTTGTACTCTTATTGTTCTTGAAAAAAGGGGAATCTGTGCATCCCTGCTGTCCATAAATGCTTTAAACTGACTTTTGACTAACATTATTATAATTGCTCCTTCCCCACTCCGCGCTCCCCCCCACAGGCAGCCGGGCCTCTGTGCTCTTGGCCCTCACGAACAGAGACTTGGAGCTGGACTTTGAAAACCGTCTGACTCTGTTAGAGCTGTTCTCTGAGACCACGTCCAGTGAGGAGCAGGGCAGCTGTGGCCATGCTCCTCTGCCTCAGGTGAGTCTGAGCTCTGATTCTGACCCCTGGCCCCTGACCTCTAACTCCTGACTCTGCGTTTGTCCTCAGATTCCTGGAAAGGCTCTATTTTCGTTGGTGAAGCGATACCTCAGAGTGACGCTGCTGGTTGACTCTGCCCCCTCACCCGACGATGGTCCCGCCTCCTGTCAGCGGCTGGAGTTTGACATTGCCATGGCAACAGCGGCGCTGCTCGCGGAGCTGCTGCGAGTGCTAGGCGGTGACCGCTCCCAGGCCCCGCCTCCAGAAACCAGAACCAGAAAGTCCATTTTCAAAGCCAATGACCAAGCAGAACACAGCAGCATCAGCCAATCACAACGCAGTCCCGCCCCCAGCAAAGAGTTCAGGTAGAGCGAGACCAGAGAGCGAGACCAGAGAGCGAGACCAGAGAGCGAGACCAGAGAGCGAGACCAGAGAGCGAGACCAGAGAGCGAGACCAGAGAGCGAGACCAGAGAGCGAGACCAGAGAGCGAGACCAGAGAGCGAGACCAGAGAGCGAGACCAGAGAGCGAGACCAGAGAGCGAGACCAGAGAGCGAGACCAGAGAGCGAGACCAGAGAGCGAGACCAGAGAGCGAGACCAGAGAGCGAGACCAGAGAGCGAGACCAGAGAGCGAGACCAGAGAGCGAGACCAGAGAGCGAGACCAGAGAGCGAGACCAGAGAGCGAGACCAGAGAGCGAGACCAGAGAGCGAGACCAGAGAGCGAGACCAGAGAGCGAGACCAGAGAGCGAGACCAGAGAGCGAGACCAGAGAGCGAGACCAGAGAGCGAGACCAGAGAGCTTATGTTTCTTTCCCTCAGGACTCGTCAGGATTTCCCGTCTCGATCCGAATACGAGCTGTACCTGCAGCAGACACTCACTCGGGGCAGCAGAGTGCAGATGAACCAGGACTATGAAGAGGTGCGCTCTGGAGACCAGGGGGAGTTCAGGACCAGCAACAATGGCTCTCCGCCTGTGCAGGTAAGACTCTTCCCCCCCGCAGGTGCGCCACACCCCCGCACAGATCTAACATGCCTCCCTCAACGTCACAGGTTTAAAAGTGTCAACTGAAGGGAGACACCAATAAAAACGTTTAAAAAGTTAAAATAATAAAAACAGATGAAAACTGAATAAAAATCTAGTTGTTGAAATAGTCAGAAGTTGATACAAAAAGCCTGGGGGTCCATTGTATTCCCGGTGCTGGACTTCCTGATGGCTTCGGTCTCCTCCCTGAGTTCGCTTGAGGCTTCTCCTCCATTTCATTTCATTTTGTGTTTCGTTTTGTTACATTTTGCGGCCGGGCCACAGATCGGGCCCCTCCGGACCCTGTGGCCCTTAAGCGGCTCGTGTTGGACTTCAAGAACCCAGCAGAGGATGTACTTCCTGCGGCAGCTCAGGAAAGCCAAGCTGCCTGCACAGATGTTGGTGCAGTTCTACACGGCCATCATCGAGTCCATCCTCACCTCCTCCATCACCGTGTGGTTCGCTGGAGCCACAGTCAGGGACAAACAGAGACTACAGCGCATTGTGCGCTCTGCAGAGGAAGTGATCGGCCGCAGCCTTCCATCGCTGCAGGACCTGTACGTCGCCCGAGCTCGAGGCCGGGCTGGTCGTATCACAGCCGACCCCTCTCACCCTGCACATGGACTATTCCAACCACTCCCCTCAGGCAGGAGGCTGCGGTCCATCAGGACTAGAACCTCCCGCCACAAGAACAGTTTCTTCCCCTCTGCTGTTGGACTCTTGAACACTTCTTAACCTGTCCCCCCGCCCTTTATAAAGTCACTTTACTGCCCATCATACGTCACTTTACTTCACTGTACTGCTGTCACCTTACATTGTGTGCACCATGTGCACTTGTATATTGTAAATAGTAACTGTAACTCTATTTTAAATTTAAATTTATTCTTTAGAAGTGTTTTTTATTCTTATTTTTATTATCTCTTTTTGACTGTTGCACTGAGCCAAAGCAATTTCCAAGTCTGTGACCTCCCGTTACTTACGTTGGCAATAAAAATGATTCTGATTCTGATTCTGATTAAGAGCCAGATCCTTGTGAGTGTTGACCCGCTCCAGTTTGCTTACAGACAGAACAGGAGCGTTGAGGATGCCATCTCCTTTGCTCTGAACTCTGTACAGTCACTTGGACACTAGTAAATCTGTCTGAAGAATGCTGTTCATTGATTATAGTTCTGCTTTTAACTGCCTTGTCCCAGGTAAACTGATTGAAAAACTCATGTCTCTCGGTTTAAGTGTTGCTATGTGCAAGTGGATTTTCAGCTTTTTAACTGACAGATCTCAGAGACTGTTTTTCTGATGTTGTTTCTGTGAGCACCGGTTCTCCTCAGGGATGTATTGTTAGTTCTTTGCTTTTTACATTGTACACTCATGATTGTGTGTCTTCCTCTGACTCGAACCTGATCATTAAATATGCTGATGATACCACCATCATCGGTCTCATCAGTATTAATGATGAATCCTCTTAAAGAGCAGAGATCCAAAATGTGGTTCAGTGCAGTAAAGTAAACAATCTCCAGCTGAACGCATCGAAAACATGTGAGCTGGTCTTTGACCTTAGCCGCAACAGTTCTCATGCCTGACCTGAAATGGGACAAAAACACTAGCCGGGTTAAGAAAGCTCTACTTTCTGCAAAAACTTAGAGAAATTCACCACTGACTTTAATATTCTGCTTAACTTTTATCGCTGCACCATTGAGAGTTTACTTGTTGGTTCTGTAACTGTGTGGTTTGGAAACATCACAGACACAGAAAGGAGAGCTCTGTGGGACTGTGGGATGTGAGCTGCCTGTTCTGGAGGTTCTTCATAAATCCAGACTTTTAAACCGAGCAACTCTGCAGCTGGATCCCGCCCGCGCATGCGTAATATGTATTACTTCTCACTATTCTCAGGTCAAATATTTATATGCGATTAAAATGCGATTAATTGCGATTAATTAATTACAAAGCCTCTAATTAATTAGTTTTATTTTTTTAATCGAGTCCCAGCCCTTTGTTTTATTTCTGTACTTTTAAGATTGTTTTATATATGTACTGATATATGTAATGTCTTGTGCACACTGGGGACTTGTGTAATATAATGTATTCCAATGTGGTTTTACTACCAATGGCAAATATATTAATCTGAATTAGAACCACTGAAACATGCAATAGAAAGAAAAAGAAGGTTTAAAAGCATGCAAAATATAAAACATACAAAACTTGTTCCTCTGACACAACATGCCCCCTCACAGCTGCGACATTCCCCTTCTGCTCCTTTGGTCTGTGAAATGTGATATAATAATAACAATGACTTCCTTGCCGCAGGTGCTCTGGGATACTTTGGGCAGAACGTACTGGGTTCACTGGCACATGCTGGACATCCTCAGCTCCTCAGCGAAGACCAAAGACCAGACTAAAGACCTGGGTAAAGACCAGACTAAAGTCCAGAGGCCAGAGACCAGACCTGGAATGGATGAATCCCTGCCCACAGGTGAGCTCTTCCCTCAAAGGCCGGAGACTAAAGGCCGGAGACTAAAGGCCGGAGACTAAAGGCCGGAGACTAAAGGCCGTTCACTCACTTGATTGGTGTTGTTCCCTCAGAGCTACTGCTGCCACGCCCATCCCTCTACACCTGTCCGTACCTGAACTCAGTTGAGGTAAAGGGGGCGGAGCTTAGCACAGGTGAGTGGTGGGAGGTGCTGTTCTTCGTGAGGAGCCTGGGGCCGGAGCTTCAGAAGCAGGTGCGGCGTCTCCTGCAGAGGGCCTTACACGTGAGTTTGTTACGTTCCCATTAAGTCTTTGTCAAGTCGCTGATGCCACTGTCGTCCTTAGGAGGCGGAGCTTGACGAGAGCGTGCTGATTGGCCTGAGCGTGCCCGTCTCCGTGGCTACGCAGGTGCTGCACTTCCTAGAGCAGCATCTGTCGGCTGCGAGTCTGAGCGAGCTGCGGTGGGCAGCGGTTTACCGCAAGCTGAGCAAGGTGGCGGAGCCAGGACCACGGCAGGATGAGGGGGTGGAGCCATCAGTGCGGCAAAGCGAGGGGGCGGAGCCAGGAGCGAGAGCTAAAGGTTTGAGCAGTGCATTACAGTTTCCATTTCACATTTTGCTTCAGCCCTTTAGGGCTTCGCTATAGTATATCTCTCAGAAGCACAGAGACATATGGTCTGGTTCTTCCTTTTCCTGCCTTGCAAGTTGGGCTGCGTTGGCACTTTTGGGAGAGGTGGCCCCGCATCCACTTTATGGTGATTTGTGGACGACCGTATTTTGCCGCTTGGTTGCGGTATGGGCACGTTGGTCACGGGTTTGCTCCAATCACTGGAGTTCATGCCTGCTGGGCGTACATTGGTCTGGGCTTCGCTATGTTATGAAAATAGCAAAGTCTAAAGGGCTGATTGGTACAGGGCCCTTAATATAGGGGATTGGCCTACGTCAGGACATCAAGGTGATTGGATTGGTTGATCGTTTTAGAAGATGCAACACAAAGTGCTTTACAGTTTGGTTAAAAACAATCTTGCCAGCCCATGACCCCCCTCCCCCCCAACCACCCACCTGCCCCCCCCAAAACGCATATATTATTAAGAACACCCACACGCAAAAAACACACACGCTCTGGCACACGCCCACACACACCAGTAAAACATTAAATCCATGAAGAGAGACTTGGCAGGGTTCAGATGCAACCAGCTGAAGAAGCGTCACCCAAGGAGCCGTCTGCACCAGGAGCAGAGAGCCGCCAGCAGCCACAGGGGACAACACAGGACCCAGAGGAGACATTAAGCAGAGGCTCCAGGCTCCCACTAGCTCCATGAGTCTGACCCCCACAGCCACAGCCGACCACCGCTCCCAGTGCAGAGGGCTCCTCCAGAGGAAACACTGGGGATACTAGTGTTTGATCTTCTCGGGGTGGGAAGCGGTTCATAGAACCATAGTTACATTAGGCAACAGGGGTTTACGTGCATCTCTACTGTACATTTTCTCTGTGTGAGATCAATAAAGTCTATCTTATCTTTTCTTATCTCATCTTATCTTACGCTATTTGGGAGTGTTTCCTCTGGTCCTGTATAAGCAGTGTCAGGTCCGCTTTGGTCCTGGTTCTAAAACGAGTTGAGTAGAGTCTTCTCCAGTCACTGTTTTGTACTTTAGTGACTAAAACACTACATTTTTTGACTTTTTCTTCAGGTTCAAAGTTGCGTTCTTCTGATGTCTGCATGGAGTCTGCCTCAAAGAAACCCAAGACAGAGGCCGAGGCCCAAGCCGAGGCCCAAGCCAAGGCCGAGGCCCAAGCCAAGGCCGAGGCCCAAGCCAAGGCCCAAGCCAAGGCCGAGGCCGAGGACCCATCCCAGTCCCAGGCCGAGGACCCATCCCAGTCCCAGGCCGAGGACCCATCCCAGTCCCAGGCCGAGAACCCATCCCAGTCCCAGACCACAGCGCTGGGACTGGACCAGGCTTCAGGGTCCACTGAGGCCTTTCTTCCAGGTCTGGAGCAATTGATCTCGGGTGAGTCTTGCAGTGTCAGTAGGGGACGCTGTAGTGAAGGGTCAGGGTTTTGGGAAGGCCTCAGGAGTTCATTGTTGAACTCCAATAAGCATGTCAGAGAGGTCAGAAGTCAGGGTTAAGGGTTAATCTCTCATAGCACTGTTCAATCCATTAATTAAGACCACTGCAAATTCACCAAGACACGGCTGCTCAAAGTTACAGCTCAAACCCGGACAACCTTGTGTTGTACTGGTCCTCTTCTATTTTTCTCCTGTTGTTGTGCTGGTCCTCTCCTTTATTTTTCTTTCTGTTGTGCTGGTCCTTTCCTGGTGTGACGGTGCTGTGATTGACAGAGTTTGCCTCGAGGGTGAAGCAGAAGTCGATTTTGAAGAAGCTCTCGGCGACCGTAGCAGTTCAAGAGACTGAGAGAGAGACTCGCGGCTCTCTAGCAGACCTGGGTCTGAGACTGGCCACTGTGGTCATCATGATCCATGGGCTGGACCAGGACTGTCCTGAGCGCTTCAAGACAGTCACCGAGTCCCAGACCAGGTACGGCCTCAGACCTGGTCTCTCTGGTCTCTCTCTCTTGTCTCTCTCAGGTCTTTCTTCCTGTTTTCACTATTCCTGGTCTCTCTCTCTCTGGGCTCTCTCTTGCCTCTCTCTGGTCCCCCCTTTGTCTCTTTCGCGCTTTGGTGTCTCTCTCTAGTAGTGTCTCCCTCTGGTTTCTCTCTCACTGGTCTCTCTCACTGGTCTCTATCTGGTCTAACCCGGTCTCTGTCTCAGGTCTCAGGTCTCTGCCGTGCTTATGGAACTGTTGGGGTCTCAGTCCAAGCTCCTGGTCTGGTTTGGACTTCGGTTGCTACAGAATGTTTTTGTGAAGTTTGATTGGAGGATTCACTTCTGCACAGTGGGCGGAGTCTGTGCTGTGCTGGGTGCCATGGCAACTCACTGCAAAAGTGCTCGTGTCCAGGGTGCAGCGCTAGATGTGAGTATAACCAGAGAGAGGGCGTGACCAGAGAGGGCGTGACCAGAGAGGGCGTGACCAGAGAGGGCGTGACCAGAGAGGGCGTGACCAGAGAGGGCGTGACCAGAGATGGCGTGACTAGAGACGGCGATCTTGTAGTTCTGTTTAGCTGTTTTTTGACTCTTCTCATGTCCTCCTTCTGTCTCAGGTCCTGCAGCTCCTCACTGGAGTGGGCACTGCACCTCCTCTTGCCGAGCAGCGTGTGGTGCAGGAGGTGTTTGCCAGCATCACCTCCGCCTCAGGCTCGAGGGGCCTCCTGTCGGCCCTCCCCTCAGGTCTGCATGTCCTGATGCAGACACAGAGGGAGGAGGAGGAGGAGGAGGAGGAGGAGAACATGAGAGAGGCAAAGGGGGTATGCCGGATGCTGGTGGACGTGCAGGAGATGCGCAGTGTCCTGGACGAGGTGAAGGAGGTGCGGTGTGTCCTGGACGAGCTGAGGTCCATTCTGGAGCGTCCCAAAGGAGTGTCAAGGGAGGATCAGCAAGAGGGGGAGGAGGTGAGATGGGGTAGGTGAGAGGGGGAGGTGAGATTAGAAATTGAGAGAGGGGAGGGATGAGGCAAGAGGGAGGTGAGAGAGGAGGTAAAGGAGAGGCTTTAATACATGTCGTACTGTTTAGCTCTTAAGTGATTCTGTACATGAAGTTTTCTAAGCATCACTCAGCAGTAACTAACACGGATGAACATGTGTTTGTTTCAGCGCTCAGAGCAGATTCGGTCGGGGCTCCTGGTTCTCTCCTGGCTTATGTCTCAGTCTGAGCTGAAGGAGGCGCTAGTGAGCAGTGACCTGAGCTGTGTCCTTAAGGAGTGTGTGAAGCAACAAGTGCATCCTGCCTTAGCCCTAAGTCTGCTGAGGGGCGTGGCTACAGGTGAGGGGTGTGGTCACCAGTGAGGGTTATGGCTACATTAGTGAGGGGCGTGACCAAAGGTGAGGGGGTGGCTTTAGTTGATAGGCTGGGAAGCAGGTCATAGTTGTAAGCTACGCTCCCAGACCTTGTCACAACAGAGGACACTCTAGACCAGGTGTCTCCAGCCTTTTTCACCAGAGAGCTACTTTACCGGGACGATAAAGGCAGAGAGCTACTCTGTGAAGCGGCCCTGGGAAATAATTGGTGATATATTGGTGTGAACGAGCCTGATATTGTTTACAGTCATTATTTATCATTGCCAGTGTTGGGCACTTTACTTTGAAAAAGTAATTAGTTATAGTTACTAGTTACTTCTCCCAAAAAGTAACTGAGTTACTAACAGAGTTACTCCACTATGAAAGTAACTAGTTACCAGTAAAAGTAGCTATTGCGTTACTTTTTAGTTTCGTTCTGGAACATAATGTGCACTCGACATGGACATTATGGACCTACAGAGCGACTTATTCACAATTTGTTTGGCTACAGCAGAATATGTTTCATACCTGCATTGTTTGCTGATACAAAACGCAAAAGTATGAAAAAGCACATGGGCCTTACCTTAAACATAAACTAACCTACGCAGGCACGGGGAGAACATGCAAGCTCCACTCAGAAAGATCCTGTTCCGACCGGGATTTGAACCCAGGACCTTTTTGCTGAGAGGCGAGAGTGCTATCCACTCATTAACTGTGCCGACAAAAACAAAACAAAGTCTAAAATAGGAATCCTTTATTGCAACAAAGATGATTTGCAGATTGACCAACATTTTAGTCAACAAATAAAAGACGAAACAAAAATAGACCATGACAAAATCCAATCAGAACAAGGGATCGATGAGGCAAATGAGAAAACAACCAATTGACTGGCCGGAGTATATACAAGGTTGACCAATGAGGGCTTGCCTTGTTAAGCACCGGTGGCACCAGTTGTGAACAGATTCTATTGCTAGCACTAAGCACGTTATCACTATTGCTGAAAAAGAAGCAGATCTATGGGCCCTTTTTACTTTTGACGAAAAAGAAAACCGTAGATGGCAATATTAAACCCCGCGATGTGCTCTAACGCCATCATGTGGACACAAACATGTATAACACTCTAAGTGCCTACAATAAATGGTGCGTGTGAGAAATCTACAGACTACACACTTCGACATTTTCTTAAAGGTTAATTTCTTTGCTTGGACATTTATTTGATTTTGTTTTATTGTACCAAATTATATTACATATTACGAGATTGCTTCAATGTATGTGTAACATTTATCTGACACGAACAATAAAGTAGCCTACAGTAACGTAATGAAGCTGCTTGTGTCATGTTTGTGATTGTTGGCTACAAGCAATAATACTCTACGTATTTGTACAAAAATGTCTATTTATACAAATGTCATGAGCAATGCGTTTCAGAAAATAAGTTGGACTAAAACCAAATTAAATCAGATTAAATCAAATTTAGTAACACTAAAATACATTATAGTCAAAAACTCTTCGCAATTAACACGTTTGTTGATAACTTCACCTTGCTGTTCATTCTCTTGTGTTAGACCTGGACCTGGACTTGGACCTTGTTGACACTTTTCTCTTTTGTCTCAGACCTGGACCTGGATCAGGACTTGGACCTCCCACAGTCCCAGCTGCAGACTCTGCTGTCGGGGCTGAAGGATCCTGGTGTCTCCACAGAAGTGATCCAAAGTCTGGAGAAGCTGCTTTGTGAAAGTCCACCAGCAGAGGGTGCTGTGTGGCTCAAACAGGTACTGTACTCCACATGGTGCAGGGACCAGCAGAAATATACTTCTCAAAAAAACAAAGTGTAAGGAGTGCTGCGTGGTACAAGTGTGTCAAATTATTTAAAAGACCAAATGCTCAATTAGAAGAGTGATTTAACTTAGCTACAAAAAGTGGAATGTTGAGGATGTCCTCAGTGACTTTAGGATGCAAATCCATCCTGAAGAAGGCCAGGCGAGGCCGAAATGTGTCGGTGCGTATTTTGAATTACAGCCATGAGAAAAGAAAGGCTTGGATTTCTTTGACTGACTTTCTATCCATCCATCCATTTTCTTCCCCTTAATCCATTTCTGGGTCGGGGGGTGACAGTCAGAGCTGCACCCAGTACACTTAGCACCAGCCTCTCACTGATCACTCTTTGACTTTCTAAGCTCTTCATAACTTGCTTTCACCTTGAAAGTAAACTCTTTGTTACTGAGATATACTTTTTATGTATGTGAATATAATAATGGTTAGCTTCAACGCTAATATTTTTGACACTGAAAATTTCCCATGTTCTTAAACATGAAAAATGAAGTTGTAAGGTCTAAAGCTCTCCTCTCTGATTGGCTGTTGTGGTCAGGTGACACAGAACGCTGACGTCTTATTGGACATGGTGAAGCTGATGGAGACGAAGAAAACTGACAAAACTGCAACAACCTCAGTTCTCAGGTCAGTGCTAACACAACTGTACCAGACTCCAGCGGACTCCTCTCAGTGGTCCATATGGTTCTCTGTAACAGTGTTGCTCTCTGATTGGTCACACAGGATTTTGGGTAAACTCTTGGATGATTTTCACGAAGACTTCCCGTGGCATCGAGTCATCGAGCCGAGTCTGACGGTTATCAGTCTGCACCTGACAGACCTGCCAGTGAGTCGACCTGGTCTATCCCACTGGTCTCTCTCTCTGGTCTCTCTCTCTGGTGTCTCCCACTGGTCTATCCCACTGGTCTCTCTCTCTGGTCTATCCCACTGGTCTTTCTCTCTGGTCTATCCCACTGGTCTCTCTCTCTGGTCTATCCCACTGGTCTTTCTCTCTGGTCTATCCCACTGGTCTCTCTCTCTGGTCTATCCCACTGGTCTCTCTCTCTGGTCTATTCCTCTGGTCTTTCTCTCTGGTCTATCCCACTGGTCTCTCTCTCTGGTCTATCCCACTGGTCTCTCTCTCTGGTCTATCCCACTGGTCTTTCTCTCTGGTCTATCCCACTGGTCTCTCTCTCTGGTCTATTCCTCTGGTCTCTCTCTGGTCTCTTTCTCAGGAGAGAGACCACTTAGTAACCAACTACAGGCCAATCTCCTTTCTAAGGAATGTCATGTCGAGGACATGATAGATAATGTAACCTGAGCTCTTGACAAAAAATATGTATAAAGGATTTGATACCATTGATCACAAACGACTTCTACAGAAATGCAATGGTCCTGTGTCAGAGGTGAACAGATGGCTCGAGAACTACTTCAATAATAGACGTCAACATGTCCAAAATAATGAAAGTAAATCACATTCAGAGACCTTATTTTGTGGATCCCCCAGGGGTGTGTTTTGGGCCCAAACAATTTATTCTTTATTTCAATGACATTTGTGAAGTATCAAAAATACAGAAGTTAGTGTTCTTTTTCAGGTTAATTTACTTATTTGTTTTTTTCAGGGTATGACCTAAATAAGTTAATCGACAATGATTAACCTGGTTTGACTTCAACAACTTTTCATTGAATAAGAAAAAAAAAAGATGTTGTTTTTTGGGCCCAGTAGAGCCCATTCTAATTTATAATTGTACTGGAATGGGATTGAAATTGAGGGATTCAATGAGATAATGTTCTTAGGGGTGATCATTGATCATCAAATTAGCTGGAAACCACTTATACCATAAATCCAGAGTAATATATCAAAAACAATTGGTATAATCTTTAAAACTAACTGTAAGTTATTAAATCTCTGCATAAATTATATTCATCACTTGTGCTTCCCTATCTGTCTTACGGCTCAGAAATCTGGGGAACCACTTATAAAACACATATAGATCCTAGAAAAAAAGTAGAAAAAAGGGCAATACATTTATTAGATAAAGTGGGTTATCGTGACTCTATTAATGAACTCTTTATCAAATCTAATCATGTTAAAATGTATGGACATAGTCAAGGATAAAATGCTAGAAATCTTATTCAGAGTTGTAAAAAACAAAGATATTCCTGCAGGTGTTCAATCTTTCTTCAAAATAAGAACAAGTTGCTTCAATCTTGAGAGGCTTCAGTTGGAAACGATAGAATCCAGAACTTACATTAAAAACACATGTGTCTGGCATTGGAGTAAAAATGTGTAATGCTCTTAATGATCAGCTTTGCTACAAAAATAAGGTTGCCCTCACCAATCCTCTTTTGTTTGTAAAGTCAGAGAATGTAATATCTGTTTATAATCAAACAGTTGACAAATACATTTATTCTCCTGTCTAACCCAATCTCTCGCTGGTCCTTAGCTGGTGCAGCTGTCTCTGGCCTTGCTGGTCCGGTTGGGAACCCTGGATAAGGACCATGCGGTTCTGATGGTCCGGTCTGGTGCTGGTCCAGTTCTGGATCGAGTCCTGGAGAAACACGAGTCTCTGAAGGCGGCGCTGGACCTGAAGGAGCTAACCCATGAAATCGACTGGGTCTCTGGTCTCTACGAGAGGCTGGGGTCTAGCCTGATGTCCGGTTGTATACAGGTACGCCTGTAGGACTGTACGCCTGTACTACTGTAGGTCTTTAGGACTGTACGCCTGTAGTACGGTTTTCCAGTTGTACTGTACGTCTATAGTACCGCACGCCTGTAGAACGCTTTTAGTACTATATGCCTGTAGTACTGTACGCCTGTAGCCTCACATGTAAAGGGTAACATTATGGTGCCCCTGACCTCCGACTCTTGGTCACATGCTGTGGTTGTGGATGTGCTCTGCAGCTGGTCCTGGGTCAGATTGAGGAACACCGTCGCTCTCATCGTCCAATCAACATCCCCCTGTTCGACGCCTTCCTGTGCCACCTGTGCCAAGGTACACGTTTATTTTAAGTGTTCTCATGAGCTCTGACCCTGAAGCAGCAGCGTCTGATGATACACACACATGAATAATGATTCATTATTTAATTAATAATTAACTAAAGAAGCAAACACTGTGAAATGTTCAGTTCATAACTTCAGACTTCAGAAGATTAGAATTTCCTCAAATAAAGTGCTTTGAAATCAAACAAAATGAGGCTCATCCTCTACCACCTCCTGGCCACACCCTCTACAGGTACAACCTCTACAGGAGCAGCTTTAAAGTGCTTCCACTGGCAGAGGCAAAGTGCTGGTCCTAAGCTGGACTCAGACCTCTGTAACAAAGTGCCGGTCGAGCTGGGCTCACAGACTGTAACAAAGTGTAGGTCCTCAGCTGGTCTTAGACCCTGTAACGAAGTGCTTTAAACTCTAACATGTTTTGTTTAAACTTAATTTACTCTGCAATTTAAGTATATAAACATCAGATCATTTAAATCAGAGCTGGAGAATACTGTAGCCTCCAGAACAGTAACACACAATGAGGTCTGTGGGCCTGTGATTGGGCCGCTGAACCATAGTATTTCCCCCTCCCTTGCTGTGGGTGGAGTCTGTCTTTAGCCACTCCCTCTCTGCAGGGTTGGGGCAGAGCCTATATCAGGCCTCTCCCTCTTTACAGGCTAAGGGTGGAGCTTTGTTAAACCCCTCCGTCCTTGTGGGTGGAGCCTGTGTTAAGCTCCTCCTTCTCTGCAGGCTCGGGGGCTGAGCTTCGCGAGGACCAGTGCTGGGAGAAGGTGGAGGTTTCATCCAATCAGCATCGAGCCAAAAGTCTGACGGACCAGAACCCAAAGACCTACTGGGAGTCCAACGGAGTGTCAGGGTCGCACGCCATCACTGTGGTGATGAGAAGGGGCGTGGTCATCAGGTTGGTAACTCCGCCCCCTCACACTGTAACCCCACCCCCTCATGTTTTTAGACTCGACATTGGCTCTGACACTTCGTGGAAGCGTCTGCGTGTGTGTCTGTGTCTGTGTGTGTTTGTGTCTGAAACACATAGACACATGTACTCGAGTACACAAACACACACACACACACACATTCTCGAGTACAGACAAAGGCACATACTCGAGTACACAGACTCCTTCTCTCCTCAGGGAGCTGTCGGTGCTGGTCTCCTCAGAGGACTCCAGCTACATGCCCTCAAAGATCCTGGTGTATGGAGGAGAAGAAAACACTGCATCTGCTCTGACCTCAGAACTCAGCACGGTGAGAGGGTCCAGAGAGCGGGTCCAGAGAGCGGGTCCAGAGAGCGGGTCCAGAGAGCGGGTCCAGAGAGCGGGTCCAGAGAGCGGGTCCAGAGAGCGGGTCCAGAGAGCGGGTCCAGAGAGCGGGTCCAGAGAGCGGGTCCAGAGAGAGTGTCCTATTGGGGTCACTATGAATTACCAAAAAGAATGCAAGATATTTTTATTTAACTCATTGACTGTCAGCAATTGTTGATGATTTCACTGATTTTCAAGAACCACAGAATATTGTGAAATATAAAATGAGAATCTGAAAGACTGGTCTACTTTCAGGAGCTAGAAGAAGTTTGTTTCTAGCTTGTTTCGGTCTCCTTTGGTTCTCCTGTAATCCCCAGTCGGAAACCATGTAGAACAGTGATTGTAACCACACCCACATCCACAAACTGTTGCTTGAATATTTCAAAAGTAATCATCCAAAGAACGTCAAAATTTACATATTGAAAGTAGAGCCCATGACAATCTATGGCAGAACGAATGGCCAGTATTCATCCATTAGGTGGCGCTATATTTATGTAAATAACAGTAAGTTACAGAATAACATACAATGATAAAGACAAAATTATAATAAACCAAACTGAACAGACTATATACCGCTACAAGAAGTGTATTAGAATACTGTGTGTGTCTTTGTGTGCTTTTGCACGCATGTATGTGCATTTGTGTGGTTACATCAACAGAGTGTCATTCTTTTTAGTCCAGCGAGCGCTGACGATAACTGGACTTTGCCGCTGGCTCCTGGTGTGGGCTCAGTGATTATTAGCGATAGTCTACTTTTCTGTGGATTTTTTGGGTGTGCTGCCCTGGTGTGCTGCCCTGACCCTCCACATGGTCTCCGTCCGCTCTAGAGACACATGTACTGCTCAAACTGGCTCCAAATGAAGCCATTCCTGGCTGTATTCCTTCGCATTCCTTCTGTCTCTCCTGCACACAGCCCTCAGATCTTTGATCAAGACAACCGCAGAGCGGGTGGTTATTGGTTATTGGTTATTCTTCTGCCCTAACTCTGTCCTCCTCAGGTGAACGTGCCGCCCTCTGCTGGACGTGTAGTGCTGCTGCAGAACCAGACTGTGTTTTGGCCTGTGATTCAAATCCGGATCAAGAGATGTCAACAGGTCACACACACATACACACACATACACACACATACACACACATACATACACACACATACACATTTACACATTTACACACTCTCTGACAAATGAACGTAACTGTGTGGAACTGTGTGTGTGTGTGTTCAGGGTGGGATCGACACTCGTGTGCGTGCCCTGGAGGTCCTGGGTCCTAAACAGACTCTATGGCCTGTGTTTAAAGAGCAGCTGTGTCTCAGGACTCACCTGTTCTACACCTGTAAAGCTCAGAGCTGGAGTCAGCCAATCAAAGGGCAGAAGACTCAGCTGCTGCAGGTCTACCACAGGTCTGTCAGCCAATCACAACAGCCCATAGAGGGCTGTCACTGGCCACCACTGAAGCTGATGTCAAAGCTGTATTATGTGTTCAGGTTGAACGCTGTGTTGAAGTTGGAGCAGGCGTTTGCAGACCGTTTCCTTCCAGACACTGAAGCCGCATCCGCCTTGGGGCAGACTGTGTGGGACGCTCTGGTCTGTCCTTTGGTGCACGCTGTGACATCATCAGGTGAGACTCCGGCAGACATTTAAAGAGCGGTAGATGCGGTGTCTACTCTTTGATGTCTATGGTACTACTGTAGGCAGACTCCCTCGCTTTCTCCTAGCAACCAGGAGACGGTGGGGGTCTGTGGAGTACTACTGCTGCAGTATTACTGCTCTGGTAGTGCAGGAAATCTACAGCAGTTCTACTACAGTATTCATGTACTCCACAGACTCCCCTGCGCTCTCCTGGTTGCTAATGCAGTACTTGTTGAACTCTGCATCGTCACGGCGATGGAAAAGCCCGGCAGCCATCTTTAACTCCAGAGTGCGACGCCTCGTTCACCTTCTTGTTCACGTGGACACAAGCCCTGCCCCTCTGCTTGAGCCCCGTCCGCATGCAGGTTAGGCCATGCCCACACAGTGGCCACGCCCCTCACATGGAGCAGTGAGCAGGGCATTGGGTCTAAACTCTTCTTCATGTTCCAGATGTTTCCACAGCTGCGGTCAGAAAAGAGCGCAGCAGCATCAGTGACATGGCCCTCTGCTGGCAGGCCGTGGTACAGCAGCAGGTACAACTATAACACACACAGAAATACTTACACAAATGACACACACACACAAACAGACCCACACAAATGAAACATACAGACACACACGCACAAATGAAACGCACGCAGACACACGCATAACATTATAATAATGCATTACTAAAGTGTTATGTTTAAGTTCATCCAGTCTGCCTTTGTGTGCTCTGCAGGTGCAGGCCTTCCTCAGCTCTCACCTGGATCAGGTGGGTCGGGCCTCCCTGGAAGTAGGAGCGGCCTCTCTGAATGTGGGCGTGGCCTCCCTTGATGTGGGTGTGGTCTCCCTGGATGTGGGCGTGGCTCAGCGCTTCAGTGACTTGTACCTGACACTGCAGAGATCCACCACTGAACTTTTCCACAAACACCAGAGCTTCAGTTGTGCTCTGAGACAAGGTTTCTGCTCTGCTCTTCTCAGGCTGTCAGCGAGGGAGGGCATCCAGGTGAGAGAGACACTCACTCACTCACTCACGGGAGGGCATCTGGGAGAGTCGGAAAATACACACTATTGTAAACATCTTTTTCTTGTTCTGCAGCTTTGTGAGTGCTTTGCTCGGCACATTGGTCACATGATCAGCCAGCTGAGCTCACCTGGAGGGGCGGAGTCACAGCTGATGGGGGTGGAGTCACATATGAAGGGGGCGGAGTCACAGCTACACTTGTTTTTAGATTCCATGTTGTTTCTGAGCGGACTTGAGCTGGCTAACACCTTTGAGCACTTTTACAGGTGAGATACACAACTGCACACAACTACACACAAGTACACAAAACGACACACAGTTATACCCCCAACACAGCTTGGAGTTGGGGGTATGGAGACTGGCATCTGATTTGCTTTTGTGTGGCCTGTAGGCAGTTCTTGTCGGACCGGCTGCTGCTTATTGGCTGCGTGTGGCTGGAGAGCGCTGTGATTGGTCAAATCGGAGCTTGTTTCCCGTCTCGCTTCCCGCAGCAGATGCTTCTAAACGTGCGCGAGTCAGAGCAGCTGCAGCGGGACTTCAGTCTGCATCAGCTCCACAGACTGGACCAAGAACTGGACCAAGACCAAGACCTGGACCAAGACCTGGACCCAGACCTCGAGCAGGACCGAGATGTGGAGCTGGATCTTGACCAGTTCAAGACCGACTCAGACCAGGTGAGTTCCAGACAGTACCATTCAGAATCTGCTATAGACCTGTTTTAGTCCTGCCTTAGACCTGCCTTAGACCTGTTTTAGTCCTGCTTTAGACCTGCTTTTCGACCTGCTTTAGTCCTGGTCTTGACTGGGTCCTTCCACAGAGCCCTGAGGTCCGGGTCCTGGTTCTGTCTCCTCGGTGCTGGAACATCTCTTCACACTTTTATTTGGATCAAAAGCGTTTGGAAATTCTGCCACAACCGCTTCTGAAGTCACTGCAGCTGTATGAGGACTTCTACCAGCACTGTGAGTACCAGCCACTGATTGTCCTGCTCCTGGTCCCAGTTTTGGTCCTGGTCTCAGACCTGGTCTTGGTCTTAGACCTGGTCCTGGTCCCAGACTTGGTCCTGGTCTCAGTCTTGGTCCCTGTCTCAGACATTGTCTCAGTCTTGGTTCTGGTCTTGGTCACTTTTCAGACCAGGCCCAGATGAGTCCTAGGGGGTCCTCTCCTCGCAGACTGCAGTGGACGTCTCTGGGATCGGCTGAGGTCTCCTTCGGGTCCTGGACTCTGACCGTGTCCTCGGTCCAACTGCTGGTCCTGCTCCAGTTCAATCAGACCCAGGTAAAACAGACCAAACCTGACTGTGTGTGTGTCTATGTATACAATTGTGTGTGTTTGTGTGTATAAATGTGTGTGTGTGTGTGTCTGTGTTCACAGGAGCTGAGTGTCTCTTCTCTCGTGTCTCACACTGGTCTGACTGAATCTGTGCTGCTCCACGCGCTGCAGCGACTGACGAGCTCTGAGGGCCCCTTATGCTACAGGGACCAGGACCAGGGCCGAGACCTGGACCTGGACCAGGACAAAAGCCCAGGTATTATCTGTCTCTGTTCTGCTGTACTGTCTCCATCTCCATTTCTCTGTCTCTGTCCTCAGTCTCTGTCCTCAGTCTCTGTCCTCAGTCTCTGTCCTCAATCTCTGTCCTCAGTCTCTGTCCTCAATCTCTGTCCTCAGTCTCTGTCCTCAGTCTCTGTCCTCAGTCTCTGTCCTCAATCTCTGTCCTCAGTCTCTGTCCTCAGTCTCTGTCCTCAGTCTCTGTCCTCAGTCTCTGTCCTCTGTCCTCAGTCTCTGTCCTCAGTCTCTGTCCTCAGTCTCTGTCCTCAGTCTCTGTCTCTGTCCTCTGTCTCTGTCCTCTGTCTCTGTCCTCTGTCTCAGTCTCTGTCCTCAGTCTCTGTCTCTGTCCTCAGTCTCTGTCCTCAGTCTCTGTCCTCAGTCTCTTTCCTCAGTCTCTGTCCTCAGTCTCTGTCTCTGTCCTCAGTCTCTGTCCTCAGTCTCTTTCCTCAGTCTCTGTCCTCAGTCTCTGTCTCTATCCTCAGTCTCTGTCCTCAGTCTCTGTCCTCAGTCTCTGTCTCAGTCTCTGTCCTCAGTCTCTGTCCTCAGTCTCAGTCTCTGTCTCAGTCTCTGTCCTCAGTCTCTGTCCTCAGTCTCTGTCTGTCTCTGTCCTCAGTCTCTGTCCTCAGTCTCTGTCCTCAGTCTCTGTCCTCAGTCTCAGTCTCTGTCTCAGTCTCTGTCCTCAGTCTCTGTCCTCAGTCTCTGTCTGTCTCTGTCCTCAGTCTCTGTCCTCAGTCTCAGTCTCTGTCCTCAGTCTCTGTCCTCAGTCTCTGTCCTCAGTCTCTGTCCTCAGTCTCTGTCCTCAGTCTCTGTCCTCTGTCTCTGTCCTCAGTCTCTGTCCTCTGTCTCTGTCCTGCAGTCCTCCGCCTGGACCCCCTGGTGGCACTGCGCTCCACACAGAGCTCTGCTCATGTGTCTCTGCTTCCTGAGGACAACTACAGGCCACGGGAGGACACAGCGGCCATTTTGGAACGCAAGAGGAACTTTCTTTTGTGTTTGATCGCCCGCGTGCTGAAGCAGGAGAGAGAGGTGCACGTGGACCACCTGGTGTACAAGGTAGATGACCTCTGACCTCTGACACGCTGGTCTCAGTCCTGATCTCTCTGGAATAGGGCTAGGAAAACGAGATTTGTTATTCAAATATAATTATATTATTCATTTTCAGGATATACCAGGAATGAGAATGGTCCACGGATCCCGCTGAAAATGTCATTTCTGTGAAATGTGTGATTATGGGCAATTGCTGTTATTTGCTGTACGTTCTTGAACAAGATTCCACATCCTCCGCTCTGACCCAGGGCAGTTGCGGCCGCTTTGTAATGACAGCGGCTCCTGTGAGCTGCTTTGACAAGAGCTCAGCGAACGCACAACTGTAACGAGCTCATATCGAGCGTGGACCATAGACCGCCCCGAGCTTGTTGCAAGTGCGGTCTCCCCCGTGTCTCATACAGACGCAAACACGTTAACAGCACTTGTTTACAAGGCTGGAGGGATGTGCTCACACTGTGTCTGTCCTGGTTTAGTCCTGGTTTAGTCGTGGTTTAATTCTGGTTTAGTCCTGGTTTAGTCCTGGTTTAGTCCTGGTTTAGTTCTGGTTTAGTTCTGGTTTAGTTCTGGTTTAGTTCTGGTTTAGTCCTGGTTTAGTCCTGGTTTAGTCCTGGTTTAGTTCTGTTTTAGTCCTGGTTTAGTTCTGGTTTAGTCCTGGTTTAGTCCTGGTTTAGTTCTGGTTTAGTTCTGGTTTAGTTCTGGTTTAGTCCTGGTTTAGTCCTGGTTTAGTCCTGGTTTAGTTCTGGTTTAGTCCTGGTTTAGTCCTGGTTTAGTTCTGGTTTAGTTCTGGTTTAGTCCTGGTTTAGCTCCTGTTTTGGTTGTATTTGAGTGTTTTCTTCTTCTTGCTCTGACTGGCTCTGTCCCCGTGACCACTTTGCGGCTCGTTGATTGGTTTGCGATTTTGTTAGCTTAGCCGTAACACCAACTTGAAACCACTCAATCCTGGTCTCTGATCCCAGTCCTGGTTTCTGGCCTCAGTCCTGGTTTATGGTCTCAGCCCTGGTTTCTGGTCTCAGTCCTGGTCTCTGGTTTGAGTCCTGGTGTCTGCTCTCAATCCTAGTCTCATGACATCAACTAAACTGAAAACCCTGTCAACAGGTGTTGGACTTGTGTCAGAAGAGTCCGGCTGATTCTTCAGAAGCTGGTCCTGGTCCCAGGCCCCTTGGTTCAGACCCGGCTCGGGGCTTGTTCTCCTGCTCCTCTGCAGACGTACTCTCATGTCTGATGCATCTCTTCAGTAAAAACCTGGTTCGGCGAAAACCAGACCGACCCCAGATCCTTGAGTACCTCCAAGAGTCTTCCAGTCCCCCCCGAGGCCAGGCCCTGGACTGCAGCCAGGCCAGGTACTTTAGTCCTGCTTTAGCTCTTGATTTAGTCCTGCTGTAGACCTGCCATAGACCTGCTTCAGTCCTGCTTTAGTTCTCTTTTAAACCTAGCTTAGACCTGGTTCTGTCTTTCAGTCTCGACTTGGGTCGGACTCTGACACAAGATGAAGTTCAGGAGCTAATGAAGAGGACAGTACAGCAGGTATGACATCACAGGCATCTCCTCTGGGCCCTCTGCAGCCTGGCCTCTGGTCTCAGTCCTGGTCTCTCTGGTCTCAATCCTTCTCTCTCTGGTCTCATCCTCAGGTCGCTGATGCTGTCTCCATGACGACAGAGTGGGCGGAGCATCTGTTGGTTGTCAACCTGTGGGATGTGGACCGCGTTCTGCAGCGTTACCCTGACGACCCCACGGCCCTGCTGCTGGAGGCGGGGCTTCAGAGCGCAGACTCCGCCCCCGAGATGTCAGACTGTTCATTGTGTCCCGTCTGCCTGAGCGCCACCACTGAGGCCACGCCCACTCTGAGCTGCGGACACTTCTGTTGCCAGGTAACCGTCTGACTGTCCATCTGTGGCTCCAAATGTTTAGGGCCCCAATGAGTTAATGCAACGTCATCTGGTCTCTATCTGGTCTCTCTCTTCTGGGTTCTATCTGGTCTCTATCTGGTCTCTATCTGGTCTCTATCTGGTCTCTCTCTTCTGGGTTCTATCTGGTCTCTATCTGGTCTCTATCTGGTCTCTATCTGGTCTCTCTCTGGTCTCTCTCTGGGACTTCTGGTCTCTCTGGTCTCTCTGGTTTCAGTCTTGCTGGGAGGAGTACCTGACGTCCCGTATAGAGCAGAACTTGGGCCTCTCCTGTATCTGTCCAATTACAGACTGCACTGCTCAGACCACGCCCACTTTCTACCGACGCGTTCTAAAGGACGCTGACACGCTCCGACAGGTGAGAACCAAAAACTGGGCATTCATCCCGGCTTGCGGCTTAATGTTCAATGTCAACATTACGACCTAATATAGATGGAACTTTGTCATTTACATACCCCAGCTTTTCTCTCCTCACAGCTCACCTGGTGTTCCTCTCCCCACAGTAGCTCACCTGGTGTTCCTCTCCCCACAGTAGCTCACCTGGTGTTCCTCTCCCCACAGTAGCTCACCTGGTCTTCCTCTCCCCACAGTAGCTCACCTGGTGTTCCTCTCCCCACAGTACCATGGCGCTCTGGTTCGGTCCTATGTGGACTCGTGCTCTAACCTCACCTGGTGCACAAACCCATCTGGTTGTGGCCGTGTCCTGATGAGACAGACTCAAGTCGACTCCGGACGCTGTGACTGTGGCTGGACCAGCTGCTTCAACTGTACATTCATCGAGGTGTGTGTGTCTGTGTGTGTGTCTGTGTCTGTGTCTGTGTGTGTCTTTCACTCTCTCTTTCAATCTGTGTGTGTCTGTCTCTATATGTGTCTCAGTGTCTGTGTGTGTTTGTGTGCGTGCGTGCTACAGTTGTGCCTGACCAGTCCTGGTGTGTTGCTCGCAGGCCCACTTCCCGGCGTCGTGCTCGCACATGTGTCGCTGGGTGGATGATGGAGGCTTCTATGAGGGCATGAGTCTGGAGGCTCAGTCCAAACATTTGGCCAAACTCATTTCCAAGCGCTGTCCTCACTGCTCCACCGCCATCGAGAAGAACGAGGGCTGCCTGCAGTAAGACCAACACCAGGGGGAGCTCTTTGATCTCTCTGGTCTCTCACTGGTCTTTACTGGTCTCTCTTTCAGGTCTCTCTCTGGTCTCTTCACTGGTCTCTCTCTCTGGTCTCTCTCTCTGGTCTCTCTCTCTGGTCCCTCTCTGGTCTCTCTCTCTGGTCTCTCTTTCTGGTCTCTCTCTCTGGTCTCTCTCTCTGGTCTCTCTCTCTGGTCTCTCTCTCTGGTCTCTCACTGGTCTAACCTGGTCTGGTCTGGTTTCAGTATGACATGTGCTAAGTGCAGTCATGGATTCTGTTGGCGTTGCCTCAAACCCTGGAAACCGACTCACAAGGACTACTACAACTGCTCCGCCTCGGTGAGTCTAGGACGTGGTCTATGGCCAGTTTTGTCCAGGACCGGTTTTGTCCAGCACCGGTCTGGTCCAGGACATGGACCTGGTCCAAGTCCGGTCTGCTCCGGGACATGGTCCATAACCAGAGTCTCTGGTCTGTTGCAGGTCAGTAAAGCAGCTCGTCAGGGAAAGAAGTTTCAGGATTTCAACGAGAAGTGTACGTTCCAGCACCAGGCCAAGGTGAGGCATGGCCCAGGGTTTTCTAATCATCAATTTACCTTTTAAAGCTGCACTAACTGACTTTGGGATTTTGAAGCCGCGGACTCGCTGGCCTCTCTCTTTCTGCAACCCCTCCCCGCACCCACGAAGCTATCGCCCCCCACACACACCCACTGTTGGGACGGAGCTAGCGTCTGCCAATATGGATAATACATGGATATGGATTTTCACGTGGATGGCGTGACCATAGAACGATAGAACCGGGAAGCGCGGAGGAACGAGACTTTCTTTTGGATGGCTGTTAAGCTGTATAAGCAGTAACCGGTGACGAAGACACACGAAGCTTCAGGTTAGCTCCGATGCTTGTTGTGCTAACTCAGCCGTCTATGCTAACGGACCTGTAGATTTCTCACGAAAGTGGGGGCCAGTGGTCCGCTGTGATTGGTCACAATCTGAGACCCGAAACACATTCTCTTCCTTGTTTCATCAAAACTCGATCTAAAATATAATGTCACGCCGGCACAAATCTGCGCTACTTTTTCTTCAAAAGGACGTATATCCCAATGCCCTACACGGACATGGATAGCATTTTAGTAATGAATACAAAAATAAAGTCAGTTAGTGCAGCTTTAATAAAAGTTTTCAAAAATAAAGGAACATTGACCTTTTAGGGCATTTTCCAGATAGACCCTCTGTAGACCCTCTGTAGACCCTCTGTAGACCTCTGTGGGCGTTGACACTGGATCGTGCTGCAGCGACCAATCAGAGAGCTGCAATGTTGGACACAAGCCAATCAGAGCAGGACTAAATGTATCTTGTCTGTAGAAAGAACCAGACGGACTTGGAGGAAGTCGCTGCCTTTGTGGATGATGAGCTTTGCCGGCCGCCGCTCGCACACGTGCCGCCGCTTGCACACGTGCCGCCGCTTGCACACGTGCCGCCGCTTGCACACGTGCCGCCGCTCGCACACGTGCCGCCGCTCGGACACGTGCCGCCGCTCGGACACGTGCCGCCGCTCGGACACGTGCCGCCGCCGCTCGGACACGTGCCGCCGCTCACGCTCGCACGTGCGCGCCGCACACGTGCCGCCGCTCGGACACGTGCCGCCGCTCGCACACGTGCCGCCGCTCGCACACGTGCCGCCGCTCGCACACGTGCCGCCGCCGCTCGCACACGTGCCGCCGCTCGCACACGTGCCGCCGCTCGCACACGTGCCGCCGCTCGCACACGTGCCGCCGCTCGCACACGTGCCGCCGCTCGCACACGTGCCGCCGCTCGCACACGTGCCGCCGCTCGCACACGTGCCGCCGCTCGGACACGTGCCGCCGCTCGCACACGTGCCGCCGCTCGGACACGTGCCGCCGCTCGCACACGTGCCGCCGCTCGCACACGTGCCGCCGCTCGCACACGTGCCGCCGCTCGGACACGTGCCGCCGCTCGGACACGTGCCGCCGCTCGGACACGTGCCGCCGCTCGCACACGTGCCGCCGCTCAGACACGTGCCGCCGCCTCCACGCTCCAAATCAACCCAGTTCAGTAATGTTTTGTTGCAGCCAATTCATTAGAGTTGAATGATAGATAGATACTTAGTTGATTCCCCGTATGAGAAATTCAGGTGTCCGGTCGCAGAAGAAACACATGCATTCATACAAACAAAACAAATAAATTGATCATTCTAAAAATAGCTAACAATAGAATGCAGCAGAGGCGGAGTTGACGAGTCATGTGTGGGTTAGATCATTTTCTCTGAGTTAAAGTTAGCATTCCTCCAGTGGAGTTTCACCTGATCCGCTTGTTTTGGACCATAATTACTCTCTGCTCTGGTCTGGACCAGTGTAAAACCATGAATCCTCTCTGCTCTGGTCTGGACCAGTGTAAAACCATGAGTACTGTACTGCAGCAACAGGTAGAATATAGCAAGAAAAATAACAATTGTAAAACACAAAACGACAACTGTTTCAGAGACACTTGGGACTTGCTGATCTCTGTCTCTCTGGTCTCTTTCTGGTCTGTGGTGTCTCTTTGGTCTCTCTGGTCTCATGTATTCTGTCTCTTGTCTCAGGACTTTGCTCAGTCCCTGGTCCACAGAGTGTCCTCTCAGTCCTCCTCGGTCTCAATGTCCACTCTGTCCTTTGTCCTGGAGTCCTGTCGGGTCTTGGTCCAGGCTCGAAAAGTCTTGGCTTACAGCTGCGTCTACAGCTACTACACCCAGAGTCCCCAGAACCAGGTCCAGAACCAGGTCCAGAACCATATCCAGACACGGGTCCAGACAGAGGTCCAGACAGAGGTCCAGAACCAGGACTGCAGCCAGGACCAGCTGGACCTGCTGGAGAGCCAGACCGAGGCCCTGGAGACCCACGCCACAGCCCTGCAAGTGCTGCTGGGTAAGACCCCAACCCTTCTGTTCAAACACAGTAGCAAGGCAAGTTTATTTGTAGAGCACAGTTATTCTGTCACTGTGTTTTCAGAGGAGACGCTGCTCCAGAGCTCAGACCTCGGATCCAGTCTGAACCTGATCAAACCAAACCAGATCTGCACCGGTCTACAACTGGTCCAGAGAATCGAGGAGAGACTGAGGGCAGTGCACCAGCACTCCACACAGGTGATGTCACATGGTCCACACATAGTCCACACCTGAGACTACTATACTGATGGACAATACTAACCCACTAGCTCAATGAAGGGCAATAGAGAAGTGCTCATGGTGAAGAATCAGAATCAGAATCATTTTTATTGCCACGTAAGTAACAGGAGGTCACAGACTTGGAAATTGCTTTGGCTCAGTGCAACAGTCAGAAAGAGATAATAAAAATAAGAATAAGAAACACTTCTAAAGAATAAATTTAAATTTGAGAGTTTGGCCCTCTCTCAAACACTTGATCGTTGTAGAAACCAAACCACACACAAGGGGGGGAGGTTTTGATTTGGGACTAAGTCTTTTTTGTTTTTTTCAATAGGATTTCAGACTCAGCTGTGATTCTAAAAGCCAATCAGACAACCCCAACGCTTCAGGAGCAACCAATCAGAGCGCAGCAAACAAAGAGTAAGAAACGTTTATCTTTAGGACTGGTCTAGAGAGTCCAGGTCAGACTGGTCTCAGGTCCAGGTCCGACTGAGGGGGATCTATAGAAACGCATGTATTCTGTTTATGTTTCAGGACTAACTCAGACTCAGATCCAGATCAGAACCAAGACCAGAACCTGGAGGAAGACTATGATGACTACGATGATTATGATGAAGATGAGGATTATGCTCCGGATTATGACTATGACGAAGACGATGTGGACGAAGAGTACTACTCAGACTATGACCAGGACTATGGTCCCTTCGACTGAACCAGGACCAGGTCTATTATGGAGACCAGGACTAGGACCGGGACCAGGACTAGGACCGGGACTAGGACTGAGCCAGGACTTTCTACGGCGACTGTTCTGAAATCGCCGCCGCCTTAGTTCTAAAATTGCCTACATAATAAGTTTTAATTTCAGTTTTTCGTTTCTGTAAAAATGTTTGAATAAAAATCTAAATGTAGAAAATTGTTCTGAATAAAAGTCGATCAAACATGTTTTCATGAGTTTGTTTTAAGAAATCACCACAGTGTGACATCATCAAGCTGATCAGGTTGAAGTCCACTTCAAACATAATCTCTAACGTACTTACTGCACTCTTCTGTAGTGTACTTTACTATACTTACAACAGTCTAATGTACTTACTGTACTCTGCTGCACTCTTGTACTCAACTGTACTTACTGTACTTTACACTACACGGCTGCCCCTGGTGGAGGACGGTGGTTCTGCAGATTCGTCCTCGGATCATCAACCATATTCTTTTAATCAACACGTATACTTCGTTGTGACATAAACGTTTTAATGATGCCATAGACTGTAAATATTGGTAACACACGGGACGTTTTATTATTTAGAAGGTCAACTTCCGCTTTTAGTTTGAACATCCAGTTCCGGCTCGTTTCCCGTGATGCTCCGCGCGTTGCTTCCTGTTATTGTCTCCGCCGGTGTCCGGGTCCCGATCTGCAGGTAAGAAAGCAAACCGAACCGAACCGGTGTCTATGACCGATGTACTACCGACCTGTGACCGGTGTGTGACCGGTTGCGTCAGCCGTACGCCCCGCGGAGGCCCCAGGACCGGCCCCGGGACGAGCCCTCTCCCTGCCCGCGGGAGAGGACCAGAGCTGCGCGGGGGCACTGAGCCTCTGATAGTCCTGCTTAAGTCCTGCATCAGTCTAGGTCTAGACTCAGTCTGGACCTGCCTAAGACATGCCCACGTCCCGCCGTAGACCTGATCTGGTTCTGGTTCAAATCTGCTTTAGACTCAGAGCGCATCCATGTTTAATGTCTCTTACTGGTGTGACGTCACGGGTCCAGCTGCGGTCCTTGTTTAGACCTGGTTCAGTCCTTGTCCAGTCCTGTCCTGGTCGAGTTCAGTCCTGGTCGAGTCTAGTCCAGTCCTGGACCATTTCAGTCCTGGACCATTTCAGTCCTGGACCATTTCAGTCCTGGTCCAGTTCAGTCTTGGTCTAGTCCAGTCCTGGTCCATTTCAGTCCTGGTCCATTTCAGTCTCGGTCCAGTCCAGTTCAGTCCTGGTCTTGTCCAGCCGGATCTCAAAGTTGTGTTGGAAATGTTTATTTTGGAAGAAGCTGATTGGTTTTTAGTTTATACATTGTTTATCACAGGAGTTATGTGCTCACACTCGAGAGAGCGAGAGACCAGAGAGCGAGAGACCAGAGAGCGAGAGACGAGAGAGAGCGAGAGACCAGAGAGAGAGCGAGAGACCAGAGAGAGAGAGAGCGAGAGACGAGAGAGAGAGAGCGAGAGACCAGAGAGAGAGCGAGAGACCAGAGAGAGAGAGAGCGAGAGACCAGAGAGAGAGAGAGCGAGAGACCAGAGAGAGAGAGAGCGAGAGACCAGAGAGAGCGAGCGACCAGAGAGAGAGCGAGAGACCAGAGAGAGAGCGAGAGACCAGAGAGAGAGCGAGAGACCAGAGAGAGAGCGAGAGCGACCAGAGAGAGAGCGAGAGACCAGAGAGTGAGCGAGAGACCAGAGAGTGAGCGAGAGACCAGAGAGAGAGCGAGAGACCAGAGCGAGAGACCAGAGAGAGAGAGCGAGAGACCAGAGAGAGAGCGAGCGAGAGACCAGAGAGCGAGCGAGAGACCAGAGAGCGAGCGAGAGACCAGAGAGCGAGCGAGAGACCAGAGAGAGAGCGAGAGACCAGAGAGAGAGCGAGAGACCAGAGAGAGAGCGAGAGACCAGAGAGAGAGCGAGAGCGACCAGAGAGAGAGAGCGACCAGAGAGAGAGCGAGAGACCAGAGAGTGAGCGAGAGACCAGAGAGTGAGCGAGAGACCAGAGAGTGAGCGAGAGACCAGAGAGAGAGCGAGAGACCAGAGCGAGAGACCAGAGAGAGAGCGAGCGAGAGACCAGAGAGAGAGCGAGCGAGAGACCAGAGAGAGAGCGAGCGAGAGACCAGAGAGCGAGCGAGAGACCAGAGAGCGAGCGAGAGACCAGAGAGAGAGCGAGAGACCAGAGAGAGAGCGAGAGACCAGAGAGAGAGTGAGAGACCAGAGAGCGAGCGAGAGACCAGAGAGCGAGCGAGAGACCAGAGAGAGAGCGAGCGAGAGACCAGAGAGCGAGAGACCAGCGGGAGAGCGAGCGAGAGACCAGAGAGCGAGCGAGAGACCAGAGAGAGAGCGAGAGACCAGAGAGTGAGCGAGAGACCAGAGAGTGAGCGAGAGACCAAAGAGTGAGCGAGAGACCAGAGAGTGAGCGAGAGACCAGAGAGTGAGCGAGAGACCAGAGAGTGAGCGAGAGACCAGAGAGTGAGCGAGAGACCAGAGAGAGAGCGAGAGACCAGAGAGAGAGAGAGCGAGCGAGAGACCAGAGAGTGAGCGAGAGACCAGAGAGTGAGCGAGAGACCAGAGAGTGAGCGAGAGACGAGAGAGAGTGAGCGAGAGACCAGAGAGAGCGAGAGACCAGAGAGCGAGCGAGAGACCAGAGAGAGAGCGAGAGACCAGAGAGAGAGAGAGCGAGCGAGAGACCAGAGAGTGAGCGAGAGACCAGAGAGTGAGCGAGAGACCAGAGAGAGAGCGAGCGAGAGACCAGAGAGAGAGCGAGCGAGAGACCAGAGAGTGAGCGAGAGACCAGAGAGAGAGCGAGAGACCAGAGAGCGAGCGAGAGACCAGAGAGAGAGCGAGAGACCAGAGAGAGAGAGAGCGAGCGAGAGACCAGAGAGCGAGAGACCAGAGAGAGAGCGAGAGACCAGAGAGAGAGCGAGAGACCAGAGAGAGAGCGAGAGACCAGAGAGTGAGCGAGAGACCAGAAAGAGACCAGAGAGTGAGCGAGAAACCAGAGAGAGAGCGAGAGAGAGAGCGAGAGACCAGAGAGAGAGCGAGAGACCAGAGAGCGTGAGTCCTCTGAACTATTCACTGGAGTGCACACCAGCCACAGCAGATTTCTTCTGACTGTAAATAATGGTACATGTGATACTAAACCGGTTCATGTGAGAAAGGCCCAGGGGTCGAGCCTTGGGGGATGCCACACTCAGGAGGCAAGAGTTAAACCAAGAACAGAAACCTGTGGGTTATAAAAGTAACCATTCCTGGAGTTAAAGGGCATGTCTGTAATATTTCCATGTGTTGTATGTGTCCCCAGATCAACATGTACGTCCTCTGATCTTTTATTCTTAATCATAAACACAATGTGCTTCAGGCGTGATGGATGTGGAGGCGGAGCTCACTGTATCGGAGGCGGAGCTTACAGTATCAGAGGCGGAGCTTACGGTGTCGGAGGTGGAGCTGGGTGGAGACTTCATCACGGTGGAGCTGGACACTCAGCCGGTGGAGTACGTGGTGAAGTGGGCCGAGGCGGGCTCCAAGTTCACCATCGCCTGCCTGAAGGCGGAGCCAGAGCTCAGCGACTCCCACAAGAGGGACGACGGACAATCAGAGCTCCCTGAAGGGCTGCGCGTTGACCAGTCAGAGGTGAGTGCTGCATTTAGACTTTAATTCAAGGAATGTCTATTATACAGACTTTATCACCGTGACGTCAGTCTGTATCAGTGCTGAGTGTAACCATAGTCTGTTACTATGGTTACACTCAGCACTGATACAGTCGGCCTTCTCCAAACCCTGGGTCTCCTCTCCCTCACACACACTGAGGACTCACTGGGCCTCTGGTGGTCAGAGCGACACACAGCAACAAGACGGCGTCACGAGCCGTGGAGGAGTGTTTGGGTGAAGCTCTCACACTGGTTTGGGGCTGGTCACAATAACACTCTCTTTCTCAGGTCGACTCGTTCTTGGCTCCGTATGAGGAGGTGTACGTGGACCCCTGTGACCCTTGCGACCCCTGTGACCCCTCAGAGGTCACTCACAGTGTGGAGGTCAGGACCGACTGGGACTCGGGCTCCGAGGACGACAGCCAGGTCAGTCCTGTCAACAACAAAAGTCTCTCTGAGACCATGGAACTCAGACCCTAAGACCTCATACCCTCAGGGTCTGTAGACCCTCAAGGGAGGGGCCACTGTCCCTCAGCCGAGAGTCACATCTGTTCCGGTTGTGTCTGTACAGATCGGGGAGGTAGTCCTGGAGAACGTCCAGCCAGACTCTGACCAGGACCTGGACCTGGACTTGGACCAGGACCCGGATCAGGATCAGGACCAGGACTGGGAGGAGCGTCAGCACCGGTGTGCATACTGTGGGAAGGTGTACAGCCACGCCTCGAGTCTGTACCGCCACCAGCAGAGCCACACGGGCCAGAGCCGAGCCAAGAGGGCCCTGCCAGAGTCCCGCAGCCACACCTGCCCTCACTGCGGCCTCAGCTTCAAGGGCAGCAGGTACAGTCCACTGCAAACTTAGCAACACTCGGCCGTCCACTTCAACAAGGAGAGTGTGTGGTGTTTCCTAGTCCAGTCTCATGTACACATGGTGTTTCTGGTCTAGTCTCATGTACACATGGTGTTTCTGGTCCAGTCTCATGTACACATGGTGTTTCTGGTCTAGTCTCATGTACACATGGTGTTTCTGGTCTAGTCTCATGTACACATGGTGTTTCTGGTCTAGTCTCATGTACACATGGTGTTTCTGGTCTAGTCTTATGTACACATGGTGTTTCTGGTCTAGTCTTATGTACACATGGTGTTTCTGGTCTAGTCTCATGTACACATGGTGTTTCTGGTCTAGTCTTATGTACACATGGTGTTTCTGGTCTAGTCTCATGTACACATGGTGTTTCTGGTCTAGTCTTATGTACACATGGTGTTTCTGGTCTAGTCTCATGTACACATGGTGTTTCTGGTCTAGTCTTATGTACACATGGTGTTTCTGGTCTAGTCTCATGTACACATGGTGTTTCTGGTCTAGTCTCATGTACACATGGTGTTTCTGGTCTAGTCTCATGTACACATGGTGTTTCTGGTCTAGTCTCATGTACACATGCTGTTTCTGGTCTAGTCTTATGTACACATGGTGTTTCTGGTCTAGTCTCATGTACACATGGTGTTTCTGGTCTAGTCTTATGTACACATGGTGTTTCTGGTCTAGTCTCATGTACACCTGGTGTTACAGGATGCTGGGCAGTCACCTCCGTCTCCACGGGAAGCGGCGCATTCATCCGTGTAACATCTGCGGGAAAGAGTTCAACCACAGCTCCAGTCTGTCGCGTCACCGGCTCATCCATAAGAAGAACAAAATGGCCGCCATGTCCCCTGCCCACTCCAAGATGGCTGCCATGTCCCCTGCCCACTCCAAGATGGCCCCCATGTCCCCTGCCCACTCCAACATGGCCGCTCTGCATCCTGTGAAGAAGAGGCGTGGCAAACGTGCTCCTGCCCCCGCTGTAGCTCCGCCCCTCCAGAAACTCTACGCTTGTCCCCAATGTGACATGAGCTTCAAGACGTCCACGCAACTCAACAAGCACCAGGTAACTCTGGGTCCCTGTGGTCTGCTAGCTTACTACCAGTGATGGACAGTGACTTAAATGATAATACATCATGTGTTACCTATAACTGTTATTTCAAAGTTATGTGTTACTACAATATTACTGTCTCTGAATTGTAATGAATTACACTGCTACTGCATAACATAAAACTCTCTCCTCAAGTGACTGATGTGAAGGCCCTGGGGTCCTTATCCCTGCTCGCGGCTGTAACCTCTTCCTCTCTCCTCAGGTGACTCATGTGAAGGCACTCCTGGGGCCCCTAGGAGCCGAGTCTCAATCCGACCTAAAGATCCGGCTGAAGCTGTGTTCTGGCGACAAACCAAACGTTTACGCTCTGTGTGAGAAGAGGAGGCGTGGCCTGCTGACCTCTGACCCCTCTGATCCCTCTGACCCCTCCTCCTCCTCAGAGGATGAGCCAGCTCCACGGGGCCGGCGTCATGGCTGCTCGCAATGTGGTAAGCGCTTTGGCCACGCCTCCGGCCTTACGCGGCACCTGCAGACACACATGAAGCTAAGCCCCGCCCACCGCCGCTCTGGCAAGACCTACAGCTGCGGCACCTGCGGGAAAACCTTCCTCCACTCATCCTCCTTCTCCCGCCACAAGAGGGCGCACCGCGAGAGGGAAGAGAGAGAGGGGGGAGGGGGGGAGGAGGGAGCACCTATTGAGTCAGAGTCTGAGTAACTACACCCCTAAAGAGACCACGTCCTTAGCCCCGCCCCTGAAGAGGCCACACTCATATCGCCCCCAGCCCAATCTCAAAATAGGGGGGAGGGAGCATCCACCAAGTCACTTGGGGAGACTACGCCCCTACGGAAAGACCACGCCCCTGCCCAGATGCCTGAAAGGAAGCCCCATGTATTAGCCCCGCCCCTTCCTTTAAATGGACACGTGGTGGACACGCCCAGTATTAGCCTCGCCCTGTTATGTTTGTTTGCGGCACCCCCTTCAGGACAATCCACTAACTGTTCATTAAGCACTTTCCTTTGTTCAACTCACCGCTACAAGTTCGAGGGTCACACTAGATGTGGACCAGGATCTGGTCCTGGACCAAGATCTGGACCTGGACCAGACCAGGACCAAGAACTGGACCTGGACACAGTTGGAAATCCTGTTTTGATTTCAAAAGGTTTTAAAGGGGTTTGTCGATACGATAGTTTCACAACTGCTATAAGAACATCAACAATGAATTAGCATGAAACTAGCATTAGCATCACAATAACAAAACCACATTATCATAACCCCATGACACATGGAATAATCGTATCGGTGGACCCCTCTGCTGTTGGACCCTTGTTACGTTTGGCTCCGCCCCTGGTTTTAGACACACTTTTGATTGGTTCTGATTGGTGTTCATTTTAAATGGTCGTGTTTCCTATTCCCGTTGCCATGGTAACCCTCACCCTGTATTTATGAAATCGGACGATGTTGTAAAATATGAAAATAATAATATTTAATGTGAAAAAGGTCCAGTTTGTACAGAGCACGAGTCCAGGTTCAGACCGGATCTGAGGACCAGGACCAGACCTGGATCTGGACCAGTATCTGGACCTGGACACAGTTGGAAACCCTGTTGTGATTTCGAAAGGGATGGGGTGTGAGGACCGGGACCAGGTTTGGTTAAGTGACATTCAGGTCCCTTTAGGCTCTGAAAAACATGCAAGTGGAAGATCCGGACCTGATCTGGTCCTGGTCAAGTCTTGTTTGTTGTTGTTGTAGAATTGTTGTTGTGTTCAAACCTTTTTATAATAAACATTTGAAAGAAACATTCTTATTTTATTCTCGCATCAAGTGGAGATTTAATTGTGACGTGTTTTCACTTCAAATAAAAGCTTGTGTGGTTCTGAGACACACCCACTTACACAAAAACAGACACACACACTTACAAAAAAAGGCATTTAAGTTTAAAATATTTAATTTGATTTAAAATATTCGTCATTTACAAAATAAACGCATTCGTCTTTAACAGTCGGACAGGAAGTGACAGGTGAGGGTTAGAGTCCGACAGGAAGTGACAGGTGAGGTTCAGAGCTCCAATCAGCTGTCGTTTACATCCACCAATCAGAGGAGGCAGAGAGCAACGGCCAATCAGGCAGCTCCGTGGTGAAAAGTGCAGCGTTTACAATACAAAGGCGCCCCCTGCAGGCCTCTACAGGAACCTCAACATCTCATTAGCAAAATCTGCATAAACATTCGTCTGGTAAAACATTAAAACTAAACAGGAAACGGATCACATTCCTTTTATGGACGTGTTCTTGTGAAACACTGGACTTGGGGCACATTCAGGGCCATAACGACATTTCAGATGTGACCAGAACTGTGAACGTTCAGAGGTTGGGGGGGAAGGGCTGTGGGTCAGGTGGGAGGGGCCAATTCATTGGTCCTTCCGGTGAAGGTGGTGAACTCCCATTCGTTTAGGACTTCTCGGGGGGCGGGGCAGAGCAGCAAGCTGTGAGCCGATTGGTTGAGGTGGTTCCAAGAGGTGTGGAGAAGACGTGATTGGCAGGTCCTCACCGTCGTCATGGAGACACTTCCCGTCCAGCAGCTGCTCCGGACTAAAATAAAAACAGTTTATAAAAGTCTATGTCTATGTCTCTTTAAGAGAAACTTCACTCAGAGGCCCCTCCCAAAGGAAGAAAAGATGAGCTCTAAAGCTGTGTTTGAGGCTCTAAAGCTGTCTTTGGGAGGGGGTTCCACAGTGAGTTTCTGCAGTTCGAACTACAGACACAGGGATGGACTACAAAGATGGCCACTCACTTCCTTATATCTGTGATTGGACAGAACTGCTGTATTAAACATGCTCACTCACCAGAGGGCGCCCTCCAGCTGGATCAGGTCTTGGCTGGGCAGGTCTCTCGGACTTGGGTTTCTGGGGTCTCTGGGACTCGGGTCTTGTGGTTCCATGTCCCTGAGGTTTGGGTCTCTGGGGTCTGGGTCCGTGTCTGTATCCAGACTGGACCCACGACTGGGGGTCCAGCTCTGATTGGACGACACCTCCTCTCCATCAGAGTAAGCCCCGCCCCCTCGCTGCAGCTCGTGTGCCGATTGACTGCTGAAGGCCGTGCGCTGCAGAGAATCCGCCGGCGCTATTTTGTCCACGAAGAGTCTGTGCCAGGAGTTCAGCAGGTCCTCCTCTGAGCTGCCCGAGCTGGGGCCCCCACTGAGGGCCTAAACACACACCCCAGCTTTAAACATGTGTTATTCATGAGACTAAAGTTACAGACCTGAGCTTTAAACATGTGCTATTTATGAGACTAAAGTTACAGACCCCAGCTTTAAACATATGAGACTAAGCCTTAACACCTCACCTGCGGCGGGGAGCTGAACGGACTGGACTGGCTGGACAGTGGCTCGCTCAGGGCTTCTCTCTGATTGGCTGTGGGGGTGTTGTGGGCGGGGCTCTCCACCAGGCTGAGGCTGATGGCCTGGCGCGTGGCGTAGGTGCAGTTGGGGAGGGGGCTGTTCTTGGGGACCCTCACGTCGCTGCTGAACTCGATGACCTTTCGCCCCGGGTACAGGGCGTGAGGGGGTGGAGCCTGCAGAGGGGGGGGTGGGGCGGGGTACGGGTTCAGCTTTGACACAGAGACGTTGTCACGGGAACCAGGGAGGGGGCGGGGCGAGCTGAGGAGTAAAACATCGTCACTGACCACAGAGTTTACAACAACTTTATTTAACGGATAAAATCTCACTCTCTGGCCTCTCTCTCTCTCTCTGGCCTCTCTCTCTCTCTCTGGCATCTCTCTCTCTCTCTGGCATCTCTCTCTCTCTGGCATCTCTCTCTCTCTCTGGCATCTCTCTCTCTCTCTGGCATCTCTCTCTCTCTCTCTCTCTGGCATCTCTCTCTCTCTCTCTCTGGCCTCTCTCTATCTCTCTGGCATCTCTCTCTCTCTCTGGCATCTCTCTCTCTCTCTCTCTGGCCTCTCTCTATCTCTCTGGCCTCTCTCTCTCTCTCTGGCATCTCTCTCTCTCTCTGGCATCTCTCTCTCTCTCTGGCATCTCTCTCTCTCTCTCTCTCTCTGGCATCTCTCTCTCTCTCTCTCTCTGGCATCTCTCTCTCTCTCTCTTTCTGGCATCTCTCTCTCTCTCTCTCTGGCATCTCTCTCTCTCTCTGGCATCTCTCCCACTCTGGCCTCTCTGATGCCTTGTGCCAAATACGTTTGGCTCTCATGCACGTGCACAGAGGGGCTCGGCTGCGCTTTGACCAAACAGCGGCTTTTGATCAGAGCAGAGCAAGAACGGAGTTAGAGCAGGAGAAACGAGCAGAGTTTGTTGCTTTAAAGTAATCTACGCTTTAATAGAAAACCAAAGGATTATAACAAGAAAAAAAAGTTGAGGATGACAAGGGACAGTAAAATCCCCACATAATCCGACCTTACTGTAAGCTGGGGTCGAGCTGTTTTAGTTTACATCGAGTTCTATAGGACATTTTTCTCGGTAGTCAACATGAATTTAGTTTGTAGTACCTCGGCGCCCCCTGTGCCCATTGGTGGGACAGCTATAGTAGTAATATAGTAGTAGCTAGTAAATCTTAATATGGTCTTTGGACCTAATGGTCGTGGGTTCGATTCCCGCATACTCCCACTGATGACTGCTGTTGTTGTGTCCCTGGGCAAGACAATTAACCCCACTTTGCCTGAAGTCCCCGCTGAAAGACCAGGCTGCATCTGCATTGAAGAAACAGCCATCCTCCTGTGGACCCACCCCCTGCAGAGGATCAGTGAGGGACTGGTGCATTGTGTATTGGATGGCAGCTCTGACTGCCACCCCCTGACCCAGAAATGGAAATAAAGGGATGAAAATGATGATGATGATGATGAAACTGTGACCTCTGTTTACATGACCTCTGACCCCTCTCATGATCTCACTCACGGTGGCGTGTTAGCCGTTGTGTGATTGGCTCCATTGGGCTGAGGGTCTGATGATGTCATGTCCACGTGCACAAAAACGTCTTCTGCGATTGGTCGGCTGCTGCGTGAGTGGGCGGAGTTTAAGAGCAGTGGCTCTGGTTTTTCCAGGACTCTGGCGATGACCGAAGTGGGAACCACATCTGCAGGGGTCAGGGACAGAGAGTCCGGGTCCTAGAGGAACCAGAGACAAGGTGAAACCAGGTGAGACCAGAGAAAGACAAGGGAGAGGGAGCAGAGAGAGAGACCAGAGGAGAGCGGGAGTCAGGCAGAGTAAGTCCTAAACAGAGACCAGAGACCTCAAGTCTAGGTCATGTTCTGTCCTGTCCAGTCCAGTCCCGGTCCAGACCTTGTCCGTGGAGCTTTTCTCTGGGAGACAGTTCTTCATATGTTTGTGCAGCATGTCCTGGAGCTCTGTGGGCAACTGAAACACAGAGAGACAGAGGGGGAGAGAGAGACAGGAGAGAGACAGAGACAGACGAAGACAAAGGGAGAGACAGAGAGACAGAGACAGACGAAGACAAAGGGAGAGACAGAGAGACAGAGACAGACGAAGACAGACCGAGAGACAGACCGAGAGACAGAAACAGGGACGGAGGCAGGACAGAGACAGGGAGAGAGAGTGCGAGACACACACAAACACACAGTTAAGCAATAGGCCGTGATCACAATTAGCATGGTATAGCATAAGCATCTTACGTCTGCAAACTTGTGGTTCCTAAAGTGGCTCTTGTTGCACTTAAGAAGCTGCACAGCAAGATTACAGTCCTGACGGTACCGCTCCTGCAACACAAAGCACAGTAGCATGTCTTTAGTATGATGTTATTGTTAGCGTCTTATGAGCATGTCAATAGCCTCTTGTTAGCGTGCTTTCAGTGTCTTATTAGCATGTCAATAGCACCTCCTTAGTCATTTTTAGCATGTCGCTAGTTTATGGTTAGCATTTTTGTAAGCTATGCAGTTAGCATGCCTTTAGCATGTTGTTAGTGTGCTATTAGCATGTCAGACCCACATTGAGCTCTTCCAGCCGGTCGATTGTTCCTTTAGCGTCCAACAGTTTGTTGGTTAGCTCCACCAGCTCTTGATCCATTGTATTCTTGTCACGTTCCACTTTACGCAACTGTGACATCATAAAACAGTCAGTGACATCATCAAAGTGAAACATAGTTACATTTGACACTTTTGGGTTGCAGCAGGGGCAGTACCTCTGCTTGACCAGAGGGGGCAGTACCTCTGTGTGACCAAGGGATCTGCATGGGTAAATACTGCCCCCTCTGATATTGGCTGCTGCGACCCGGACGTGACATCACTTATATCTCCATATACAGCCTGAGCCATGTGACCGCTCAGTCACATGACCCCAATGCAGCTGCTAAAGCTAACACAGCCCGCTTAAGGGAGTTAAAGACCTAATGCAGGGTTTTTCTATTAGATATAAAGTTAATATTTCAAATTTTTTAAATATTTTTTTTATATTAGAAAAGGTTTCAAAATATTTTTACACCCCAAATTGAGAAAACACCATAGCAACGGCCTTAGCAACGAGCGCTTCTCGCTTGGTAACGTCCTAGTGGGAACCCGTGTCAACCGGAAGTACATCATCTTCATACTGAACGTACTGAACAGGTTTGTTTACATTATGTGTCTTTTTTGCGCTAAATCGTGGAGATTCAAGATTACAAGAAGATGTGTTGCAATGCACTGCTCACAGACGCACAATAGGCTTTATGGCCAAAGGATGAAAAAAGAGGAGGCTTTGGAAGGCACCAAGCCAGGAAAAGAACTATGTTACGGAAACACAGGAGGATGTGTGTTTATGAGCGCGTGTGCGTTTATGAGCGCGTGTGCGTTTATGAGCGCGTGTGCGTTTATGAGCGCGTGTGCATTTATGAGCGTATGCGTTTATGAGCGCGTGTGCGTTTATGAGCGCGTGTGCGTTTATGAGCGCGTGTGCATTTATGAGCGTATGCGTTTATGAGCGCGTGTGCGTTTATGAGCGCGTGTGCATTTATGAGCGTATGCGTTTATGAGCGTATGCGTTTATGAGCGCGTGTGCGTTTATGAGCGCGTGTGCGTTTATGAGCGTGTGTGCGTTTATGAGCGTGTGTGCGTTTATGAGCGTGTGTGCGTTTATGAGCGCGTGTGCGTTTATGAGCGCGTGTGCATTTATGAGCGTATGCGTTTATGAGCGCGTGTGCGTTTATGAGCGCGTGTGCGTTTATGAGCGCGTGTGCGTTTATGAGCGCGTGTGCGTTTATGAGCGCGTGTGCGTTTATGAGCGCGTGTGCATTTATGAGCGTATGCGTTTATGAGCGCGTGTGCGTTTATGAGCGCGTGTGCGTTTATGAGCGCGTGTGCGTTTATGAGCGCGTGTGTGCGTTTATGAGCGTGTGTGCGTTTATGAGCGTGTGTGCGTTTATGAGCGCGTGTGCGTTTATGAGCGCGTGTGCATTTATGAGCGTATGCGTTTATGAGCGCGTGTGCGTTTATGAGCGCGTGTGCGTTTATGAGCGCGTGTGCGTTTATGAGCGCGTGTGCGTTTATGAGCGCGTGTGCGTTTATGAGCGCGTGTGCGTTTATGAGCGCGTGTGCATTTATGAGCGTATGCGTTTATGAGCGCGTGTGCGTTTATGAGCGCGTGTGCGTTTATGAGCGCGTGTGCGTTTATGAGCGCGTGTGCGTTTATGAGCGTATGCGTTTATGAGCGCGTGTGCATTTATGAGCGTATGCGTTTATGAGCGCGTGTGCGTTTATGAGCGCGTGTGCGTTTATGAGCGCGTGTGCGTTTATGAGCGCGTGTGCGTTTATGAGCGTATGCGTTTATGAGCGTATGCGTTTATGAGCGCGTGTGCATTTATGAGCGTATGCGTTTATGAGCGCGTGTGCATTTATGAGCGTATGCGTTTATGAGCGCGTGTGCGTTTATGAGCGTATGCGTTTATGAGCGCGTGTGCGTTTATGAGCGCGTGTGCGTTTATGAGCGCGTGTGCATTTATGAGCGTATGCGTTTATGAGCGCGTGTGCATTTATGAGCGTATGCGTTTATGAGCGTATGCGTTTATGAGCGTGTGTGCGTTTATGAGCGCGTGTGCGTTTATGAGCGCGTGTGCGTTTATGAGCGCGTGTGCTTTATGAGCGCGTGTGCATTTATGAGCGTATGCGTTTATGAGCGCGTGTGCATTTATGAGCGTATGCGTTTATGAGCGCGTGTGCATTTATGAGCGTATGCGTTTATGAGCGCGTGTGCATTTATGAGCGTATGCGTTTATGAGCGCGTGTGCATTTATGAGCGTATGCGTTTATGAGCGCGTGTGCATTTATGAGCGTATGCGTTTATGAGCGCGTGTGCGTTTATGAGCGCGTGTGCGTTTATGAGCGCGTGTGCGTTTATGAGCGCGTGTGCGTTTATGAGCGCGTGTGCGTTTATGAGCGCGTGTGCGTTTATGAGCGTATGCGTTTATGAGCGCGTGTGCATTTATGAGCGTATGCGTTTATGAGCGCGTGTGCATTTATGAGCGTATGCGTTTATGAGCGCGTGTGCGTTTATGAGCGCGTGTGCATTTATGAGCGTGTGCGTTTATGAGCGCGTGTGCGTTTATGAGCGCGTGTGCGTTTATGAGCGCGTGTTTGTTTATGAGCGCGTGTGCGTTTATGAGCGCGTGTGCGTTTATGAGCGCGTGTGCGTTTATGAGCGCGTGTGCGTTTATGAGCGCGTGTGCGTTTATGAGCGCGTGTGCGTTTATGAGCGTATGCGTTTATGAGCGCGTGTGCATTTATGAGCGTATGCGTTTATGAGCGCGTGTGCATTTATGAGCGTATGCGTTTATGAGCGCGTGTGCATTTATGAGCGTATGCGTTTATGAGCGCGTGTGCGTTTATGAGCGTATGCGTTTATGAGCGTATGCGTTTATGAGCGTGTGTGCGTTTATGAGCGCGTGTGCGTTTATGAGCGCGTGTGCATTTATGAGCGTATGCGTTTATGAGCGTATGCGTTTATGAGCGTGTGTGCGTTTATGAGCGCGTGTGCGTTTATGAGCGCGTGTGCGTTTATGAGCGCGTGTGCATTTATGAGCGCGTGTGCATTTATGAGCGTAGCGTATGAGCGTTGGTTTATGAGCGCGTGTGCGTTTATGAGCGCGTGTGCGTTTATGAGCGCGTGTGCGTTTATGAGCGCGTGTGCGTTTATGAGCGCGTGTGCGTTTATGAGCGCGTGTGCGTTTATGAGCGCGTGTGCGTTTATGAGCGCGTGTGCGTTTATGAGCGCGTGTGCGTTTATGAGCGCGTGTGCGTTTATGAGCGCGTGTGCGTTTATGAGCGCGTGTGCGTTTATGAGCGGTGTGCGTTTATGAGCGTATGCGTTATGAGCGCGTGTGCATTTATGAGCGTATGCGTTTATGAGCGCGTGTGCATTTATGAGCGTATGCGTTTATGAGCGCGTGTGCATTTATGAGCGTATGCGTTTATGAGCGCGTGTGCATTTATGAGCGTATGCGTTTATGAGCGCGTGTGCATTTATGAGCGTATGCGTTTATGAGCGCGTGTGCGTTTATGAGCGCGTGTGCATTTATGAGCGTATGCGTTTATGAGCGCGTGTGCATTTATGAGCGTATGCGTTTATGAGCGTATGCGTTTATGAGCGCGTGTGCGTTTATGAGCGCGTGTGCGTTTATGAGCGCGTGTGCATTTATGAGCGTATGCGTTTATGAGCGCGTGTGCATTTATGAGCGTATGCGTTTATGAGCGCGTGTGCATTTATGAGCGTATGCGTTTATGAGCGCGTGTGCATTTATGAGCGTATGCTTTATGAGCGTATGAGCGTATGTTTATGAGCGCGTGTGCGTTTATGAGCGCGTGTGCATTTATGAGCGTATGCGTTTATGAGCGCGTGTGCATTTATGAGCGTATGCGTTTATGAGCGTATGCGTTTATGAGCGCGTGTGCGTTTATGAGCGCGTGTGCGTTTATGAGCGCGTGTGCATTTATGAGCGTATGCGTTTATGAGCGCGTGTGCATTTATGAGCGTATGCGTTTATGAGCGTATGCGTTATGACGTATGCGTTTATGAGCGCGTGTGCGTTTATGAGCGCGTGTGCGTTTATGAGCGCGTGTGCGTTTATTGGCGCGTGTGTGCGTTTATGAGCGCGTGTGCGTTTATGAGCGCGTGTGCGTTTATGAGCGCGTGTGCATTTATGAGCGTATGCGTTTATGAGCGTGTGTGCGTTTATGAGCGTGTGTGCGTTTATGAGCGCGTGTGCGTTTATGAGCGCGTGTGCGTTTATGAGCGCGTGTGCGTTTATGAGCCGCGTGTGCGTTTATGAGCGTATGCGTTTATGAGCGCGTGTGCATTTATGAGCGTATGCGTTTATGAGCGCGTGTGCATTTATGAGCGTATGCGTTTATGAGCGCGTGTGCGTTTATGAGCGTATGCGTTTATGAGCGCGTGTGCGTTTATGAGCGCGTGTGCGTTTATGAGCGCGTGTGCATTTATGAGCGTATGCGTTTATGAGCGCGTGTGCATTTATGAGCGTATGCGTTTATGAGCGTATGCGTTTATGAGCGTGTGTGCGTTTATGAGCGCGTGTGCGTTTATGAGCGCGTGTGCGTTTATGAGCGCGTGTGCGTTTATGAGCGCGTGTGCGTTTATGAGCGCGTGTGCATTTATGAGCGTATGCGTTTATGAGCGTGTGTGCGTTTATGAGCGCGTGTGCGTTTATGAGCGCGTGTGCGTTTATGAGCGCGTGTGCGTTTATGAGCGCGTGTGCGTTTATGAGCGCGTGTGCGTTTATGAGCGCGTGTGCGTTTATGAGCGCGTGTGCGTTTATGAGCGTATGCGTTTATGAGCGCGTGTGCATTTATGAGCGTATGCGTTTATGAGCGCGTGTGCATTTATGAGCGTATGCGTTTATGAGCGCGTGTGCGTTTATGAGCGTATGCGTTTATGAGCGCGTGTGCGTTTATGAGCGCGTGTGCGTTTATGAGCGCGTGTGCATTTATGAGCGTATGCGTTTATGAGCGCGTGTGCATTTATGAGCGTATGCGTTTATGAGCGTATGCGTTTATGAGCGCGTGTGCGTTTATGAGCGCGTGTGCGTTTATGAGCGCGTGTGCGTTTATGAGCGCGTGTGCGTTTATGAGCGCGTGTGCATTTATGAGCGTATGCGTTTATGAGCGTGTGTGCGTTTATGAGCGCGTGTGCGTTTATGAGCGAGCGCGTGTGCGTTTATGAGCGCGTGTGCGCATGAGTTAACTCATTGGCTGCCAAAGACGTCTAAAGACATTCAATTTTTTAGTAACGCTGACTTTTTCATGTTTGACACAAGGCATTATAATAATGTCGGGCTATGTTGTTTTCTCAATCTGGGGTGTCAAAACATATTTTTCAATAAATAAAGGATAATTTTTCCGGGATTTTTTCAGATTGACATAATTTTTTTATCTCGCTTGCAAATTTGATATCCACATATTTTTTGTCAAACCCTGCAAAAGGTCTTTAAGCAACAGAAGCTAACAAGAGCTAACACTAACAGCAAGCACACAATCAAGTTTATCAGCAGCTATAACAAGAGCTAACGCTAAACAGCGGGTAAAACAGCAGGTAAAATAGCAGGTGCTAACGGCAGGCGCTAACAGAAGCTAAAGCTAACAACAGGTGCCAAGAGGAGTCTTCAACAGCTCTAATGTGTCAGCTTTAATGATAACAGCATGGAGCAAACAGGGTGAGAGCGAGAGGGTGAGGTAAGAGGAGAAAGGTGAGAATGAGATTGATGGTATGAGGAGAGAGACGGCCATGGGTGACTGTGAGAGAACGAGAGTGAGGAGGGAGAGAGAGAGAACGAGTGATTAGCGAGAAAGACAGGAGTGAGGGTGAGAGAGTGAAGAATGAGAAAGAGGAGATTGAAAGAATGAGTGAGGGGTGAGAGTGAGGAATGAGAGAGTGAGAGAGTGAAAGATGAGAGTGAGAGATCAGAGAGTGAAAGATGAGAGAGTGAGAGAGTGAAAGATGAGAGAGTGAAAGATAAAAGAGAGAGAGAATGAGTGAGGGGTGAGAGGGTGAGAGATTGACTGACTGCTTGGACCCAGGTCTGGCTGACGGCCGCCTGACGAGTCCCGCAGTAAAAAACAACATGGTTGAACACGACAGAAGCACCTCACAGTAAGCCAGTCTGTGATTGGCTCTCACCAGTGCGTGGAGCTTCTCTTCCAGGTCCTGATTGGTTCGTTGGGACGCAGTGTAGCTGTTCTGCAACCTGAGAACACAGAATGTAGTGGAGTAAGAGATAACCAGGAGGTCTCACAATATGAGATTACAGCGAAACACTCTTTTACCAGTCACCAGTTATATTTATGGATCATGACCAGAGACTGAAAATATTAATGACGTTGAAACTAATGTGCCACCACTTTTGACTTCTATAGGGCTTTTTCAAAATAGCCGCAGGCAGCCCTTTCCCTAGGAAGATGTAGGAAAAAATTATATATCGAGTATATGAGTACCTCATATACTCGAGTACCTCATATACTCAGCGTCTGCACTTAAGGACGCTGCGTCTTCCTCCTCAACAACAGAGAAAAAGTCAGCCTCACTGGCTGCTGCTGTGTCGCACTTTACCCGTACAATGTGTCATATACCATGTTCACATGCAATGTGTCACATACATGATATTATGGCCCTGACCTGTGGAGTACCACAGGGGTCGATCCTGGGACCTCTTCTGTTTGATCTCTACATGCTGCCGTTAGGTCAGTTAATACAAAGTAACAAAGTATCCTATCACAACTAGACGACACTCAGATCTATGTCTCACTGACTGCAGGAGAACATGGACCAGTGGACTCACTCCTTCACTGTATCCAACAGATCAGTGAGTGGATGCAAAACAACTTCCTTCAGCTAAACACAGACAAAACTGAAATGTTTGTCTTTGGTCCCGAGAAACAAAGAGAGACCTTCAGTCTTGCTCTCTAAAACCTTTAAATAAGGTCAGAAATCTGAGAGTAAAAATGGACTCGGACTTAAACTTCAATAGCCACATTAGCCATCGGTAACATCAGCAGCTTTTTACCATCTGAAAAATATTGCAAAAATTTAAAAATATTGTGTCCAAAGCAGACCTGGAGATTCTTATCCATGCATTTGTCTCCAGTAGGTTAGACTACTGCAATGGCCTGCTCACAGGTCTGTCCAAACAGGCTGTAAAACAGCTGCAGTACATTCAAAATGCAGCAGCTCGAGTCCTGACTAGAACCAGGAAGGACCATCTCATTAGTCCAGTTCTCAGGTCTCTGCACTGGCTCATTACAAGTCTTTCCATGGCCTCGCACCAAAGTACATCCATGACATGTTAGTGCCATATGAACCAGCCCGGACTCTGAGGAGCACAGGGACAGGACTCCTGTTAGTGCCCAGAGTCAGACTAAACATGGGGAGGCTGCGTTTCAGATTTATGCAGCTAAGGTCTGGAACAGTCTTCCTGAGGATGTGAGACAGGCTACCTCTCTGACAATCCAAGTTTTTGCCTGTGCATTAGGAGTGTGACGATATATCGATATAACGATATATCGTGATACTTTCATCGTGATACGTTTTTTTATTTTATTTTTTAAATTAGTATCAATACTTAATATATGACTACATTGCATATCTCCATTCCATTTATCATGAAATAAAGTGTATTTTTTCAATTAAAAGTTTTCCATAAGTTGGCATATATCTATATGCCAATTTATGGCATAGGCCAATATATCGATAATCGTCATATCGTGATATAATCGTTATCGTGAGCTTTGTATCGCGTATCGTATTGTGAGGTACCCTGAGGTTCCCACCCCAATGCTAACATGCTATCTCTATGCGCACCTGCTATCTCAATAATAAATTGTTATCTCAATGCTAAGCTTCTAGGAGGTTCGGGGCCTCACCTCCTGAACTTGTCTCTGTGTATTGAGTGTATGCAGCAGAAGGGACAGGGGTCAGGGGTCGGAGGTCAGCTCACCTCCTGAACTTGTCCCTCATCTTGTCGAGGTCGTCTCGTGTGCGGTTAAGCTCCGCCTCCATGTAGTGTCTGCAGGAGTCTAGCTCCGCCCCTAGAGCTTCTGTCCTCTGATTGGACAACGAGACACGCCGACGCAACTCCTCATTCTGAGCCTCCAGCAGCCTGAGGACATTAGAGCTGACCTCAGAGCAGATATAGCTGACTTCAGAGCAGATACAGCGGACCTCAAAGCTCACACAGATCAATAAAATACATAACAAACTTACCTGACTCGCTCTGACTCAGACACCGAGAGCCGCTCCTGAAATAAAACAGATTATTAGAGTTGACTCTCTAAAAAATCCTGAAAATCCATACCACACACTGTTCACTTGCATCCACTTCCTCCTCTTCTCCTTACTCTGAACTTGAACCCACTGCACTCAAAGTCCATAGCCCTCCCTCCTTCTCCCTCTGACACCACCAAACTTCTCTCAACCTTGAAATTTTCCAACTGCCAGCTTGACCCAATCCCTTCATCCCTCCTCAAAACCTGTCGACTAACTCTCATCCCTCTCATCACCGGCCTCATCAACACTTCCCTAACCTCTGGTTCTGTCCCTTCCCCGCTCAAACTAGCTTCCATCACACCCCTCCTGAAAAAACCCGGCTTCAACCCTGACAACTTGGACAACTTTCGACCAATGTACTGTTACTGTCAAAAATCCTGGAAAGCGCCGTCATCACCTAACTCCACCAACATCTCCACTCCTCCCATCTCTTCCAAACATTTCAATCTGGATTCCGTTCACACCACAGCACAGAAACAGCACTTATTAAAGTTACGAATGACCTCCTCCTCGCCGCTGACTCTGGTTCCTTATCCATCCTCCTCGACCTCTCCGCTGCATTTGACACAATAGACCATTCCATCCTACTCCACCGTCTGCAATCCATTGGCATTTCTGGCACAGCACTCCTCTGGTTCACCTCTTACCTCTCCAATCGTCTCCACTTCGTCTCTGTCAACAACTGCAACTCCCACACTTCCCCCGTCACCCACGGTGTCCCCCAAGGTTCCGTGCTCGGCCCTCTCCTCTTCACCATCTACATTCTTCCCCTCGGTCAGATCATCCACCACCATTTCCACTGTTATGCCGTCGACACTCAACTCTACATCTCCACCAAATCCATCACCCCGGTCATCCTCTCCACCATCCCTAATTGCATCTCCATTAAAACCTGGATGGACAATAACTTTCCTAAACTCAACAGTAACAAAACAGAACTCCTCATCATCAGCCCCGAATCTCTCCTGCCTTCTGTCCAGAACTTAACTCTCCTCATTGACGGTCACACGGTCACCCTGTTATTACCTTTGAACGCAACCTCTGCATCATAATGGACTCCACCCTCTCATACCAAACACAAATCAAACACATCTCCAAAACCTCCTTCTTCCACCTCCGCCCCTCCCTTACCCAGTCAACAGTCAAAATCCTCATTTACGCATTCATCACCTCCAAACTTGACTACGGCAATAGCCTCCTCTACGGACTTCCCACCTCTCATCTCCAAAAATTGCAATACATCCAGAACTCTGCAGCCCGCCTCCTCCTCACCCACACCCGGTCCAGAGAACACATCACCCCTGTCCTCCAGCAGCTCCACTGGCTCCCCGTTCAATACCACATTCATTACAAGTTCCTTCTCCTCACCTACAGGTCCCTCCATAACCCTACCTTACTGAGCTCCTACAACAGCACCAACCCACCCGCCGCCTTCGCTCAGCCGATTCCAACCTCCTCACCCCCATCACCCGCACTAACCGCCGGACCTTGGGGGACAGAGCCTTTGCCATTGCCGCCCCAACCCTCTGGAACTCACTCCCACTGCCCATTAGAAACGCTGACTCACAACCAAACTTTAAATCAGTCTCAAAACCCATGTTTTCAAACAAGCTTTTCCGTAAACCCCTTTTTTATTTTATTGTATTTTATTCCCCATGTGATGCGTCTTTGAGTGTCCAAAAAAGTGCTATACAAGTTGTATGTATTATTATTACCATGTGTCCTCTCTCCTTGTCTCCTCTATCCTTACCATGTGTCCTCTCTCCTTGTATCCTCTTTCCTTACCATGTGTCCTCTCACCTTGTCTCCTCTCTCGTCTCCTCTATCCTTACATTGTGTCCTCTCTCCTTGTCTCCTCTCTCATCTCCTCTGTCCTTACCATGTGTCCTCTTTCCTTGTCTCCTCTCTTGTGTCCTCTCAGCGAGGTGCTCCACACGTCCCATCGTTGGCGTCTCTCATGGTCATGTGACTGATGGTGTTCATTACGTTGGTGCCCATTTGAACGTTTCCTATTTGTGGGCGGGGCATTCTTTCTCCCCAGCGAATGCAGGTGGGCGGGGCTTAGGACACGGCAGGTAACATCATCCAAGAAGTTAGAGAAGCGCAGTTTGTCATGAAGCAGCAGCTCCAGGGGGTGCTAGAACAGCAGGTTCAAAGGTCACCTCTGCTGGAGGAGAGAGGTACTGCACCATGCCACACACAAGGCGCGCTAGAACAGCAGGTTCAAAGGTCACCTCTGCTGGAGGAGAGAGGTACTGCACCATGTCACACACAGGGGGCGCTAGAGCAGCAGGTTCAAAGGTCACCTCTGCTGGAGGAGAGAGGGACGGCACCATGCCACACACAGGGGGCGCTAGAGCAGCAGGTTCAAAGGTCACCTCTGCTGGAGGAGAGAGGGACTGCACCATGCCACACACAGGGGGCGCTAGAGCAGCAGGTTCAAAGGTCACCTCTGCTGGAGGAGAGAGGTACTGCACCATGCCACACACAGGGGGCGCTAGAGCAGCAGGTTCAAAGGTCACCTCTGCTGGAGGAGAGAGGTACTGCACCATGCCACACACAGGGGGCGCTAGAGCAGCAGGTTCAAAGGTCACCTCTGCTGGAGGAGAGAGGTACTGCACCATGCCACACACAGGGGGCGCTAGAGCAGCAGGTTCAAAGGTCACCTCTGCTGGAGGAGAGAGGGACTGCACCATGCCACACACAGGGGGCGCTAAAATGATGCATGCAGTCTTCAGTGCTCAGGTGAGCCTTCACATGCACATGTGCTGAGAGAAACCAGAGCGAGAGGCCAGAGCGAGAGACCAGAGCGAGAGACCAGAGCGAGAGACCAGAGCGAGAGACCAGAGCGAGAGACCAGAGCGAGAGACCAGAGAGAGAGACCAGAGAGAGACTTAAATAAAGGTAACTGTCATGTTATACTAGTGGTTATATGATGTATATTGTGATATAGTGAGGTGGAAGATAATCGTATTTTTCGCAACATTAGGCGCACCGGATTATAAGGAGCATTGATTAATGCTGGTTTACCCGAAAACAAAGGCACGATGAAATACGAATGTAATTTTGAGGTCAATGTTTAAGTGAAACAAAGCCACCAGATCTTCGGGTAAAACAGGGCTTCTTTACCAGTATAATACACTCAATAACTTAAATACTGCATCACCAATAGCGTAGCTTAAAATCCGTTTCGTAAAGATGTCTCTTCATAGAGGCCCTTTTGAGGTCCATTTGGCCATTGGACTAATAATAACAGTATTTAACTTGTGTTAATAATGTGTGTTAAAAATAAAAAATTAAAAAATCTATATTTAATTTTAGATAGAAATCCGAGAGATGTTTGTAGCGTTAGCTGGGAACCGTCCGTGCACACAAGCACCAGAACATTTTTTGTTTCACCCTGACTATTTAAGTGGATGCACTTGCACTTCCATGTTGTCTTTTTTTTTTTTTTTTTACAAACAAGAGTGAATAAAAGTGGTTTGGATGTGGTTAAACTTTGTATTGATTTTTCAGATATGATCAGATGCATGCCTCTCGCATTTGCGCTTCATTCATTTACGGGTGACGCATCCGGCTTCCGCGCCGGCTCTGACTTTTACATTTTGGCGTATAACTATATAGCTCGGTCAGTAAACACAGTCAGAAATGCATACATAGGGTGCACTGGATTATAAGGCGCACTGTTAAAATTGAAGACTTTTGTCCGCGCCTGATGTTGCGAAAACTACGGTAGTTAAATGGGTGTTAGCATTAGCATGATCATCAGGAGCAGAGGTGTGGATCCCTGGTTCACATGCAGACACAGGGAGTGCTGTCACCTTCAGCTCCTCAGAATTAGCAAATGAGCTGCGCTGTGATTGGTCCTCTGAATATGTGCATGAGCGATGGGATTGGTCCAGAGGCTCTGCAGACCGCGCCCTCCGGATGACATCACAATGATGCTGCACTCCCATTGGCCGCTTTAGTATTCCTCTTGGAGACAGCATCTGATTGGCTCGCCTGTGTCGAGGGGCAGGGCTCCGGACCAGTGATGTCATGTCACTGCTGACATCACTGATGATGTCATCACTGTCTGAGAACTGAAGAGGGGAGGAGCCAAGGAGCAGATAAAGGAGACGAGGAGACAAGATAGGAGCGAAGGAGACACGGGAGAAGCCATGGAGACACGAGAGGAGACGATAAAGGAGACGGAGATAAGAGGGGAGCTGAGGCTGAGTTTATATTAGAATTCAACATGAGATAAAATTCCTACTGTTCATGATGCACACTTGTAATTCGGCAAGAGCCAGAGAGAAACCAGAGAGACCAAAGATTCTTACCTGGGTTAGGTCAGGGGGCGGAGTTTGTTGGTGGGAGGGGCGTGTCTCTCGATGCTGAGGCGGAGCTTTGCGGTAAGGCTTCCTCCCGGCCGCACTCATCCTCGTGTCCTACCTCCTAGCTCCCGTCTCCTAGCTCCTTCAGCCTGTGACGGCAGAAAACATTACTTTATCTCTGTTCCGCTGCTTGCACACGATCTAATTAGCGACCCTAACTGGACTAGGACTGGACCGGATTGGACCAGGTCTGAACCGGGACTGAACGAGGTCTGAACTAGTGTGTTTAGAGCAGTGAGAGGTGGAGCAGCACTCCGCCTCAGGCTGCAGTGATGGGAGTGAGTGGGGGGGAGGGGTCAGGTTCAATACTGAATGTGGAGCTCAGTATGGACTGAACCAGGTCTGAACCAGGTCAAGGACTAAAGCAGGTCCAAATCAAGTCTGACCCAGAACTAAACTAGGTCTGACCAAGGACTAGAACAGCACTAGACTAGCTCAGGAGCTATTAGTCTTCAATGGATTTAATAGAAAAAAATCAAGCAATAAAAATCTTTGGCTCTTTGTATATTAGTTTAGTTTATTCACACAGTCCCTAAAAGTTAATGTGCTACATTGTGAAAATGAAACTCCCAGAAGCAGAAGCTTATACATTAGGGGTCCATCAATATATTAAACATATAGATCAGACTGTAGGGTCATCACTGGACCAGCATTGGGGTCGCTCAGGGGTTGATAATCGGGCCCACATTAATTGCAATGAAACAAAAGAAAAATCAAGTCACTGGAAAATTAGATTTTTGTTTGAGCAAGACACAGAGGACACAAAACACAGAGACAAAAACGACACAGAGACAAAAACGACACAGAGGACTTTAATGATTGTTCTTTATGACATTAGCCTAAGGCTTTTTGTTAAATGTTCATTAAGATGCATTGCACCTCGGTTTAACAGCCAAATAAATAAATAGAATAACATTTTGCTCCCGTTTATCTCCTATTTATGAGTGTCTGCTTCAAAACAGTTACGGGGAGTTGAAGAAATTGACAAACGTCTAACGCGGGTCAAACAAAGGTCAAGAGCAGGACTAAAGCAGGACTAAAGCAGGACTAAAGCAGGACTAAAGCAGGGCTAAAGCAAGACTAAAGCAGGACTAAAGCAGGACTAAAGCAGGACTAAAGCAGGGCTAAAGCAAGACTAAAGCAGGACTAAAGCAGGACTAAAGCAAGACTAAAGCAAGACTAATGCAAGACTAATGCAAGACTAAAGCAAGACTAATGCAAGACTAATGCAAGACTAATGCAAGACTAATGCAGGACTAATGCAGGACTAAAGAAGGACTAAAGCAGGACTAAAGCAGGGCTAAAGCAAGACTAAAGCAGGACTAAAGCAGGACTAAAGCAAGACTAAAGCAAGACTAATGCAAGACTAATGCAAGACTAATGCAAGACTAAAGCAAGACTAATGCAAGACTAATGCAAGACTAATGCAAGACTAATGCAGGACTAATGCAGGACTAATGCAGGACTAAAGAAGGACTAAAGCAGGACTAAAGCAGGACTAAAGCAGGACTAAAGCAGGACTAAAGCAGGACTAAAGCAGGACTAAAGCAGGACTAAAGCAGGACTAAAGCAGGACTAAAGCAGGACTAAAGAAGGACTAAAGCAGGACTAAAGCAGGACTAATGCAAGACTAATGCAGGACTGAAGCAGGACTCACTGAGGCCCAGTGCAGTCTCAGCGGTCCTCTTGGAGACGAGTCCGGGGAAGGCTCCTGTCACTGCGGCCTCTGCTAGTGACCGTGGCCGGCCTCCTCGCACCTCTCTGTGTGGTATGTCATGAAAACATCTGGAGGAGCTCGGTTAACCGCTAAAGCGAACAGCTAGCTTAATGTTGTGAGTAAAACTCTTGACGTCCATATTAAAGCCCCTGGAACTCCTGGTGCGGTTCTGTGAGGTCCTCTCTCTGCAGACAATGCTTCACTCCTGGCTTTTCTTACCTCAGCGCCGTTCGGCCTCAGTCCGCGGAGGTACCCGTTAGCCGTTAGCTGTTAGCCACCGCAGCCCCGGATGTGACACTTCCGTACACGTGATCATTGAGAAAAATAAACAATGAATATTTGTACACACTGTTGTTGTTGTCGTTGTTGTTGTGTGCATATAGAACTGGACTGTAAACACTTAATAATGAACCAATAATCACAATACTAATCTGTAATTGTTTATTTCTCTATATATACATTAATGAATACAGGAGTACAGTATTATGTATATATATATATATACACTATGTATACACGTATTTATTTATATATACGGAAGTTGGTAATTCTGAGCTCAAACCAATGACATTTGGTTTCTCCTCGTGGCACGTTCGGACCATGATCGTTGTGAAAGCCTCAGATCGAGGACCTAAAAGTGCAGGTCTTTCTGTAGCTGCTGTTCGATTGGGATACAAGCTCCTTTGATCTGACCAGTGTTGGAGGGTGTGGTGTAAAACAACACATCCTGAGAGGGCAGCCAGTAAAAAGAAAAATTGATGGGTTGAGAGCTAATACCAAGTATTCCCAAAGGGAAATCTATCAGCCCTTCAACTTGAGATAACAGAGGCATTTTAAACTTCAGCATAGTTTGATTTGTTATTGCCCTGTTGTAAGCGATGAGGGGAGGGGTAAATGTTGTTGGATTTGGTTTTAAAATGACAAGGAGAGTTTTCAGCTATTTCAACATAGTTAAGAGGTTGGAGCTGAAATAATATTAATTTGAAAATGTACTCCTCTGTAAGGACCACCCTTTATATGTAACTCATGCGGAATTATGTACGTCCATCCATCCATTTTCTTCCTCTTAATCCATTTCTGGGTTGGGGGGGTGGCAGTCAGAGCTGCGCCCAGTACACATAGCAGCGCCAGAATTATGTACGTACTAAAAAAAGTATGACACAACTGAAAATATGTCTTATATTCTTTTCTTTCTGCTCTGATTACTGCTTCACACACTCTTGGCATTCTCTTGATGAGCTTCAAGAGGTAGTGACCTGAAATGATCTTCCAACAGTCTTGAAAGAGTTTGCAGAGAGGCTTGGCACTTGTTGGTCCTTTCGCTTTTACTCTGTGGTCCAGCTCACCCCAAAACCATGGATTGGGTTCAGGTCCGGTGACTGTGGAGGCCAGGTCAGCCCAGCAACCCACCACTCTCCTTATTGGTCAAAAAGTCCTTACACAGCCTGGGTGTGGATCTACAGTCATGAAAAGAAAGGAAACACATCGAATGAGAAAGTGTGTCCAAACCTTTGGTCTGTACTGCATATTATATATATATATATATTTTTTTTTTATTTTTTTTATTTTTTTCTTTTTAAATTCTCCTCTACCAGAGGCCTGGGAGCTTGAGGGTTCTGTGCAGTATCTTTGCTGTTCCTGCACTGCACATTTCTGGACCGAGATGTCCGAGGTTGTTCCAGGGATCCGCTGTAACCTCTTCTAGCTTCGGGGTCACTGCCCCGAGTGCACCGATCACCACGGGCACTACTGTGACCTTTACCCTCCAGGCCCTCTCTCTACTGTCACCTTTACCCTCCAGGCCCTCTCTCTACTGTCACCTTTACCCTCCAGGCCCTCTCCAGCTCCTCTCTGAGACCTTGGTATTTCTTAAGCTTTTCATGTTCCTTTTTTCCGGATGTTACCATCGCTTGGAATTGCCACGTCCACCACCACGGCTGTCCTCTGCCCTTTGTCCACCACCACGGCTGTCCTCTGCCCTTTGTCCACCACCACGGCTGTCCTCTGCCCTTTGTCCACCACCACGATGTCAGGTTGGTCCATTACCGTTCGATCGGTCTGTATCTGGAAGTCCCACAGGATCTTCACACGCTCATTCTCCACCACCTTTGGAGGAGTTTCCGACTTAGACCTTGGGGTTTCCAGCCCATACTCTGCACAGATGTTTCTGTACACTATGCCAGCCACTTGGTTATGGCGTTCCATGTAGGCCTTCCCTGCCAGCATCTTGCACCCTGCAGTTATGTGTTGGATCGTCTCAGGTGCCTCTTTGCACAACCGACACCTTGGGTCTTGTCTGGTGTGGTATATCTGGGCCTCTATCGCTCTGGTGCTCAGTGCCTGCTCCTGTGCAGCCATGATGAGTGCCTCTGTGCTGTCCTGTAGGCCAGCCCTTTCTAGCCATTGGTAGGACTTCTTGAGATCAGCCACTTCTGTTATGCTCCGGTGGTACATGCCGTGTAGGGGCTTGTTCTCCCATGATGGGCTCTCCTCCAGCACCTCCTCATCTCGCCACTGTCTGAGACATTCACTGAGTACGTCATCCGTTTTGGCCTTCTCCATGATGTAGTTATGGAGTTTGGATGTTTCGTCCTGGACAGTGGCTCTCACACTCACAAGTCCTCGGCCTCCTTCTTTACGGCTTACGTACAGTCTCAGGGTGCTGGATTTGGGATGGAACCCGCCATGCATGGTAAGGAGCTTTCGAGTTTTAACATCCGTGGTCTGAATCTCTTCCTTTGGCCACCTGATTATTCCTGCAGGGTATATATATATATATATATATATATATATATATATATATATATATATATACATAATATATATATATATATATATATATATATATATATATACATACATATATATATACATATATATATATATATGAGTATTTAGTATGACACACACTGACCTATCTGCCAGCTCTACTTTCACACCGGTCCCATGTGACCCAATCCTCCTAATCATGTGACTCTGAGGTCAATTGTAACTGATCCCAGATCAGCTGAACGTCACAGTGACGTGTGAGTCTAATCTGAAGAGAGAGACCAGAGAGAGACCCGAGAGAGACCCGAGAGAGACCAGAGAGAGACCAGAGAGAGACCAGAGAGAGACCAGAGAGAGACCAGAGAGAGACCAGAGAGAGCTCCTTGCTGCAGGAGAGAATCCTCTGTCCTGTCTCTGCTCTCTGCCGTTGGCATGGAGACCGTACAAACACAGGTGAGTCTAGTGTCGATGACCAGTGAAAGACCAGAGAGAAACACCAGAGAGAGAGACTAGAGAGAGAATGATAAAATCATAGTTGATATATGCTGACAAATGTTGTTTAGGAATTACAGAGAAAATAGCAACTAACTGACTAGAATCTGACTTTTGACACTTACCATAGTTACCATAGTGACCATAGTTGTAAACACTTAGTTCTAAAGTCTGACTTTGAAGCTGTGTGTCTCAGGATGCTCCTAGTGTCTGCTCTGATCAGTGAAGACCAGGTGGGACTGGATCAGATGGGACCAGACCAGGTGAAGTCCCTGGTTGAAGCCCTGGCCTCGGACCAGGTCCAGCTGGTCTCACTGCGAGGATGTGGGCTCTCGGACCAGGACTGGACCAGAATCTGTGGGTCTCTGATCCAGACCCAGTCTCTGCTCCAACTGAACCTGAGTCTGGGGGTGGTCTGCAGTACAACCCGGACCCAAGACCTTTCCAGAGTCCTTCTCCGGAACCGCAGCCTCAACACTCTTTTGTGAGTACAAACACAGCAGACTGGGGTAAAGCTGGGGTCTGTAACTTCAAAACTGGGGTCTGTGACTTTCAGAACTCTGCACTAAACCCATGTCTCTCTGGCTCTAAAACAGTTGCTTCTGTCACTAGTTTCACATCATGTATTTGTGATGTCACATCTTTAGATCAAAGAGAGGACCACTCTCAGCCAGAGGCAGATACTGACTCACAGGGATCTTTCTGATACAGAAGATGTTGTGGTCTGATTTTTTCCACATTTTAAGGCTGAGGTCCAGATGTTATCCGTGAGCTCTTCTCCACAGTCTCCATGGTAACATGCTGTCGGGTCCCGGGTCACTGGTCTTGTTTCGGTCCTTGGCCGTACACCCAGCTCTACTCAGTCTGGACCTGGGAGATTGTTCTCTGTCGGACCGAGAACTGGACCATGTCTGTGGCCTGCTGCCCCCAGATGGAGCCAAGCCAGGTCCGTGATTTAGTCTCTCTCCGGTCTGTTTCTGGTCTCAACCTGGTCTGGTTCCAGGTCTCCAGGAGCTGTCCCTGTCCTCTAACCCGGCCATCAGCTCTCGCTCCTGGACTCGTCTCTGTGTTGCTGTGGCTCACAGCTCCAGACTACGGGTTCTGCGCCTGGACTTCAATCCACTGGGTCAGTCTGGTCCTGAGTCTGGTCCACATGGATCTGGAGAGGACCGTTCATCGCCGCTTAGGAAGTACATTTATCATTGTCTGGTTCTGATGCTGTGTCTGTTGCTAGGAGACCGTGTTGCTGGGATGCTGGCAGTTGCCGTGGCGTCAAGCCGAACTCTACAAACACTGGACCTGGAAGGAACTGGACTCACAGAGGTCTCAGGACAGGTCTGAACCAGAACTGAGACAGGACTAGTCCAAGTCTGAACCAGTTCCGAACCAGGTCTCAACCAGGTCTTAATCAGGTCTCTGTCCTCAGGCCTTCCTGGACCTCCTGCTCCTCTTTCCCTCCAGTCTCAGAGTTCTGGTTCTGACTGAAAACAGAATTAGCGCCGAAGTCCAGAGGCGGGTCCAAGAGCTGCTGTCCGAGAGAGACGAACCAATCAGAGAGGAGCATCCACAGCAGCAGCCACTCAGAGCACGAGTCTGCCAGCCAGGTCAGATATATTTCACTGAGACCAAGAACATAAAACCGCCACTCAAGTGTAAGCTTGACGATGAGTCCCTCTGGTCTCTCGCTGGTCTTGATCTGGACACTTTCTGTTCTCTCTCTGGTCTCTCTTTGCCATCTGTCTCTTGTCTCTTACTTCCTCTCTCTGCCTGCAGGTGGCGCTCACACAGTTCTGCTGACATCAGGACTTGGAGACAACCTATTGGACGAGACCGAAATGTGACCCGCCCCCTGAGCTTTGATTGACGGCAGTGAGAATGTATTTGATAATAAAAACAGTGCCGCCGTGGACGTCAGCGCTCATTACACCTCAACCTTGTTTATTGCTGCAACTGACAGACCATAGCCCAGAAACCAGACTGATCTTGTATTTAGTGCTAGGGGAAACTAGAGAACTTTGAGAAAACCTAAAACGTAAAAACGGACTTTGGTATCAGCAAACATTTTAGAATTGCTTGTTTACAGTCACAGTGGAATGTCAACTCAAGGTGAAGACATATGTTCACAAGCGCTGTGTCTCCCATCCTCAGTCCTGGTTTAGCTCCTGTTTTGGTGGTTTTCAAGTGACTTCTTTTCCTGCCTCGGACCGGCACATGTCCCGGTGACCACTTTGCTGCTCTGTGTGTGGCGCGAAAATGTTCATTTCCAGCTTTTGCTGCATCATTAAGCCGCTGTACCCGATATTATAATAGGTCCATGCGCTGTACCCGCAATAAGGCGTCTGCTGTGCGTGCCGCGACGTCCATGCAAGGAATTGCATGGACGGACGTCACCATTGACTTTGCATTGAAACTCTGTCGCAACGCATGATCCGGTCTGAGCACAGCAACAGCTGATCAGAGACATGTCACCATCTCTGTCTGTCTTCCTCTCTCACCAGATGAAGGCAGTGAATAAATAAACTGATTTTCTTCAGTTTAAGTAATTTATGATCCACAAAGGACACACCGGGTCCAGCTGCGCCCCCTGTGAGCATCATTACACTTCAGATCCAGCAACACATATTTACAATTGAAAATCTGTCAAACACTTTACAACATTATACACACAATATACAACAATATAGACACAATATACAACAATATAGACACAATATACAACAATATAGACACAATATACAACAATATACACACAATATACAACAATATACACACAATATACAACAATATACATACAAATGTTGCCATGTTCATTCAAATCTCAGACCCTCAGGCCCCGCCCCCACAGATCTTGTGTGTCCTCTGACAGTGCCCCCAGCAGCGCGAGTAGATGTGGCCACAATGCGTGTGTAGCACCAGTGTTGCTGTGACCGTCACCATGGCGACAGTGGTGAGGGCGAGCATCACCACGGAGACCAGCTGTCCCTGCGAAAGGGGGGCAGGGCCTCTCTCCCTCACGGTCACTCGGAGAGTACGATTGGCCGGCGGGGTGGGTGGGCTCAGGCAGGTGGGGCCGCTATATCCGTGGCGACAGAGGCAGCGGAAGCCGTTAGCTCGGTCCACACAGCGCCCTCTGTTGGCACAGGGGCGGCTTGCACACTCGTCTATGTTCACAGAGCAGAAGCGACCGCTGAACCCTGCGGCGCACACACACGTGAACTGACTCACACCGTCGACACACAGAGCCCCGTTAGCACAAGGAGAGCACAGAGCAACGTTAGCGTTAGCGCCGTTAGCACCGTTAGCGCACGGAGAGAGTGCGCAGTCGTCCACGTCCTGTTCACAGCGGCGCCCAGAAAAACCAGCCAGACAGCGACAGGTGAAGGTGTCCAGGAAGCCACTCTGGTCATCGCACTGACCGCCATTCAGACACGGAGACCTAAGGGAGACAGTAATACTGTTAATGTACGCTGTGGAACATCACCAGAGTATGACATTACCAGTGTGACATCACAACAGTATCACACAAAACTGTAATAAAAAAGTGTTGAACATTTAACCAACGTCTTGTAGACTGTTTATACAAATATATATGACACACGCGTACGCACTCGCATGCACACGCACACAAACACCATTCCTGATTGGTCAAGGACGTATGAGTCCCCTCCCCACAGCTTGCATATGTGTCAATCACCTTAGCTGGTGACATGGACCCGCCCTCAGCTGGCAGCGGTCGCCATGGTAACCGTGGGCACACACACATGTGGCATCACCGCTGTCAGCTATCTGACATGTGCCTCCATGAAGACAGGGGGCGCTGAGGCAGGCTCTAAGATCTGAGAGAGAGAGCAGGTTAGGATCCCTCTCTCTCACACTCTCTCTCTCCCTCACACTCATCTCTCTCTCTCACACCCCCTCACACATACTCTCTCTTTCTCTCTATCTCACAGTCTCTCACACATACTCTCTCCATCTCATACTCTCTCACACATGCTCTCTCTCTCTCTCACACACACTCTCACACTCATGAGGAGCTCCCTCACAGAGAGTAGATGGTTTGACCTTTGTTGCAGAAGCGGCCTCCCCAGCCCTCGTGGCACTCGCACTGCCAGGGTCTGTCACATGACCCATGGAGACACCCGGGCATCAGGGCACAGCGGGCACACCCAGGCCCCTCCCAACCTGGGTCACACCTGGGGGCAGAGTCAGAGAGATGACATCACACATAGCCTCCCTCCTGCAGGTCACACCCTCTGTTTGACTCAGACTGTGACGTCGCACACAGCTGCAGTTCCAGTGGTCAACCACCAGAAGGAGCTCTCACCTGCAGACTCCACTGTGGTCACAGCGGCTGTTGGTAGAGTTACACACACACTCAAAGGAGTCTGGAGAGAGAGAGAGGGAGAGATGAGGGGAGAAAGACAGTGTGATAAGTTTGTGTAAACTCTCAGTCGTACAGGGATTTTTCAATTCAAAGGAAGGTCGCTCACGCATCATCTGTACTTCAGTTAGCAGGTTTTCCCAACGTTTTGTCCTTAATCCAAAGAACTTTCTAAAGGGAATGAAAGCACAGCCACAAGTTGGAGATTTATATATATATATGGGGTGTCTATCTACAGATCTACAGATGATGAGTGAGCAACCTTCCTTTGTTTACATTGGGATAAATAGATACAGGATAGATACAGTACACAACTGTATCTGTGTTCATTTACTTTCCCTGATTTGAGGAAAAGGTGGATTCACAATATAAAGAATATAGATTTAAAACGGTTCTATCAACAGTCTGCTCTCTGTAAACACTGTGCTCAGGGTCAGGGTTCAAAGGTCACACCGATAATTCCTCTGGAGACAAACAGCTGAGGCTACACCTCCTCACACGACCAGCCACGCCCCCTCACACGACCGGTCACTCCCACATACAGGAAAAACAAACACATACAGAAGCACACACACACAAATACAGAAAGACGCGCACGCGCGCGCACACACACACACACACACACACACACCTGATGCTCTATTATCAAACTGGTTGATGACAGACAGATCAGTGTAAATAAGTTTGGAGAAAGCCTCCAGTCTCAGCATATGTGTCCTCTTGGCAGTGGTATGTGTGCTCCTGTGTGTCCTCTTGGCAGTGGTATGTGTGCTCCTGTGTGTCCTCTTGGCAGTGGTATGTGTGCTCCTGTTGTTAAACTAAATATATAAGTGTCTTTGTTCTGAGCTCATTGTTGCTGATGCTCCACAGCAGCTGTGTCCCCTCAGCGCCCCTTGTGGTCACTCTGCCACATAACACCAGTGTGAGCAGTGCATGTGTGTGTCTCATAGACTGTATATTAGCTATACTGTTATAGCTAACAGTAGAGTATAGCTAACCGTTAGCTTTACTCTACTGTTTACAATGACCTATTTATTAGGCCTGAGCCCTGACTGGGGTAAGGGCCCATTGCTTTCAAAAATGCAAGGGGTCGCGGTTGCCAAATTTTGCCCAAAATTCAGAACCGGCAAAACATTTACCTATTTTTATGGGACTAAAAAAATGCCAGAACAGCGCACCCTGCAAAAGTCAGATCACATTGCGCCTATTACAAAGGGTCTGAGGTCAAGTTTGTTGTAGAGCCACAAAATTTGGTACACATGTTTATTCAAGACATGAACAAGAAGTTGTTATGGCCACGCCCCCTGAAAAACAGGAAGCCCATTAACTTTATTGCAAAATGGAAACATTTACACACATATCGGTTGGATAGTGATTCTTCCTCGGCCGTTTCACCGATTTGTCTCAAAAGCGCTCCACATCGTCTAAACACATGTACCATCATTTTGATTTTGTGAAATTTTGATCAGTTAAACGGCTCAAAAAACCCGACAATAGAAAATTTGCTCCCGTTTGCACATACAAAGTCCGATTCGCACAACATACTTATACGTTGTTCAACTCCAGGGTCTAGGTCATAGAAAGTGAAATAATTAAAATTGGCACGTTAGTGCCCCTTACAAACTGTGTAAGGGGCATAGCCTTGAAAGATCAAGGCTATGCTCACACTCAGAGAGCAGCCGTCCTCCTGTGGACTCACCACCTGCAGAGGGTCAGTGAGGGGCTGGTGCTATGAGACTTGGGTGGTATCTCTGATTGCCACCCCCCTGACCCAGAAATGGATTAAAGGGTAGAAAATGAATGAATGAATGAATGAATGAACGTTAGTGCCCCTTACAAACTATGTCAAAGTTTTACATGGGGACAATCACATTTAGTTTTCTAAAAATGTTTGATATTTTGTATACAATTCTGTTTTGCCCTCTTGATTCAAAAAGTCAACTTATTTTTTACCCTGTTGCCGTGGTGACGACAACAACACCCCATTCTATGTCAATGGGAAATGTACACCTCGCACAAACATCAAACCAGCCTCGGCCGTTTCACCGTCACATGTACCATCAAAAGTTGTTCAAAGAATTTTGATTAGTCACACGGTCATCCAACAGAGACTGTATATAAATCAATCAAGATGGCGCCTCGTACGGTCGACATGGCTCTTTGCTGCTCTCTTTTTCTTTTGTTTTTACTTTTTAACTGTGCATCTGGCTGTTCCTACACCCGTGAGGAACTTATGAACATCCGACCCACCGTTCCCATGGACCTATTGCCTGTTTTCTTGGCATCTGCGGCTGATTTAGTCCATGTTCTAGCCAAAAAAGTGTGGGCCCGTAAAAGGGGAAAGCGCGGAGGCCTGCTCGTGCGTCTGAGGAGGAGAGGAGCGCGCACGGCTCTCCCCGGCATTTTTCTCTCCAACGTACGCTCACTGGGCAATAAGATGGACGAACTCAGCCTGGTCATGAGAAGAAACAAGGACTTCGCCACATCCTGTGTCCTCTGCTTCACTGAGACCTGGCTAAATGAGCGGATCCCGGACTGCGCTCTGGAGCTGCAGGGCTTTGGGCTGTTCCGCGCTGATGCGCTCTCAGGGAAGAGCAGAGGCGGTGGGCTGTGTTTCTACGTCAATACAAACTGGTGTAACGATGTGACAGTGATCTCCAAGCACTGCTCTCCTGCTCTGGAATATCTTTTCATCCATTGTAAACCATATTACTCCCCGCGGGAAATTGTTTCATTCATTCTTGCCTCTGTTTACATACCGCCATGCGCGGACGCGCGCGAGGCTCAGCGCGCACTCGCAGAGCAAGTACTGTGTATGGAACGCTTATACCCGGACTCTCTGATTATTATCCTGGGGGATTTTAATAAGGGAAACTTGAGCCAGGAATTACCCAAATACAGACAGTTTATAAAATGCCCGACCAGAGAGGAGAACACTCTGGATCACTGTTACACCACCGTGCGCGGAGCTTTTCGCGCTGTTCCCAAGCCAGCCCTCGGCTTCTCAGATCACTCCATGATACATCTGGTTCCTGCTTACAGACAGAGACTAAAGCTCTCGAAACCTGCAGTGAGGAGCTCCAAAGTGTGGTCTGATGAAGCTGTGGAAGAGCTGCATGCATGGAATCTACAGACTGGGACCTTTTCAGAGCTGCCACAGACAGCTTGGATGAATACACGGACACTGTGACGTCATACATTCACTTCTGTGAGGATAGCATCATTCCAACAAGGACCAGGGTCATCTATAACAACGACAAACCCTGGTTCACTGCTAAACTCCGGCAGCTCAGGAAAGCAAAGGAGTCTGCTTTCAGGGAGGGGGACCGCAGCGGCTACAAAGCAACTAAATATCAGTTCCGGAAAGAACTGAAAGCAGCCAAGTCCCGGCACAGAGAACGACTACAGGAGCAGTTTGGTAACAACGATACTGCTTCTGTCTGGAGGGGCCTACGGGAGATCACCAACTACAAACCCAAAGCCCCCCCCTGTGCTGATGACCACAAGCTAGCTGACGATCTGAACTTATTTTTCAGTCGCTTTGATGCTGCCCCTGACACCTCTCCCTCCCCCACCCCCCACTACTCTAACGACCCACCCATCAGCCCTGCCCCCAGCCTAACAATAGCCTCTAAAGAGATTAAACAACTCTTCTTGAGGCTGCACCCCCGCAAAGCTCCTGGCCTGGACCACGTGTCTCCGGCCACTCTGAGACACTGCCCCAGTGAGCTTACTCCTGTGTTCACGGACATTTTCAACTCCTCTCTGCAGTCCTGCCATGTCCCGGCCTGCTTCAAATCCTCCATCATTGTCTCCATCCCGAAGAAGCCCAGGATCACAGGACTCAATGACTACAGACCTGTAGCACTTACGTCTGTCGTCATGAAGTCATTTGAACGCCTGGTTCTCTCCCATCTCAAGTCCCTCACCTCCCCCCTCCTGGACCCCCTGCAGTTCGCCTACAGAGCCAACAGATCTGTAGACGACGCCATTAACCTGGCCCTCCACCACATCCTACAGCACCTGGACTCCCCGGGGACCTACGCCAGGGTCCTGTTCGTGGACTTCAGCTCTGCCTTCAACACAATCCTGCCATCCCTGCTCCAGGACAAGCTCCCCCAGCTCAACGTGCCCGATTCCACCTGCAGGTGGATCACTGACTTCCTGACGGACAGGAAGCAGCGAGTGCGTCTGGGGAAGAATGTCTCGGACTCTCGGATTATAAATACAGGAGCCCCACAGGGCTGTGTTCTTTCTCCCCTGCTCTTCTCCCTGTACACCAACCACTGCACCTCCAGCCACGACTCCGTGAAGCTGATCAAGTTCGCGGACGACACCACCCTCATTGGACTCTTCTCCAACAACGATGAGTCCGCCTACAGGAGGGAGGTGGACCGGCTGGTGTCCTGGTGCAGTGGTAACAACCTGGAGCTGAACGCCCAGAAGACAGTGGAGATGATTGTGGACTTCAGGAAGAGCACTGTCCCCCCACCCCCACCCTCCGTGATGGACTCCCCCATCACCTCTGTGGAGTCCTTCCGTTTCCTGGGCACCACCATCACCCAGGACCTCAAGTGGGAGCCGACCATCAGCTCCCTCATCAAGAAGGCCCAGCAGAGGATGTACTTCCTGCGGCAGGTCAGGAAAGCCAAGCTGCCTGCACAGATGTTGGTGCAGTTCTACACGGCCATCATCGAGTCCATCCTCACCTCTTCCATCACCGTGTGGTTCGCTGGAGCCACAGTCAGGGACAAACAGAGACTACAGCGCATTGTGCGCTCTGCAGAGGAAGTGATCGGCCGCAGCCTTCCATCGCTGCAGGACCTGTACGTCGCCCGAGCTCGAGGCCGGGCTGGTCGTATCACAGCCGACCCCTCTCACCCTGCACATGGACTATTCCAACCACTCCCCTCAGGCAGGAGGCTGCGGTCCATCAGGACTAGAACCTCCCGCCACAAGAACAGTTTCTTCCCCTCTGCTGTTGGACTCTTGAACACTTCTTAACCTGTCCCCCCGCCCTTTTAAAGTCACTTTACTGCCCATCATACGTCCCTTTACTTCACTGTACTGCTGTCACCTTACATTGTGTGCACCATGTGCACTTGTATATTGTAAATAGTAACTGTAACTCTATTTTAAATTTAAATTTATTCTTTAGAAGTGTTTTTTATTCTTATTTTTATTATCTCTTTTTGACTGTTGCACTGAGCCAAAGCAATTTCCAAGTCTGTGACCCCCTGTTACTTACGTTGGCAATAAAAATGATTCTGATTCTGATTCTGATTCTGATATAAATGGACACACTCACAGATTAAACATGTGCTCCTGTTTACACATACAAAGTCTGATTTGTACTAAACTTGACTCAGTTGTTCTACAGGTGGCCTAGGTCACCTGAAGGTGTGAAATACTACATAAGCTTTTTAGCGCCCCCTACAGACTGAGCCCAAGTTTTACATGGAGAGCCAAACCAACTGTATTCATTACAATTTGACGAAAATAGTTCTATGGCTACGAGAGCAAATCATGGCGCGGCGGCGCCACCTCCTTTGTGTGGTGCAGCTGGGGCCGTTCGACGCCGCTTGTGGCTTTAATTTGTTTTGTTTCTATGTATGCTGGTATTTCTGCTGCTATTGGACACCTGAATTAAAGAACTCAATAAAGTGTGTGTGTGTTTATTGTATAAATATGTTTCATGTTTAACTCCACCTGCTGAATCAGAACTTTAAATGTCACTTAATGTCACTTAATAAACTGTAATGTTGCTCATGCTCTGTGTTACCATGGTGACGGCTCAGAGTGTTGCCATGTTTTTAATTTAGCACAAGTTCAAACCATAGACTGTATATCAGAGTGGACTGACCGAGTGTGACATCACCACTGCGTGGCATCATCATCGTGTGACATCACATATCCTTGTATCGTTCTAAGACGGTTGCTAAGACAAGCTGGAGGTTCCCCTTGAATGAAGGCATCTGATTGGTCGATCCTTATGTCTGGATTGACAATATCACATATAAACAGAAAGATCACAGAGAGCAATAAACCACACAAACGTTACTGAACTAGAGTTTATGTTTACATGAAAGTCAATAGGAGTCAGACTTCACCATGAGCACTTCACTAGACTTGAGCTTGTTGGTTAACATTGAACTAGCGTGTGAGCATAGAGCTCGTGGGTGGGCACCATCCATCTGTATTCAGTCAATAGTTTAAACATTATTGATGAATCCTCACTGACGTTCAGTGGGATTCAGGGATCGTCCAATTATTCCAAACTCTCTCATTTGCATAATGATCATCAAACACAAACAAGTGACTCTCCACTCTGCCACTATTGCAGCCACAGCTGCCCTGGGGCAACTGGACATACCACCACTCACTCACACTGAACCGGAGCACGCAGAGAATCCCACCCAGACCCTCCTGAGGACCTCCTGTAGTGTGCTGTAGTCTTACCCTGGGAGATCCCGGTATGGATCTGGACAAAGATGAACATCAGGAGAAGAGAAGCTCCAGCAGCAGGTCCAGGACTCATGATAAAACTAGGACTGAACCAGGTCTGAACCAGGTCTGAACCGGGTTTGAACCGGCTCTGGACCAGGACTGAACCAGGACTGTAGTGACAATAGAAGCACAGATGAAGTGGGAGGAGGAAACAGGAGCCAACGCGCCCAGACACACATTCCTCTGACTGACTCTGTGTGTGTGTGTGTGTGTGTGTGTCTGTGTGTGTGTGTGTGTGCGTGTGTGTGTGTGTGAGGAGGGGGACCATGTGTAAATGAAGTGGAAGAATTCTCTAGAGACTTGAACTGTTGTTAGACTCTGATCACACGTTACTCCCTGTAAATGGAACACTCTGCCTGATGATGTCACATGTCACGTGCATAATGAAGTGTGCTATGCAAATAAATCTTCCACTCGTCTCTCCTCTCTCTCTCTGGTCTCCATGTGTTGGTACCTTTGCAGTGCGTAGACTCATGGTTGGACAGTACTCTGCTTCAGGAGAGTGTGTAACCTGACACAGACACAGACAATGTCCAGCTGCTGCTGCCACACGACACAAGGAATGTTCCAGACACACGCACACACACACACACACACACACACACACACACACACACACACACACCAGAAAAGAGTCCCCAACATACTGTCTTTATCTTCTGTGTAAGAAAGATCCCTGTGAGCCACAATCTGCCTCTGTTTTAGGGCAGCGTGAAGAAAAAGGTGTGAGTTCTCTGCTGCTATGACCTCACCACTTCCTCCACGAACATTTGGACATGTGCAGTAGCCGAGAACAAACACTAACAACAGCGGCGCCGGGTACACTAACTAGCTACATGTGCTGAGCGCCACACGGAGGAGGATTCTACTCCTTCATCCAAACGAAACCACCTAAAGCTCTAGTTTCAGTTTTTGTTTGTGCAGCTTCTGTTAAATGCAGAATGATGTTGGTTCTTTCATGTCTTTGCGGTGGCCTGAGGAGGATGTTGATGAGGAAGTGGTTATACTGCTGGGGGTTGTTGTAAAGTTCCACTGCCCACTACTGGCCAGGTGCTAGAACTACATTGTTTTCAGGAGCCATCTAAACGCTGTGCCGGAGCCTAGTCGTTTTTGCTAATCGCTTTGCAGCATCTGCGCAGCGCCTCTGAATAAACGGGGCCAATGAGAGGCTGGTCCTCTCTGAGAGCAATGTGACAGAGAATGAAATAAATGACGTGAAAACTGTTTTCTACAAAAGTCTCCAGTTTTATTATTTAATTTAATTTCAGCATCACTATCGTGTGACATCACCACAGTGTGACATCATCAGTGTGACATCAATGTCAGGATTTTAATAAGTACTTGTCAAAGATAATTTCATAAAAACACAAAATAATCAATAAATTATATTAATTAAAAAATGTATTAAAAACTATATGGCAACAAGAATCACCCCTCCCTCAGACTCAGGCCCCTCCCCACACTCTCCCTCCCTCAGTACCTCCCTCCCCTCCCTCAGACCCTGCTCAGGTCCAGCTTGCTCACATATGGAGACCTGAATGACCCGATGTAGAGATGTCCCTCATGCTCGTGGGCCTCGCTCACATACGCAGCCACTTCGCCATTTGGGTCGTGGAAACTGCGCACGCACCGGCCGCCATTTTGGATCTCTGCGATGAGGCTGTAGCGAGGGACAAGCTTCAAGACCAAGTCCTGAGACAAGACCTGTAGAAGAGACCAGACCAGGTTCAGACCAGTGACCAAGATCAGAGACCAGGATCAGAGACCAGGATCAGAGACCAGGATCAGAGACCAGGATCAGAGACCAGGATCAGAGACCAGGATCAGAGACCAGGATCAGAGACCAGGATCAGAGACCAGGATCAGAGACCAGGATCAGAGACCAGGTTCAGAGACCAGGTTCAGAGACCAGTGACCAAGATCAGAGACCAGGATCAGAGACCAGGACTGAGAACAGACCACACCCCTCCCTACTGACAATTTTAAACCTTTCATTGGAGACAAAATGCATGTCATCACATCACCTTGAAGATGAGCTTCTTGATCCAGGGTCTCTGGGACAGGAAGTCCAACATGGAAAACCCAGGACTGGGTCTGACAGAGGACATCGCCACCCACAGGCCACCGCTGGAACTGCGCCGGATGTTATCAGGAAAACCAGGAAGGTTCTCAGCAAAAGTCTCCATCCCACCTTTGTTCAGACCAGCTACATGGATCCTATAATGACCAAAGACCATATGACACCAGAGTCCAGAGAGAGGAATAGACAAGGACCAGAGAGAGACAAATAGAGACCAGAGAGAGACAGAGAGAGACAAGAGAAACCAGAGACCAGGGACCAGAGAGACAGAGAGAGAGACCAGAGTCCAGTGAGAAATCAGAGAAACAGAAACCAGAGAGAGAGACCAGAGAGAGACCAGAGAGAGACCAGAGAGAGAGACCAGAGAGAGACCAGAGAGAGACCAGAGAGAGAGACCAGAGAGAGAGACCAGAGAGAGACCAGAGAGAGACCAGAGACTAGGTGAAGCAGGTCTCACCTCCGGATCCGGGCCATGGTGGTCTCGGACACCAGCACAGACTCCTCGTCTGGCAGGAGCTGGAGACCGTTTGGAAACCTGAGGCGATCCATCACCACGGTAACCTCCCCAGTGTCAGTGTCCAACTCCAACACTCTGAAACATGCACAACCATCATCACCAAGGCAACGGTAGCCAAACTGTGGTTGTGTCCAGAGGCAAGACAATTCAACCACATTAGAATGAGTCTGGTGTGTAGCTGTTGCCTCGCTTCTGGTGTAAGACAATCCTACAAAGTATAAATAAGTAATAGTTTTGTTACATCTCAGAAGTTATGCACTTTCTATGCAAATGTTTTGTTGAATAAAACATTTTACATTTTCTTTGTGTGTTTATTAGAAGCTGACAATACAATAAAACTGGGATACAATTTTGGGCATTTTTTTTATCACAATTTATATATTTTTTTTTTAAATGTGCAATTAAATAGTTAAATCCCGCCACCAGGTTAAATCCATATCTCATGTGAACAGATTGTTTTGGTGGAGGTTGTATGTGAAAAGGACGTCTGGGCCCTTGGGGTCTATGCAAGCCTCGGCGATCCAAGATGGCGCCCTATTTAAATCAATGGCTTGTGCTCAGTAGCGCATGTGCCACTAAGGGCACCAAAAGATTAGCAGAACTCGTCCATATTTGCACATTTCTCTTGTCCTCCCAGTTCTGCGAGATCCCATGATGTTTTGCGCCAAATACGCATGTGTGGCTCTCATGCACGTGCACAGAGGGGCATGACGCATTCTGACCAATCAGGCGCTCCTGATCAGAGCGGAGTTAGAGCGGGAGACAATTGAGCAGAGTTTGTGCCACTAAAGTGTGGATTTAAAGAAAACCAAAGAATTCAGGATGACAAGGGATACTAAAATCCCCACAAAATACGATCTTTATGAAAGCTGTAGGTTCTCTGTCAGCTGAGGTCGAGCTGTATTAGTTTACATTGAGTTCCATTGGGGAAACCTCTGGGTAGCTCACGTGAATTTAGTCTTTCTTAGTCTGCAGTACCGTGAGAATCCTGTGAGCATGTGGCTCCTTCGAGCCAGACTCTTGTAGTTCCGCCATGCTCCACAAGAGGTGTTTCACTGAACAATCACTTACAATGATTTGTTTACAAGGCCCCTCCTTCTGAAATACATCTCCTATTGAGAAATCCCAGACCCTTGTGTGAAGCTCACCAAACTAGAAGGGTCTGGAGAGAGTCATGCTAGGGTCCTTCAGCTCCAATTCAGAAACACCCTATCCAGAGATTATTATAGATCCATGAGTCTATGCAACACATGAGGAGTCTTCTTTGAGCATTGTTCTTGTGTCCCGGTTTGTTCTTTTGTTCCCTTTTCCTGCATTTTGTTGTTCATCTGTCAATAAAACCTGCTGGAGGGTTTGGAGCTCTACTCTGTCTCTCCTTTAAGTTCATAGAGTCATTATGATAATGATCATTATTATGATGATAATTCTACTAACAACAATAATAATAATAATCATTCTGTCCCTCACCGTCCGTCCTCTGTGGCCTCCATCACCAGATGGAGGAAGTCCCTCCGCTGCCACCTGCTGGAGCTGCAGGTAAAGAAAACTTTGCGTCCGTCTCTCGTCACGTCCAGGTCGTTAATGAACGCCAAGCTCCGCCCCCCGACCAGCTGAGCACCATCCACCAGCTGCACCACCTCCCCTGGGACATCATAAACATGTGACGTCATCATCATGTGACTCAGACCATGTGTCGGACCATGTATTGTACCAGTGATGGGGTTTACTCTGTAGATCCCTAAATAGGCGTCGGCCACGAAGAGAGTCCCGTTTGGTCCAACTCTGATCCCGAGAGGACGTCCACAGGTCGGCTCGTCGTCACGGGAACCTGAGGCACTGACAGGTTAGGGTCCTGGTCCTGGTCTTAGCCCTGGTCTGAGTTTTTTGTCTGGTCCTGGTCTAAGTCCTCGTCCTGGACCTGTTCTCACCACAGGGCTGTTTTCCGAGTCGAGCCACAGTCTGGACTCGGTGGCCGACCATCTTCACGATTCGTCCATCAGCTGTTCCACTGTAGAGGACATCTGAGACCAGAGAGAGACCAGGTGAGAGAGACTGTTAGGAAACATGGTCCACAACACATGGGCTAAAGTGTGTAGTGTTGTTGTGTGGACGCCATCTTGGATCAAACCCTGGTGATCCAAGATGGCGTCCTATTCAAATGAATGGCTTGTTCTCAGTAGTGAGAGAACTGCTGATCAGAGCTGCTGATCAGAGCTGCTGATCAGAGCTGCTGATCAGAGCTGCTGATCAGAGCTGCTGATCAGAGCTGCTGATCAGAGCTGCTGATTAGAGCTGCTGATTAGAGCTGCTGATTAGAGCTGCTGATCAGAGCTGCTGATCAGAGCTGCTGATTAGAGCTGCTGATTAGAGCTGCTGATCAGAGCGGAGCTAGAGCGGGAAAAAAACAAGCAGAGTTTGTTGCATCAAAAAGTGAATTTATAGAAAAACGAAGGATTAAATAAGAAAAAATAGTTCAGGACGACAAGCTGTTTTAGTTTACATTGAGTTCTATGGGACTTTTTTCTGGGTAGCCCACGTGAATTTAGTCTGCAGTACCACAGCGCCCCCTGTGGCCATGGGTGGGACAGCTATAAGTGAGTAATACTCCATCCAGATGTTGTAATAGATCCATGGTAGTGATATAATTGTGGTGCCACTTGGGAACATCAGGTGCCACAGTAGGGTGGCTACATTAGAATGACTCTAATGTAGCCACGTCTTCCTCACCTCCAATGTTCACGATGGACTCCGGTCCCTGCACCTGGTTCTCATGGAGCCTTTCTGCTAATCGCAGCTTCAGGTTCGGAGCCCAGCATCCTTCAAAAGGGAGGGGCTCCCGAAGACTGAGACAGAGACCAGAGAGAGAGACCAGAGAGAGACCAGAGAGAGACCAGAGGGACACAACAGAGAGGACAGAGACAATTGAGGACACTGAGGAGAGGGCCATAAATGGACTGTAACTAGACCTTGACTCACATAAACGGCTCTGGGTGGATCGGGGACTCCAGGACCAGGACCAAGATAAGGACTGGGACTAACAAGACTCCGCCAACTGACAGGAAGGTGATCTGGAAGACCCGCCCACTGTACGACCTAAACACATTGCATAAATTAACATGAATATACATAGTTTTAAATGCATTAGCAACTTCTAGGGATGGGACGAACAACACTGGTGCGTCAGCAATGTGCCGAGATACAAAAATGTTCTGCGCCAAATTGTGTTTATAATGAAGCGAACTGAGTCAACAACCTGCAGGTTCGTTCAAGAATTTGCTGTTGTACCACAATCTAAGGCTGCAGAACTAGTGTCCAATAGGAGAAATTGCCTTGGAGCAAAGAGTCTCCAATCCTCAATAAAAAATGTATGAATCAATGAATACATTTTTTGTGTGTAATTTCATATGATTGACAAACCCCATACATAACGTGAACCGTTGACTCTGAATATTATTTGAAACAGATTTTTCATTCCAACTCTTTTTTAACAGCATGTAAGTGTTTCCATCATAATTTTTTACCTGTAATGATTATAGAGCTACAGTAGAGGTCACCATTGAGTGACCAACAGTGTCAATACAGTTTTAAGAAGTGTCTCCTTGAGTTTTCATCATGGCTCTATTATAATATTTACAGTCTATGATTATAATGTTATATCCTATGCTCTGCGTTAGCTCCGCCCCCTCACCTGTCTCGTCTCGGGTCCTGATCTCGCGGTTCTTCAGTGATGACTCTCGGCGTTTGTCTCCGGAACCGAAGACCGTCCCCCTCTTTCATTTTGGTCCTAGTACAGACCTAGATTAATCCTTTTTCAGTCCAAGTCCTGGCTTAAACCCGGTTCAATCCTGAATCTGTCTTGGTCCAGTCCAAGTTTAGTACCGGTGTAGTCCCGTTTCAGTCCTGGTTCAGTGCCGGTTCAGTCAAGGTTAAGTCCCGGTGGAGTCCCGGTTCAGTCCAGGATCAGTCCTGGTGCAGTTCTGGTTCAGTCCCGGTTTAGACCTGGTTTTGTTATTCTAGTCTAACGCGGAAGAAGCACGAGCGTGGAGCATGACGTCATTTCCTCCGCTTTCACAATAAAACCACGTGACCTGGACTTAAAAATTACAGTTTTTTTTCTTATTGACACATGCTTAGTACTGCTTTACACTTTACTTTCACTTCTGCAACACACTTTCTCCTGCTCACTGCACACTGTGTCATACATGACACTTTGTTCATAAATGCAATCCTGTGTTATCACTGGGAAAACACATCTATTGTAAAAACCAAACACATTGTGTGATTGAAAACACTCAGATACACACAACAGTCAGACATAAACATGGTCTCAGTTTCGCCATTTTCAAAACGTTGCCAGTCTGGAGACAAGGAGAGAAGAGGAGACAAGGAGAGAAGAGGAGACAAGGAGAGAGAAGGAGACAAGGAGAGAAGAGGAGACAAGGAGAGAGGAGGAGACAAGGAAAGAAAAGGAGACAAGGAGAGAAGGAGAGAAGAGGAGACAAGGAGAGAGGAGGAGACAAGGAGATTTTGATTTTTAACAGACCTTTATTTGTCCATTAAACAGGTCAAATAACATCACATGTCACACATAGTAATGTATAGAACAAAGACAGTTTAAAAATCCGGACATAAAAGTGCAAAAAGTGCAAATACTGGCAATAAATAAACAATGCAACACTTCACACAATTCAATTCATAGGTTTACAACGATAAAAAGGCAGAAAAAAACAGCTCCCCGTCCCTCACAGAGCACACCTCCCTCACAGAGCACACCTCCCTCACAGAGGACACCTCCCTCACAGAGGACACCTCCCTCACAGAGGACACCTCCCTGAACCCCCAGCGCTCCTCAAACCCCTCCTGATCCCCATTTATCCTGTAGAGACCGAACTCCAGCCTGAGTCTGGCCTGGACCATCCGGACCAGCAGAGCCCTGGGACTGATCTCGCCCTGGTCCTGGACCATCCTCCTCCTGCTCACATAGACGGCCATCTTGGCCTGACCGACCAGGAAACTGAGCAGCCGCCCCCTCCTCCTGCTGCGGCTGGAGGAGACAGCCGCGGCTGGAGGAGACAGCCCCCCCCCGTAATTTGTGCACCCAATAAATACACCGCTGCAGAAAACAGTCCGCGTCTCCCCTCTCCTCTAAATTAAAGCTCGGGTACCTAAATTTTCCATTACGTTAAAAGTTCATGTTTGAGCCCAAAAGTAAAATGTTGTGAACAGATTAAACAGATTTAGAGCCAGCTAATGGCTGACAATATGCATTTCAGATTTTTTTACCAATTCTCATGTCTGTAACAAACAATATTGTCTGTGCCCACCTCCCTCACTCTGAGACATGTTTATTACTCTGTTTAATGTAGACTATTGTACTTTATTTTATTGTTGAAACTGGAGAGATCCTGATCCTCTACACTCTACAGTATGCTTCTACATACTGTATAAACCAGGGGTCGGCAACCTTTAGTGCCCCTAAAGTGGCTCCTGGAGCCTTTTCAAAAATGTCTGAAAATGGAGTGTGAGGGCTATATTTTATTTCTAGTTTTTAATGTGGTTTCTGTAGGAGGAAAAACATTCTTAACGTTTTTCAATGCTGCAAAAACTTGTATGGGTAATATTCAATTTTAACTGTATGTGCGCATGGATCCCAAAGATAAAGAGAGTCGATAAGACTGGACTAAGAATGAGAATGAACATTTGCTTTCAGTCAATGAGGAAGGACTGCTTTATGTTTGCGATGTAATGAAAAGTTTTGTTGCAACAGGAGGAAGAATGAAGCTTTAAACACTGTTCACTGAAACATTCATTCATCATAAAGTCAGAGCACCTATTTTCAGACTTCAAAAACCTTCGCAAAGACGGTGAAAGAAAAGGCCATTAAGGACATTCAGCTCCAGCAAACTTCAGCCTGTGATAGATATGAACAGACAGTGATGCAGGTGAACTCAGAGCCAAAAAGCAGATGTATTTACTGTATTTGTACAATTGCATGAAGGTTAAACTTAAAGCAGAGTTGTCACGTGGTGCGTCATTCTCTCCAGGACACGCTGCAATGAAAACACACATTTGATAATCATGAATGGTTTTTATGTGTTTAGCCTTTACTTTGTCATTTAGATATTAGTCTAATATAGCTAATATAGCTAATGTAGCTAATACAGCTTCAGCCCCTGTTACCTTCATATAAGTCTTATACAACACTGTTTTTTTGTTGTTTTTTTTTTGTCAAATAGGGCTCCTTGAACCTTTTGAGTTGCCTGGGCCGCTAAAAAGGAAAAAATGCCCGGGCCGTTTTTTTGTCCCAGTCCAGCCCTGACTCTGCCCCCAGTGAAGTGAAGAGGCCCCTCAGCAGCTCCAGCATGTGCCTGAGCCTCCCACACTCCCAGAAGCAGTGGAATACTGTCTCCCTCTCCCCACAGAAGGGACAGCCCTCCCCCACAGCCCTGTTCACCCTACACACAAAGGCATTGACTGCTATCGCCCCATGCAGCAGCCTCCACTGCAGGTCTCCCTGTCTCTTGGTCAGAGGGGGCTTGTACAGGGCCCCCCAGGCCGGGCTGAAGGCGGGGCCCAGGTGTGACCTCCACACAGTGTCTGCTCCGTCACACAGTCTCTGGTGGTTCAAGGCCTGGACCATGAGGCTGTAAAAGGTCTTCCCTGAAGCAGCCTCCAGAGAGGCAGCGACTGGACTGGCCAGCAGGGGCCCAGAGGAGGAGCCCAGGTCCGGGCTGAGGATGAGGCTGGGGAAGGTGGGCAGGGGTCAGTGAGCCTGACCTGTGTCCCTCTAACAGGGTCCAGCCCTCCTCTGTCAGACCCTCTCTCCAGAAACACAGGAGACAAGGAGAGAGGAGGAGACAAGGAGAGAGGTGGAGAGAAGGAGAGAGGAGGAGACAAGGAAAGAAGAGGAGACAAGGAGAGAAGAGGAGACAAGGAGAGAAGAGGAGAGAAGGAGAGAGGAGGAGACAAGGAAAGAAGAGGAGACAAGGAGAGAAGAGGAGAGAAGGAGAGAGGAGGAGACAAGGAGAGAAGAGGAGACAAGGAGAGAAGAGGAGACAAGGAGAGAGGAGGAGACGAGGAGAGAAGAGGAGAGAAGGAGAGAAGAGGAGAGAAGGAGAGAGGAGGAGAGAAGGAGAGAAGAGGAGACAAGGAGAGAAGAGGAGACAAGGAGAGAGGAGGAGACAAGGAGAGAAGAGGAGAGAAGGAGAGAGGAGGAGACAAGGAAAGAAGAGGAGACAAGGAGAGAAGAGGAGAGAAGGAGAGAGGAGGAGACAAGGAGAGAAGAGGAGACAAGGAGAGAGGAGGAGACAAGGAGAGAAGAGGAGACAAGGAGAGAAGAGGAGACAAGGAGAGAAGAGGAGACAAGGAGAGAGGAGGAGACAAGGAGAGAAGAGGAGACAAGGAGAGAGGAGGAGACAAGGAGAGAAGAGGAGACAAGGAGAGAGGAGGAGACAAGGAGAGAAGAGGAGACAAGGAGAGAGGAGGAGACAAGGAGAGAAGAGGAGACAAGGAGAGAAGAGGAGACAAGGAGAGAAGAGGAGACAAGGAGAGAAGAGGAGACAAGGAGAGAGGAGGAGACAAGGAGAGAAGAGGAGACAAGGAGAGAAGAGGAGACAAGGAGAGAAGAGGAGACAAGGAGAGAAGAGGACGTGGTTGAAGATATTTCTGATGATATTGGAGCAACTTTGGAGGATCATGTGATCGATCATGGCCTCACCATGAGAGAAGCCACAGCTCCATCATCAGGACCTTCAGCTGGAAACATGTGTTCAACATGTTCTGAAACTCTCTACTGCAGCACTGTATCTACTGTATCACATGTACTGTATCACATGTACTGTATCACATGTACTGCATCACATGTACTGCATCACATGTACTGTGTCACATGTACTGTATCACATGTACTGTATCACATGTACTGTATCACATGTACTGTGTCACATGTACTGTGTCACATGTACTGTATCACATGTACTGTGTCACATGTACTGCATCACATGTACTGTATAACATGTACTGTATCACATGTACTGTGTCACATGTACTGTATCACATGTACTGTATCACATGTACTGTGTCACATGTACTGTATCACATGTACTGTATCACATGTACTGTATCACATGTACTGTGTCACATGTACTGTATCACATGTACTGTATAACATGTACTGTATCACATGTACTGTATCACATGTACTGCGTCACATGTACTGTATCACATGTACTGTGTCACATGTACTGTATCACATGTACTGCGTCACATGTACTGTATCACATGTACTGTGTCACATGTACTGTATCACATGTACTGTATCACATGTACTGCGTCACATGTACTGTATCACATGTACTGTGTCACATGTACTGCATCACATGTACTGTATCACATGTACTGTGTCACATGTACTGTATCACATGTACTGTATCACATGTACTGCGTCACATGTACTGTATCACATGTACTGTGTCACATGTACTGTATCACATGTACTGTATCACATGTACTGTGTCACATGTACTGTATCACATGTACTGTATCACATGTACTGTGTGTGCCTGTGTGTATCTGTGTGTATCTGTGTGTAACTGTGTGTATCTGTGTGTATCTGTCTGTGTGTATCTGTGTGTATCTGTGTGTAACTGTCTGTGTGTATCTGTGTGTATCTGTGTTTAACTGTGTGTATGTCTGTGTGTATCTGTGTGTAACTGTCTGTATGTATATGTGTGTATATGTGTGTATCTGTGTGTATCTGTGTGTATCTGTCCGGGACATTCTTGGTTAAATAAAGGTTAAATAAATATAAAAAGTTCGTTTATCTGTGGTGTAGATGCTGTTCTGTTCAGTGCCACAGGGGGGCGCCTCTCTCCTGCACCGTCACACAGCTTTAAACATACTTTTGGAAAATGTAAGTTAAAGCTGCGGTATGTCACATTAAAGCTGGGATCTGTGACTTTAAAGCTGGGGTCTGTAACTTTAAAGCTGGGGTCTGTAACTTTCAGAACTCTGTATTAAACCCATGTCTCTGGTTCTGGCTCTAAAACAGTTGCTTTTGTCACTAGTTTCATGTATTTGTGATGTCACATCTTTAGATCAAAGACAGGACCCTCCTCTCTCAGCCAATCAGCTCTCAGCCCAAAGAGGCAGGTACTGACTCACAAGGATCTTTCTGTAAAGACAAATCATGTTATGGTTGGGTCCATGTTCTTCTGCAGCGACTGAGGGTCAGACCTCAGACCTGAGACCTCAGACCTGAGACCTCAGACCTGAGACCTGAGACCTCAGACCTCAGACCTGAGACCTGAGACCTGAGACCTCAGACCTGAGACCTCAGGCCTGAGACCTGAGACCTCAGGCCTGAGACCTGAGACCTCAGACCTGAGACCTCAGACCTCAGACCTGAGACCTCAGACCTGAGACCTCAGGCCTGAGACCTGAGACCTCAGACCTGAGACCTCAGACCTGAGACCTCAGACCTGAGACCTCAGACCTCAGTATGAAGGTTATTTTGTGTTTTTATTGTCAACACGTTCTTTTGCTTCTGAATGATAAAAACCATCACAAAGGTATGCATTGTAAAGGAAGAGCTCACACTTTTATCAAACACAAATTCCAGTTTCCAAAAATACTTTATTTTCTTTATTTACATATTTCCTCTGAATAAAACATTTAAACTTTGAGACACAAAACAAAGATAAACTTTAAATAACAGATCATGATGTCATGATGGTGATGTCACAATAAAAACGTAACCATGGAAATAAACATAAAACAGAGTACTTCAGTCCAGTGCTGTGATTGGCTGCTGCCCTCAGCCCTCTAATTGGCCGCTCTGTCGTGAGGGGCGGGACAAGTCCATGGCCTCTTCCACTTCCTGCTCCTGGTCTCTGTGCTCTGATTGGTCGTCTTCGGGGTCAGGGGTCACACAGGGGTCAGGGGTGGCACACGGGGTCGAGCGGGGGTCACCCAGGGTCAAAGGTCGCTCAGGGTCGCAATAGGAGGGGGCGGGGCTCGAGCACTTCCGTGTTTCCAGAGACTTCTTATGCATTCCTGAAAACACAGGCTCTGTGATGTCACTGTGATGTCACTGTGATGTCACTGAGTATGTCTGTGTGTGTGTCTGTGTGTGGTTGTTTGTCTGTGTGTGTATGTGTGTGTGTCTGTATGTGGTTGTATGTCTGTGTTTGTGTACGTGTGTGTGTCTGTGTGTGGTTGTATGTCTCTTTGTTTGTGTGTCTATGTGTAGGTGTGTGTCTGTGTGTGGTTGTGTGTGTGTGTCTGTGTGTTTGTGTCTGTGTATGAGTGTAAGTGTGTTTTTGTGTGTGTATATATGTGTGTGCGCGTGTGTGTAGTACTGACGTTGCGAGGCCTCACCCAGCAGCCAGGGGGCGCTGCTCACGGCCCCCTCTCTCGCAGACTTGAGCAGACTCTCAGGCAGAGGGATGGAGTGTCGCACCATGGCCCCGTAGAGCCCATACTCCGCCATCACCGAGCTCCGCCCCCAACATTTCTCACGCTTCCTCCATTTCGCCCTTCGGTTCTGGAACCACACCTGCAACAAGACACCAGGTGAGCAACCAGAACCTGCTCCTCTCCTGGTCCCTGTCCTGGTCCTGGCTCTGGGTCCTGGTCTCAGTTCTGGTCTTAGTCTATGTCCTGGTCCGAGTTTCAGTCCTGGTCCAGGCCTTGGCTCTGGTCGTGGTCTTGATCCTGGTCCCAGTACTGGTCCTGGTCCTGGCTCTGGTCCTGGTCCTGATCCTGGTCCTGGCCCTGGCTCTGGTCCTGGTCTGGGTTTGGGTCTGGTACCTGGATCCGATCCTCTGGGAGCTCGGTCTTCAGAGCTAACATCTCTCTGGCGTAAACGTCTGGATAATGTGCCTCCTGAAACGCCTTCTCCAACTCCTCCAGCTGCAGCGACGTGAACACGGTCCTGAGGAGACACTACAGTGAGCACTTCTCTGAGATCATCCACCCTAGACTATCATGTCTGTGTGTGTGTGTGTGTTGTGTACCTGTGTCGTCTCTTCTTGCGTTTGTTGTTGCTGGTCTTGTCTCGGTCTGAGAGACACTCCTCATCTATCAACATAAATATCAGTGATCAGAAAGACCAGAGAGAGACCAGAGAGAGACCAGAGAGAGACCAGAGAGAGACCAGAGAGAGACCAGAGAGAGACCAGAGAGAGACCAGAGAGACCAGAGAGAGACCAAAGATAGACCAAAGAGAGACCAGAGAGAGACCAGAGAGAGACCAGAGAGAGACCAGAAAGAGACCAGAGAGAGACCAGAGAGAGACCAGAGAAAGACCAGAGAGAGACCAAAGAGAGACCAGAGAAAGACCAGAGAGAGACCAGAGAGAGACCAGAATGAGAAGTTTCAAACACGTGCTTTATTTGCACTGATTTACCGTCTTATTATCCTTTTTAAATTCTATTATTTATTATCTTTAAAGATTAGAGTCTGTCTGGGCGCTCTTCTTGTGTCCCCACTGCATTTGGGACGGATAAAGGAATATCTTATATTATCTAAACCTGATCTCATGTTGATGATGTCATGATTATTGTGAGAATGTTTCAGGAAGGCCCGGTGCCTGAGGCCCGCAGTCTGAAGCGCACAGTCTGAGGCCCACAGTCTGAGGCCCGCAGTCTGAGGCCCGCAGTCTGAGGCCCGCAGTCTGAGGCCCGTAGTCTGAGGCCCACAGTTAGAGGCCCGCAGCCTGAGGCCCGCAGCCTGAGGCCGGCAGGTCGGGAGGCGGTGGAGGAGGCGGCGATCGGGGGCTGTATAAAGACAGTTATTTGTCACTATTTTTATGTGCTCCGCTGCATTTTCTGACGCAGAAGGCCGACACTCACGTAAAGAGGGACTTCACCACGTGGAGCGCGTGCGCGGGCCCTGAGAACTCACGCCCATAATACTATTATTATTATTATTATTATTATTATTGTTATTATTACTACTATTATTATTATTATTACAGTACAATATTATGATTATGTTTTATAGTATATATACTTTTTCATATGCAGAATTTGGTCTCTAAAGACATGATTATTATTATTATTACTATCATTACTGTTGTTATTATTATTATTATTATTATTATTATTACAGTACAATATTATGATTGTGTTTATACAATATATGTTTTTCATATGCAGGATTCTGGGGACATGATCCAGGACTGAACATACATCATTTATCAACATTTATGAACCAATACCGTGAGTTATATTTTGATAGTTTGATTTTCTGATCTTTGTTCGTGACTTCAATTAATTGAAAATTATTAACTATTTCATTAGTCATGGTTTTATTATTATTATTATTATTATTATTATTATCTTCTGTCAGCTGCAGGCTTGTTCTCAGGAATAATATAAATTAATAATAATAAAACTAAGAATGATCCCCTGAACCAGGACTAAACCAGGTCTGAACCAGGTCTGAACCAGGTCTCTGGACTCACCTGAGAAGGCCGAGTCGCGCGCGTCCGCGTGTAGGTAGTGCGTGTCTGCGCGTGTCTGTAGAAGTGGCACGTGCCCGGGGAGAAAGCAGTGCGCGTTCTGCTGCTGCGCGAGACTGCACAGAAACCCGAGGCCCAGCGGGAGCGCGCCTCCGGGGAACGTGAAAGCACCCAGCGGCCCCTGCGAGTCTCCAGGAGGCGCCGACAGGTGTGCATGTCCGGGCCGTGCGTGTGCGTCTGTCTCCAGTCCCAGCAGATCGGTGATGGCAAACCCTTTACGTAACAGCTTCACGCGCGGCTCGTGCTCGGCGAGCTCTGCGCTGCTGCTGCCGCTCATTCCGGACCCGGTCTCACGGTCTCAGTCCAAACAGATGTGTTCACTCGCTCACTCCACTCCAAAGTATATGTGATTCTATATATAATTGTATATACAAGTATATATACGGAAATATAAAGTTAGTATAAAGGCCGGTCTTGTTGCTGCTCCTGCCGCTCCTCTGCGCGCGGACATCTGCCGCTGCTTTTATGCCGCGCGCGGATGAAGCGGCACCAATCACAGCGCGCACGCGCCTCAGTCTGTGGGATTAATAACCAATCAGAGACACGCGCTCATCCCGCGGGATTAATAATTGCACCAATTTATTTCCAAATCCGGATTAAGTGTTCTTACAGCGCATGCGCCAACAGCAGCAGGCTGCGGCCTCAGAGGCCCGCGTCTGAGGAGAGACACACACACACACACACACACACACACACACACACACACACACACACACACACACACACACACACACACACACACACACACACACACACACACACACACACACACACACACACACACACACACACACACACACACAAATAAAGTCTCTGGTCTCAGACTCGCACTCGGACCAGTGTGAGTTTATTAGTGTAAAGTGAATGAGCCCAATCCTGGATTAGTGTCATTTGGCCCTAATTTCACTTCACCCCCCACCTCCACCCCCGTTCTCTGGTCCAGGTCCCAGAACTTTAACTGTCACTGTTCCCCCCTAAAGGCCTGTGGTTGAAAGTCTGAGAGTGAGGAGAGTGGGATTAAATTAGGTTAATCCAAGAGCCTGCCCCCTTCCCTCATACAGACACACACACACACACACACACACACACACATGCAGACACACACACACACAGGAGAAAGCTCAGACAACCTAATGCAGCGTGTAGACAGCGCGTGCCGCCGTTAGCCTCGTTAGCCTCATTAACACCAGCGCATTCAGAATATGCAAAGGGCAACGGAAATTAGCTGCACTAGGGGCCTGGGGTTCTTAGGGGCCACACACAAACACACACACACAAGAAAACACAGTGTGTGCAGGAGGAGGACCACCTGATGTCTCCTGCAAGAGGAGTCTGTTACCATCTCTTTACTGTCATTTTAAGATGGGCATACACAGCAACACAATTATACACTAGCTCATTCAACCGGGGATACTATAACAACCATATCAACAACTACAGCTGTTTAGGCAGATGTGAACATTGCTAAATTGCTAATCTGGACAAAAACATGAACTTAGATAAAAAATTTTTTGTTGTGTTTTGTTATTTTGGCATTATGTCTATTGTCATTGTCTGAAGTCTTCTTGTACATAATACAGGAGCCACACAGGGCTCTGTTCTTTATCCCCTGCTCTAAAGTGAGTAATCTTTATTTATATACCGCCTTTCACAGACCAGAGTCACAAAGCGGTTTACAATTGTTATTTTTTGGGCATTTGTCCTCTCACTCCACACTGAGATGGGATGCATTGGGATGCATTGGTCTCCCTGTACACCAACCACTGCACCTCCAGCCACGACTCCGTGAAGCTGATCAAGTTCGCGGACGACACCACCCTCATTGGACTCATCTCCAACAACGATGAGTCCGCCTACAGGAGGGAGGTGGACCGGCTGGTGTCCTGGTGCAGTGGTAACAACCTGGAGCTGAACGCCCAGAAGACAGTGGAGATGATTGTGGACTTCAGGAAGAGCACTGTCCCCCCGCCCCCACCCTCCGTGATGGACTCCCCCATCACCTCTGTGGAGTCCTTCCGTTTCCTGGGCACCACCGTCACCCAGGACCTCAAGTGGGAGCCGACCATCAGCTCCCTCATCAAGAAGGCCCAGCAGAGGATGTACTTCCTGCGGCAGCTCAGGAAAGCCAAGCTGCCTTCGCTGGAGCCACAGTCAGAGACAAACAGAGACTACAGCGCATTGTGCGCTCTGCAGAGAAGGTGATCGGCCGCATCCTCCCATCGCTGCAGGACCTGTACGTCGCCCAAGCTCAAGGCCGGGCTGGTCGTGTCACAGCCGACCCCTCTCACCTGCACATGGACTATTCCAACCACTCCCCTCAGGCAGGAGACTGCAGTTTAACTTGTTTGCACCGAAAGCCAAAGCAATTTCCTAGTTTGTGACTTCCTGTTACTCACATGGCAATAAAAGGATTCTGATTCTATAAGGATTTTATGTGTTTTGTACTGTTAGTGTGAATGTTGTATGTGTTCTAACAGTGGCCAATGGGGATCTAATTCAAACAAACAAACAAATAAACTTAAACCAACTTTTACACAAAACGTTTACTCTTAAAACTCACATATTACAACATGAAACCATCAACATCTCGCCTCAAACTGCATAAAAAGGGACAGTCGTGTCTTAATTCAATTGTATCTAAACTTTATGTCCGCCATCTTGGTTTGCTTCGACTGCCGTGAGACAAGCATGCAAAGGTTTGCATTACATCATGTGAGGCAGCTTACAACGAGAAGTGGCCGACAGAACACCGGCCGAAGTTTTGATCCTCTGCACCGCGACATCAGAGGAGACACATCTGCTTCAATAGTTGAACTAGAAGCATTGTTCTTTTCTTGTAGAAGACGGCTGCGGCTGAAGCAGAAGTTGTGAGCGGTATCTGCAAAGACAGGAGCTGGATCTCCCTCTTCCCAGACGCCTCCTCTCCTGTGTTAATCTGCTGTAATCTCATTGTGAGCCACAAACATATTTCATTTTTAAAGAACAAAGATTATTGTTCTTTGTAAAAGTCCATCAACTGCACCAAAAGAGCAGGTCAGAGGTCAGAGACTGAGACAGGAGCAGGTCAGAGGTCAGACCAGACCAGGCAATGACATTTCTTTTTGTAGGTGAGTTTAGGCAAGCAAACAGGCATCACATGCTGAGCACAGCGCCCCCTCTGACAGTAGAATGCAGCAACACAATGCGACTGTCATCAATGACACATGTTTCAAACCATAACAAGCTTTATGCACCAATGATGAGTATCGTTGGGCAAAACCTTCTAAACCGCAGGATTGTGGCCAAATATCGAGAGGTAACGTGTTACTACATTTACTTTACAATTAGTTTGAATCACAACGTAGTTGTAAAAAAAAAAAAAAAAGTACAATAGTACTATAACCTGCACTTTCTCTGTCATGTCTAAACAGAGACTGCGCCTATCTCCATTGGAGCTGCTTCAGTCCTGCGTCTGTCCTCGTCCTACAGTCTGAGTCCTGGATCTACAGCCTCAGTCCTCGTACTACAGTCTGAGTCCTGGATCTACAGCCTCAGTCCTCGTACTGCAGTCTGAGTCCTGGATCTACAGCCTCAGTCCTCGTACTACAGTCTGAGTCCTGGATCTACAGCCTCAGTCCTCGTACTACAGTCTGAGTCCTGGATCTACAGCCTCAGTCCTCGTACTACAGTCTGAGTCCTGGATCTACAGCCTCAGTCCTCGTACTACAGTCTGACTCCTGGATCTACAGCCTCAGTCCTCGTACTACAGTCTGAGTCCTGGATCTACAGCCTCAGTCCTCGTACTACAGTCTGACTCCTGGATCTACAGCCTCAGTCCTCGTACTACAGTCTGAGTCCTGGATCTACAGCCTCAGTCCTCGTACTACAGTCTGACTCCTGGATCTACAGCCTCAGTCCTCGTACTACAGTCTGACTCCTGGATCTACAGCCTCAGTCCTCGTACTACAGTCTGACTCCTGGATCTACAGCCTCAGTCCTCGTCCTACAGTCTGACTCCTGGATCTACAGCCTCAGTCCTCGTACTACAGTCTGACTCCTGGATCTACAGCCTCAGTCCTCGTACTACAGTCTGACTCCTGGATCTACAGCCCGTCCGTCCGTGTGGAGCAGATCCCTCTCTCAGCAGCACTCCTCCTCCGGTGGATTTTCGCGTGATCCACTTGGTTCAGACCATGAATGCTCTCTGCTTCAATTTGGACCAGTACAAAACTATGAACACTGTACTGCAGCAACATCCCAGGGAGAAAAAAGTAATAAAAGGTAAAATTGTAAAGCACAAAACAACAATTGTTTCAGAGACACTTGCTGCCATGCATTTCCCCTAACCTAACCAAAACCTTATTAAAGATGCTATACCCGATTTATTTTCTAATGAGTTCATAAAAATGCTTATTACTACATACAAGTTGTATTATGATTAGTAATTTAATTGAAAACTTGAGCTCATTGATTCAGCTGTGTATGAATTCAATCCGTAAAAAGTTCTGAGTAGACTTTAGCGTGACGCTCGTTCTCCTCCAATCACAGAACAGGCTGCGTCCTCTAGCCTCTACAGCGCTGCTAAACACAGTAGCATGTTAGCATAAGTGGCTATAACTCCTCTGGTTGTAACTGCAGACACAGCAAAACAGCCCAAAACACACAACAGTGAGGAAGAGAAGAGGGAACTAAAGCGAGAAAATGTTTAAAGAAGAAATCAAGCCCTGATTTCATTGCTAGCTTACACCGCCTCGGACTGTCTACGCTCGGACTATCTACGCTCGGACTATCTATGTTCGGACTATCTATGTTCGGACTATCTATGTTCGGACTATCTATGTTCGGACTATCTACGCTCGGACTATCTACGCTCGGACTATCTACGTTCGGACTATCTATGTTCGGACTATCTACGCTCGGACTATCTACGCTCGGACTATCTACGCTCGGACTATCTACGCTCGGACTATCTACGCTCGGACTATCTACGCTCGGACTATCTACGCTCGGACTATCTACGCTCGGACTATCTACGCTCGGACTATCTATGTTCGGACTACATTCGGATAAGGCTTTGGGTTTGTAGAATATGAGGCAGAGATACCAGGGTCGGCATTAGATCATCTAAGGCAGTGTCTCCCAAAGTGGGGTCCGCGGCCCCCTGGTGGGCCGCGAGGGTACTGCAGGGGGGCCGCGGGAGGTCATAAAAAAAATAAAAAAAATAATATAATTATTTAATGTTAAATTTATAATGTTTTGTTTGTAATATTAAAATATTTGTGTTCATTATTTGACTTG